GTAGATTGTGCAAAACTTCTTCAGTTGAAATATTATCAACTCCTGAGCAAGAGAAATAAGATTTGGCAGATCCCAGTAGTGGAAATTGAATTCTCATGGATGGAATGCCGAATGCGTGTGTCGGAAATCAAAATTCTGCCATATAGTTCCCGCCAACGCTAGTTAGGCAACGTTAGTTCACGTACACAATGAACCCGAAGCCATCATACCCTGCCACTGGCTGTGGACAGAGGGGAAAAAAAGTTGTTCCGTAGCAAGCTCAGCGCTGTAGACAGTTTTGAATTTGCCATCTCCGCAAGTATGACAGAGATGATCAGACAGCAGACTTTGGAGATGGCAAGATTTGTGATTTTTGGTCTATGTAGGCTTTCAAGCTGTCTAAAATCACAACATAAGTACTACCAGTCAACCAAATATACAATGGAATATAATCCTTGTGAATTCTATGTATGGCCATATAATCGCCACCACGTGCTGTGAAAATCACAGGGGCAAACCAGGATTTCCACGATTTGCTGATGGTAGAGAACTGACAAAAAGATCTAACGTACTTATAACGTACAAGGCATACCCCTCTAGCGACACGAACTCGTAAACCTGGGGTGTTATCTTATACAAAGAAGTGGTTGTCTTCTTTAATCTCTGTTAGTATATCGCATAGTACACGCGCCTGTCATACCTTTGGTATAATGTGGACGCGCGAAAGCTGGGTTCGACTCCCAGACAGAGAGATGCAAACACTAGAGTCCAGCAACCTCTTTTTGCGAAAATTTGAAGTTTTGTGGCACGACAAGAAGTAAGATATAAGCAGGGTCTTACTTGCGCAGAATTATCGTATTCAAGTTGTAGTAGTGCAAGTTACTGGTACACGCTCCTGAAGAACCCCACCACACCCATCCAAATACATCCTTACATGCGTACCCACCAAACGATCAACGAGCTCAGGATCCACCGTCGTGCCCAACTTCATTTTCGCTCGCTGTTTTTTTCCCCAAGTTAGACGAGGGTTGTAGAGATGGGAAAAGAAAGAAAGTAGCGTACCAAAGCATACCCAACACCTCTATACACAAACCCATAAAGCTCCTTGAAATCGGGGTGGTGTTTGTCGATTGGAGGGTTGTTGGCCCGTGTTGGGTCTTTTGTGCGTGCTAGGTAGGCTATTGTTGCTTTCTTGATGAGCTGATGAGGTTGCCAGTTGGGAGGAGGGGAGGGGAGGGGAAAGAAAGGCATACATTCTTATTCGCCCTCTCCGAACTAGCCGCTGCATCTTCGTTATCCTCCGCCTTTTTCTTTCCCCCCTTAGAGTTAGACTTGCTCTCAACGCCAACACCTATAACACGCGTCGGTACTTCTTCCACGTCCCCAAACACGTCTGCCTTTTCCTTTTCCTTTCCCTTGCTCGTTGCGTGCTTGATAGGCAATTCTGGGATCTTGAATAACTGCCCCGTCTCACTGGCACCAGCACCACCGAGGCGTACCCCGCTTCCGAGATCAGCAACGCTACCCACTCTCATCAGTTTTTGCCGTTTGGGTGCTGTTGCGCCGCCGGGGACGTTTCCACTCGCCACGCGCTTGAGCTCTCGACTGGTAGAAGACGAAGACGTCCCCACCAATGAAAGACTCCCCGATTTCTTAAGGTCGTGTCCGAAGGTTACGGGTGGCTTGCGCGGTATGGGGTCGTCTGGGCGTGGTAAGCGGAGATGGTGTTGTACAGGTGGATGGGGCGTTAGACGTCCGACATTTAGTTGGATGGTGCGGGTGGTGTTGGGTGTGAGTAGAGTTTGTTGCGGTTGGAGTGAGGCGTATATGATGATTTGGGTCGTTTCGGGGCCGTCTTTTGTGCATAGGGATGTTAGTAGTGGATGAGAAAGGGAAGGGAGGGAGGGGGCTTACTGCTGTCCCCTAGAGCGACTTTCATGCCGATCTCTGATTTGGTGTGTTTTGAGGAGGAGGAGGATGAGGATGCAGCAGGGAGGGGGGAAAGGCAGAATGTGTTTTCTAGGTATATTCGTGTGAGTGTTGCGTGCGGGTGTATGTCTCTATCCTCATCATCGTCAGTCCATACTTTCGTTCCTCATACTAGGAGGGAGAAGACACTCACAGCTCAACACCACCACTTTCGTCCACGTACACGTCACGAAGTTGTACGACACCCATGAACCGCAGAGTTGGACGACCACGCATACTTTCTAGAGCTAGCGCTAGCGGGTTCTGGAGGAGGTTGAAGGTATGGTGTTTTGAGGGTGTGTCGTCGAGCTTGGCGGCGAAGGTTAGTCCGTCGAGGAGTAAATGAGAATCGGGTAGGGATAGTGCCCCGCGGTATAAGAGACGATATGAAGGAGAGCTGAAGGGCTGAGATGATGGGGTGCCCTGTGTGTTGTGTGTTAGTGGTCGGGGTGGTGTGGGGGATGTGATGGAGATGGCGGGGAATGTCAATGGGTGCGTCGTTAGTGTCGTTTGCAACATTCCTGACGCGATTAATGGTAGTTTGTGGGACGTTTCTCGTCGCCTGCTCGTTGTGGGTGGCGTCCCTCATGCAAACTTGTTGATTGTCATGAGGAGACGCGTTGTTGTGGTTTGTTGATTGACGCCAAGAAGCACGCGACTCGGATCGTCCTTTTTCTCCAACTTGTTTTCAACGTCGACGGTGACGGCAGCGTCAAGATGAACGCGAAGAAGATCCTGAGTTGTCGGTATACCTACAGGTCTCTGTGAAACGCCGATCCACCATGCTGGCCTGTGCTTTCTAGAAATTTCGACTCGTCTCCGAGGTCCAGGTTGTTCGAGGCGATCGACGTTGAACGTTGAACGTTGATTATTCAACTATTTCCAGAATTTTCGTCCTCAGGCTCCACCCGGCCCCACGACTCCAAATTTCTCGTACTTTCAAACATTGCGTAACGTGTCTCAGCCGAGGGGGGGTATATAATGGCTTCTGCTTCCGCCGTTGCCCTCACAATTCAGCGCAAATCCACTCTCAGTTCACTACAATGTCAGTTTTCCATTACGAACCCTTTTACGACTTCGACCGCTTCCTCGAGGACGCATTCGTCCCACGCGCTTGGACCGGTGGGGAGCAGCAGCCAGTTCAGAGGCGTGCCATCGGCGGGAGCGATACCACCGCCGATGGGGCCGTTCGCGCTTTGAAACCAAGGTTTGTTCCACCTTCTTCCTCACTGTGCAATTGCTGACACCGCCTTACAGGATGGACTTACACGAGGACAAAGAGAAAAACCTCGTCACTGCTACCTTTGAGCTTCCAGGCTTGAAGAAGGAAGACATCCATCTCGAGATTCAGAACGGTCGCTTGTCCGTTTCTGCTGACAGCAAGATTTCTAAGGATTATGAAGAGGGAGGGTATGCGGTTCGTGAGCGCCGCTATGGGAAGTTTTCGAGGACTCTTCAGCTTCCTCAGGGTGTCAAGGTATGTGATTTGTTTGGCTAAGATAAAGTTGTGTGTGGTTGACGTGGATTTTGTAGGACGATGGAATTAAAGCGTCTATGGATAATGGTCTTTTGACCATTACGTTCCCCAAGACGGCTGAAAACCTTGCACCCAAGAAGATTACTATTTCTTAAATCTCTCTCGACAAAATGACTCGGGTTACAAGTTAATCCAACTGTATAATGTACCATACTCTTGTATTCATCGTAACAGCTTCAATTTTACATTGCACTTCTTTCCTTTTGAGTGAAGCGATAAGATTAGATGACTATTGCCACCGCTCGATGTGATCGATGTTCCAATGTGATTTCCCAGGACGCTGCGAGTTGTGTCAATCTTCCACAGCTGGGTCTGTGCGACAGCGTGCGTGCACACAGCAATGCTTCATCCTATCGCTTGATTCCTACTCTTATCCTTACTGCGGTGTACAATGTGGGTCGGCCTTACACACATCGTCAAAAAGAAAACGCTGAACGTCTTTCAACCAGATACCACAAAGGCGCTAGCTACACACGAATGTCTACGTCTCCTCACTACACACACAACGAACAAGGCATCCGACAAAGGTAAGCGACAGAATACCGATGACTATATGCGCACTATCAACCTCATCTCCAGCCGAATCCTCCCCCCAATCCAACAAATCATCTCTCAAGATCGGAACGAAGAAGACCTAGAAGACACGCCATCCCCACGCACCGAACTCCTTTCAGACTCTTCCTCCCGACACGCACGTATCTCCCACGCAAGCCATGCCCTCGAATCCCGACGACGCAAAAAACACCGTCATCATCGAAAAGACAGCGCCCTTTCCCAATCCCACTCACACTCCCCAAGCAGCTCACAACAGCGCGAGCTCATAAGCGTACTAATAGACTCTGAACGCGAAGCCTCCAAACTCCGTAAATCCCTCTCGGCCGCTGTCCAGCGACTCGAAGCCGAAGCGCGCCGCGCTGCAGAGTTGGATAGGGAGAACAGGGAGGCAGCGGAGCGGTTTCGTCTCTTGAACGATTCTCGTCTAACAGCACAGCAAGAAGCTTCAAAAGCTAGCCAAGAGCTCCGATTATACCAATTCCAATTAGACAATGCGCAGAGGGAGATAGGGAGGGCGCAGGAGACTGTGAGGAATTATGAGCGGCAGCGGGATGAGGCTGAGAGGGTTGCGGCGAGGGCGAGGGCGGAGGCGAGGAGGATGAAGAGGGAGAGGTTGGTTGCTGATGCCAGGGAGGAGGGGAGGCGGAATGGGTTTCAGGCGGGGATTCAGCAGGCGCAGGAGGAGATTAGGATTGTGGCTCCTGGGGGACGGATTAGGAGGGCTCCGATGATGGCGAGGACGGGGACGGGGACGGTTCCGAGTGGGAGTGGTGATCATGATCATGACCGGTCGTTTGCTACTGGTGATGATGCGGCTTATCAGCGGCAGGCTTCGGAGTCGAGGGTGCAGCCGCGGCAAGAGGAGGTGAGGGAGGAGGATGATGATGATGATGATGATGATTTTGGGATTGAGATACAAGGGGCGACGCCGAATGATAGCTTGGCCAGCCCAATACCGCGATACCCCACACGGAACATTGACGCACAACAAGCTACGCCGCCCCATTCGCCTACTACACCACCACCACAATCATTCACGCCGGCTATACAGATATATTCGCTCGAGATACCGCCGCATGAACAGCTTGCGAGGGAGTATAATACCAACTCGAACCGCGAGTACAACGCCAACGCCAACACGAACGGGAGCGACCTTGTTTTTGATGAACCGAGGTCGAGATGGGTTAATGCGAGGAAACATGGGGAGATTAATGGGGTGGAGGTTACGCCGCCATCGTTTGCGGATCCGATAAATGGACAGCAACAGCGACCACCGCAACAACCGGTTCAGCAACCGCCACCCTCGACTTTGGGTCAACCGTCTCCAGTTGATCAGCCGCCAACGACGATGGGGCAACCCTCGACACAGCAGCTACCTCCAATGAATGGCCAACCGCCTATGGGACAACCCCAAACAGTGAACGGACAGCAGCTACCTACAATGAACGGTCAACCCCCCATGGGCCAACAACCAGCCCCAGTCATGTTTTACCAACCTCCAACTCCAACTACCGGCCCACCCTCTGCAGGCCACAAAAAAGGCGTCTCATTCTCACTCTTCAAACGGCCCCCAAACGCAAACGCACCATCACCCACGAAAGCGAAGAACAAGAATACGTGGTACCGCACGTTTAGCTTTAGGAAAAAGCCTATTATTGATCCTGAGCCGGAGGAGTATGTGGATATACAGCAGCAGCAGGGATCTCAGCAGCCAAGGAGATCAAGAGATATGTCGGGGAGTACAGAGTCGGAGAGTAAGATGTACAATTTTAAGCCGCCGCCACCTCAATCGTGGTATGTCCCGCCTAAAAAGTCGACTTCGTCTTTGGCGCCTTCTGGACCTCCCAGTTCAGCCCCTGTGTTTGCGGGTGCTGGTCCTTCCAGCTTTCGAAACTCAGCACGTCCTGCAAATACCCCCCGAAACCAAACCCAAAGCCAACTCCCAAACCCACCCCCCAAAACGCGGAGTCAGGCGTTTGACGCGTATTCGTTCCCTTCTAGGTCACGCGCTGTGTCGATGGACGATGCGCAGTCTACGTCGACGAGGATGTCGCAGTTTGATTTGGTGGCTGCTCCTGGGGCTGCTGGGGATGGGAATAGTGTTAGGGGTGGTGGAGGGCGGATGAGGGAACGGGAGAGGGAACGGGATAGTTTGTTGAGTGTTATTAAGGAGGATCCGATGAGTAGAGGGAATACGCCTGTTGCTGATCGGTTTTTGGGGAGACGGGATAGGGCGAGTTCGGATGCGCAGGTGAATATGCCTGGTGGGTTTCCAGCTGGGAGTGTGAGTTGTTTTCTTTTTTGGAGTTGGTGTCAGAGAAAGAGTGCTGATGAATTTTTTTTTTTTGGTTTGACAGCAAACTTCATCGTCGAGGCGTCGTCGTCCTCCTCCTGAAATTTACGTACCACCTCATTCTGGAGCAGGGAATGATCCTTTCGTGGCTAACTGGAATCTATCACAAGCGACTTTTGCACCTATACCTCCGAATAATGGGAAACCATCCGCGTCGAATAGACAGCCACCGTTATCTAATAATGGAAGACGAACACCATCGAATGGAACAGGAACACAGCCGTCATCGATGCAAGCATCAATGAACGGAAGATACCACCAGCCTTGGCCGGTTCAGTCCAATTACCCTCATGATACAGAGGAATACCCAGCACTGATGACCGCCACTCCCGGAATCAGCGTTCTCCCTCCTGTGCGTTTTTTTCTTTCTCCTCCTTTCCCCCTTAAACTGACCCCGATCCCGCACACAGACCGCAGCACTTTCGGATCCCCACCCATTATCGACGCCACAGACAGGGAAGAACCATCTAACGCCGAATTATGTCTTCCAGCCCCCGCAAATGCCGAGTCCGCGCAAACCACTCTCGGAGGATCTGCCGCCGCCGCCGCCGTTGAGATATAATGGTTATGGGGGATCGACGGAGAGTTTTTATACTGATAGGACGCACCCAAGGACACCGGTTAACCCTCCTTTTACTGCCCATTCTCCGAGGCCAAGTGAAAGAGGTTTCAACTCTCCTCGAGGCTTCAACTCTCCCCGTGGTGGAGGAAGGCGTTCAGCGCAAAGTGTAACTCGACCCATGTCTGTTGTTAACCCCTCGTCTCCGTCTCCACCTCCCTTGCCAGTTCCTTATCAGTCTCCCATACCCGTCCCATACAAGTCTCCCTCGACAAAGTCAGTCAACTCACCACGGCCTTCATCAGTGCAGAGTGGCCATTCACACTCGCGCATCCGGTCTGCCTCGATGATGCCTCCAGGTAGCCCCAATCGTCGTCCACCCAGCATCCGCTCTACCACCTCCCACAACAACAACAACGACCAGCGACCGACCCCATTCACACTCCAACCAATAGGACTCAGCGCAAGCCCGAACGGCAACGCGCTCCGTAACCTCCCTGACGCCAATCAAAGTCAAAGTCAGATCAGGAGAGTGCCCTCGAATGCGTCGATGAGGTCTATGAACTCTTATAACCACTTTGAGCCGCAGACGTATTTGGATCCTGCGTATTTCCAGAGTGCGGTGCCAGGGGGCCCGCCTGTGCAGGTCGATGCGGAAGAGATGCTTAGGAGGAGGAGGCAGGAGAGGGATGCGAGGATTGCGAATGGGGAGGTTAGGGCGGGTAGTGTTGCTGGGTCGAGTGTGCATTCTAGGGCTGGGTCGACGGGGTCGAGGTATTGAGAGAGAGAGATGACTTGTACTTTTTTTTCTTTTCCTTTCTTTTTTGCTGATTTTGGTTCATATTCTATTGCACATCGGTATACTAGTATGGTTGTACTTACCATGGATGGATGGATGGGAGTTTTTTGTAACATTAGTGATACTTTTTGGATGCTAGAACTAACTTGGACTCGGAAGGTCGTGAATTGGTTGTGAATATGCAAGTCGAGGAGTGATTATGTAAAAGTGGAAGAAAATCCTATGCTTCGACCACCATGACCAGTGCAAAAGGAACGTTGGATTTCTCGTGGTTCCCCTCTGGCTTATCCCAGATCTACATAGGGAGGAACGGGCCGGTGATTTACTACTCAAAACTCTAAAAAGTTGCCCACGAAGTGCGGTGCCGCAGAGATTGCAATGGCGGTGCCACATGTACAGCAATTGACAGGATGTCCAAGTGATGTGCACCTTTTTGATTATCTTCGCTGAGCACTAAGTTCTAACCGCCCTATTCATAGGCAATCTCGCGCGCGTCATTAATCTGTGCACAAGCTTATCAGTTTCCATTGGCAGAAACTTACAACTTTTGGGATTCAAAAACAGACACTGATAGAGATTGACGCGAACCTACTAGGCCACCAGGCTGCAACAAGACGCACACGATAACCAAACTTTATAACGACTCTACACGGACGTTCGAGCCTCCAAGAGGACGATGGCATACCCCACTTTCAACTTGACCCAAACTAGTAGGCTCTGCGGCCAACGACTCTATTCACCGCGTATCTCTCCCCTACGGCTCGCGTCAGATAACTCTCTACTCGCCCAGATACGGTCCGCGAACAACGTCCAACTGCCTCTAGGTCCGTTCGATCCTAAAATACCATGTCATGCAACGTCTACGGATCCCAAATCCCCTCACATCGAGCACGACGAAGAGACGTTGGTGCCTTTCTTTTTGCATCGTCCTTTGCCGAGGACGCAAGCGCCTATAGGGTTCCTTCGGCCACCAGTAGCTAGGGCTCTGTTGGAGGACCACCATTCGCAGTTGGAGCTTCATGGAAGGTCAAGTTGGTCTTTCTACCCCAAGGAGAACCAGGCACCGGATTCGTTGTCGGACAATGGAAATGGAAAGATGTGGGCTCTTTCGTTTTCGCCTCATGTGTGGAATCGGTCGCTTCGTACGGACGCGATTAAGAGAGTTGTTAAGGGGTGGAAACGGTTGGATATGTTTCCTGATGTACTTGAAGGCGAGTTTGTGAGGCCTTTACCCGGGTCAATATAAGGCGCTGACTTTTTATATAGGCCGCAGTGATGAAGAATGCCCCGTCTATCTCCCATCTGGCGTCGATAGAACAACTGATTCCGGCGAATCCATGGCGTTGACTGTCCAACGTGCTGCTCTGCCTTTGTTCAGTTTCCCAAATTTTGGCACTCTTCTTGTCGGCGAGTCTTTCTTTCGCGTAAACTACGGTAGCGAACAATCGCTGAAGATCACTTGATTTTTTAGGTTTTTGCCAGAAAGGCGAATGCCCTAGCGACCTCCAGCTATGGATTGCTCGACGATCACGTTCAAAGAGAATGTAAGGGATCACCTCGGGTTTGTAATGCATATTTTTCATTTGGTTCTTAGCTTTCCAGGCTTCCTTGATGTTGTTTCGGGAGGAAACATTGGCCTCGGTGAGCGAAATCGCTGACGAGTCTTGTTTGTCCAGCCAACTTGCGATCTAGGACAACTTCCCGTTGAAAGTGTGATGCGCGAAGCATCAGAAGGAGCTTCACTTCCAGAATCTTACCTGGCAAAACACGTTCGTTCTTCGGGGAATATCGTTTTCTCGCATCGCTCTTCTGCCGGCTGGCTTTTGCCTGGACTCTATCACACCTTTCAGCTTCCTCTCCCCATGAATTCTCTCAAAACTATTGGTCATGACGGAGAAGTTGAGAGCTTCGAGCTGTTCGATGCGCAAGAGTGTTTGGACAAGCTAGTTGCTGGAGAGTTCGCACCGTCATCGGCGTTGGCGATTCTGAATTTCCTGGTGAGGGAAAGGTTGTATACTCGTGACGTCGATATGGGATACGACGCTGTGCTTGAGGCCATGCAAAGAGATCTAGTGGTGCCCATTTTTTGATTACTATTTTTTTTTGATCATTTGGACAGGCTACTTGTTTTTCGTTACACTCGCCCGAGCTATCCCCAATACCCCAACATCACCACACCTAAATAACACTCTAGGGATGGCTATGACTTCTCGTCCCAATCATATATCTAAGTACCTCGCTCTTATAGAATCCGAGTCGCGAAGTTATTTGACAACGCCAAGTTTAAAATTTGAATGACGTCGCGCGTATTCCACCCATCATAACAATTCAAAAATCTGAACCATTAGAAAAGAGCCTTGATGACCATAAACGGCAGATTCGTCAACCTTTTTCGTCGTCGGAATCGAGTTAAGTTTCATGGTCGTCAGGAATAAGGGACGGTTGAGACTCGGACTTGGCTTGTCAGGAAGGCTTGAAATTGTTTCCTGGTCACGATCTGGCTTTCACAAATAAACCACCGTCTCCTTCCATCGAAGTAAAAAAAAAATTGCAGGACCTTTTGCCTTAGGCGATAATTTATCATTTTCAATTCCTCGCACGGGATCATTAATATTATGGGGTAGGTTGCACGTAGAATATCGTAAAAAGTGATATCCTGTTCTATGTCGAAAGTGTTATTCGCCAGTGGGTATCAGGGTTTGGAGGTGACAATGATACTTCAATATGAGGGGTACAAGTGTACAGTGAACATATCTCGCAAACTAATGTACAATAATCAAGAGCCTTGAATATTCGGTACAGATGTACCACACCCTTCAATTTTGATTTTTAGAGTACAGATGTACCACAATCATATATATTGGATATTTTGGTACAGATGTACCATGCCCTTCAATCTTCATATGTACCCCACCCTTCAAATTTGGTACACACCCTTAAATTTTGGTTTTGGAGTACAGATGTACTACCATAATCAGATATTATGGAGATTTTGGTACATATGTACCACACCCTTCAATTTTGGTTTTTGGAGTGCAGATGTACCATAATCAGATATTTAGGATATTTTGGTACATATGTACCACACCCTTCAATTTTGGGTTTTGGAGTACAGATGTACCATAATCAGAGATTTAGGATATTTTGGTATGGATGTACCACACCTTTCAATCTTGGCTGTTGGAGTACATATGTACCATAATCAGAGATTTAGGATATTTTGGTACGGATGTACCACACCTTTCAATCTTGGCTTTTGGAGTACATATGTACCATAAACAAAGATTTAGGATATTTTGGTACGGATGTACCACACCTTTCAATCTTGGCTTTTGGAGTACATATGTACCATAAACAAATATTTTGCATATTTTGGTGCAAATGTACCACACCCTTCAATTTTGGGTTTCTTGGAGTACAGATGTACCACAATCAGATATTTTGTATATTTCAATACAGATATACCATGAGCTCCAAATTTCGTTTTACTTAGGACTGATGTAAATATGTCACATGGTGCTACTTACTTCCTCCCTTTCTCTAGGGATTGTATACGTAACCTATTCCATACTGAAAGAAAGACCTTGGTGAACAGGATTGCTCGATCTTGTGTCATATATTTCACTGACTTCCAGATTCGCTTAATGCTGCTGTTTTCACACTCTGCTGCACTTGAATTGATACTTTTCAACCGTGGATCAGCATTCACGTATGAGCTGAGGCACGCAGCTGATGAACACTTTGTGTGATCCTTCGCATGAAAATCATCAATGGCAAAAAGTGTGTCTGCAAAAAAAAGGGGCTTGCGCATCATACAATATGGACCCAGTGCGCAGGCGAAGTCGTAGATGATTCTCTTTGGTGCTTTGACCCACCGTGTGATTATCGGCGAAAAGACATCATTGTGACCTTCCCCATTTGGAATGCAGTGGAATCCGTAACAAATGCTATGGGAGCACCAAATACACATAAGGCCACCGGTAAGCTTCTGCTTTCCATAGATTGACCAGTATTTTGAGCATTTTTGCCCTCGCTTTCCATTATCTCCATGGAGATCGTGGGTCAAATGTGGATAGGAAGGATGAAGGCGAATGGCAGGCATGCTGTAGTAGCAACCTGTCTGATATTTATCAAATAAAAGTCAAGAGCAACTTGATAAGAATTAACTTACCTCTTGCCAGTTTTCTTCCTCCAATTCTATTTCCGATGCTTCAGGTGTTTCAGAATTGTGTGATGTTAGACCCAGAAAGACGTCTCCCCCATGACTGTACAACCAGTTGCAAACATCTAAAAGGTCATTGGACACGCGCGTGAATGTCGTGAACTCATACAGCAGCGTATTGTGAAGTGCTGGAATTCTTGTTAAAGCTGATGCTGCCATCACTGACGGGTTTTGGATAAAAACCACGAGATCCTGCAAAGCCAACCTATTTGACATTTGTAACACAGATTCTTCAGCAGTGAGCTAAGAAATTAATTTCAGTTCTGATTTTCCAATGATTTGAATGCCATACTTACATTTAAAAATAGTTTTTGATACATAGCTTTGGGTTCAAGGCCATTGTGGAGAGCTTCAATCCCGAATTCCCGTTTAAAAATATGGCCCAAGGCAGGAGACAGGTTTGATAGTCCTTCGATAACCTGTGGGGTGGCTTCCAGCCACTCAGCAAACAGTTCTCTTTTCTTCTCCACCTGCTTATACTGCTTCGCCGCCTTTTCTAATGCTTTTCTCTCCCTCTTCCTCATCCTCGTCATCCCCTTCATCCTGCTCCACATCTGATACCGGTTGAAGCAGGCTAGCCACGCTCTGCTGGCAAATCTTTCGAATGGCCTCATGTAGCTCTTGGTCTGGAATGGCCTGTTGACGAGAGGTATAGCGACTCTGTTTTTGAGGTGCAGTTTCTGAGACGACTGTTGGGGGATGCAGTGATGGAAGGAGGTACTTCTCTCCATATGCTAGCATGACTCCATCCCAGATTGTATCTTCTGGTGTCGGTCCACATACTGGGCATTGCATATCGGCCTCGAATTGTTGAAGTTTGACAAATGCGAACCAACCTAAGCATGCATGAAGAGAACACGGTTGTTATAGTTGAACAAACCAAGATTTTGACAATCTGGGCCAATTTGCCTTCGTGAGCAAGCCGTACACAGTTGAACCTCAATTTTGGTCTCTGAGGTGCCATTGGTTGTGTAGACGATGCATGATGCCACACGCATGGGCCTGGACTTATCAAACTTAGGGCGTGGATCAGTGCAACAACACGATCCACCACTGGACAATGAAATGGGTGAAGGGATGCCGCCTAAGTCTAGTGGAGGGCCTAATGAGGGAAAGGTCAGATCCATAGAAATTCGGGCCCAGATAGGAGGGGGAATAGGAAGGTAGGACACCGATCCTTCTCCACGCAACTTTTGACGTGGCTGTTTTGCTGTGGAAGAAGATTATGTCAGCCAATTACATATGTATACCAGTGACATCACGTACTGTTACAATGGACTTTCCCATGACTGTCGCCCTCGCCGCCAGTGAGAAGTTGGTAGCAAGCGCTGGTGTGTCCACATCTCTGACCAGAATCTCGACTACACCACCAATCTCCATTTCCATTATCTTCTCCCTCATATCGGACAATCACACGGGATCTTACATGGGTCTGGTTTCTATCAGAAGAGGGAACACTGAAGTAGTTGGTCCAGATGGCGGGATCCCTCTCTTGCTGCCTAGAGAAAAGAACAAGTTCCTCTTCATCGTCTGAACATTAATGTATGTCAATTTCAATTCAAACAATGTCGACAGAGTACTCACAAATTAAGACTTGAATTTGACTGGGCAGGAACATGACGTCCGAGAACTCAAGAACAAAACATATGTGGATGCAGTCTAGCCTCCCAATACCGTCCACCTTCGCCCGGGCATGAGGGCACATGCAAACTGCAACAAGTTCATCACCATTTCCCATCACTTGGAGATGATACCATTGTTTCTAGAGGTACTGTTGGCTTTCATCTCGCTGGTCATAAAAAGACTTACGTTACATGTCAGCGACTTGCGATTCCATCCTGGCACAACAAACATCGTCGGGGTGAGGGGATAGAATGGGATTTCATCATCAACAACTCCTTCTACGAACATCGCGTATGAGTCTTCATCACTCTCGGAACCATTCTCTTCATCTGCGGGATGCCCCAGCCAGATGGGCAAAGGGTTCGGGAGTAGTGGTGGTGAGCCATGGGTGGTAAGTGATCTTTGCTCAAGGTGTATATCACTCGGTTCAGCCGGGCTTGTGTTGGACATTTCTTCGCCTGGTGGCGCTCATTTCACATTCCCTGTTGATGCTGTGTGTCTTATTCCCCCATCTGGACCCCTTCCATTACAAGGCGGCGTCCTCCTGCGTGGGAGGTGTGATTTTGATATGCTTTTTGCTAGGGCGGTCTGACATCATAATGGTAGAAAAGAAAGTCGTGGACAGAGATTTGGTATTCAAGTGACCAGCCCGGAGGTATGTTTATCGCTTTTAGTATTTTTCAACTGCCCCTCGACATTTATCCCATTCCGATAATTTTTTTTGGCATTCCTGGAAAGGACCACGTGCCCGATTTAACAACCTAGGCTGATATATAATATTTCCACATGCCCTCTCATTCCTCCCTCCCCATCATGGCAAAATCATCGACCACCCGTCTCACCCATGCCCAGCGCTCGTCACGAAAAAAAAATCTTTCACGGAACCAACAGCAACTGCCTGCCAAGAAGTCAAATTCCTCAAGGACAACAAAACCTGAAGCCGCCCCTCAACAGAAAGTACTACGACACTGCCGCCAGTGTCCCGATCGCCCTTTAAGATCACAATGCATCCACACTGTGACCGGGCATTCATATCTAGAGTCTGTTCCCAGCGGGGCTCCATCCAGCGTAAGCTTCTTTGGGTGTAGAAGATTTCAATACTGATTCACAACAAATTATCCCTAGGCGAATCTGACTCTCACTACCACTTTGGGCCTTCCTGCTCTAGGTGAACTTGAACCAAGTTCGTTAAGTACTTCCTCGTCACCGGCCCCTATCAAAGAAAACTTCCCACAGCCTTCGCAGTCGGTTCAGGTGGTTCGTCATCACAGATAATCATAGTATTTCAACATTGACGCCGTGTCTTCCTACAGAATCCATTTCTGTTGAATGTGCTAAGTCACTGTCAAAGTTATCTATGGATGCCTCAGTGCCAGAGTCAGAGTTCTCGCTCTGCTAGACGTGGGACTCCTGACACATCACCTACGTCGCCGCATGCCAATTGTACTCCCTTTCTGCCCATCCTTCCCACTCCCTCTCAGGATATCACGTCTATCGTCACCACTTCAAACAACTACGTTGAGGGTGTCTACTGTGGGAGCCAACTGTATCATTTGTATCTTTTTCATCCTTGATCCAATTAGCTCTAATGTTCGATTTTTTTATACTCGAAGTCATCAATCGTTCTTGTGAACTCCCTGCATTGAAGATCGGCTCAGAAGCAAGCAGGCATTACAACAAAATGATTAAGGATATCATCAATCGTGTGTGTCGACCATTGTGAATCTTTCGAATTATTGTTTAAACCAATTCTTTGACTAGTGCGAAAGGCTGGCGCATGGATATTCTTCACAGGGAACTACTTGAATGCGCGTCAAGATTTTGTCCACCAAAATTCTGCCTGGAAGCACATGAAGAAATCGAAAATGTTACAAATAAATTTGACAAGATTTTTGAAAATTTGATAACAGCTCGACGAGTGGATGTGTTTCAAAAACAGACGGAGCTTCAGCAGCGCATTCAGGAGAGGGAGGTTTTATTGAGGGAAAAACAAGAAGAGATTACAGAGAAAGAGAGGGTAACTGACAATCTCTTAGCTAGGCTCGCCGTTATGGAAGGCAGGTTGAAGGATGCTGGCTTACATTGACTAAATCTACCCCCTTATGATCAGGGGAAATTTATCATGACTCCCAATCTCCTTTGGGAATTGCAAATTGTTGTGTACCATGAAGGGACTCGTTGCAATACATCTCACGATAAATTAAGGTCCATCTATGAAGAAATTTGGGCATTCTCACACAAATCAGCCCAATGGGGTCTCGGTATATGCGAAAATCAAACTGATCCGCATTCATCAGAAGGTTGATAGGGTGCCACAGCATTTGCTTGCGTGAAGGATATTGCCTTCAACACCAAGCGTGACCAAGTCACGTGAAATTTTGTCTGCACGCTGCAATAACTCAAATATATATTCAGAAACCAGGAAATGTTATTTGGGTGCTATAATGTTGCCCTTGTGCAAACCAATGTCATTTATTTATGAACTGAGAGCAGATACTGAGATAGCACCTGAGTGTCAAGTGATTGCCCAGGTCACATGCAATACAGGATCAGAGGCATGGGTTGTCTCCATGATTAAAAAGCTATGATAGCTCAGATATATATTCGGAAACTGGGAAATGTTACTTTGGATGCTATAATTTTGCCCTATGCAAAACAATTTCATTCATTTATAAACCGAGAGCAGATGTTGGATATTTGGTCGGAGGATCACCCAATTTGGATGGCGCATACTCAGCATCGCCCGCACTAATCTGATGGCTCTTCTTCCCCAGCTAGCACCTAGTCTTTGGTGTCTTATGTATTGCAAGTTTGACATGAAGTCAATGCTCAATAAGTGCATTGAGCACACATCTATGCACCCAACAAAATGGGAGGTTGTTATTTCAGCCACAGGCAAAGACACATTTATGCACCTGACGACGCTGAAGATCTCCTTTTATTTTATTTTTCAAACTTCATCTCGTGAAATCACATACATTGATATTTGAAGGATAAGTGTTTTATTCAATGCTAGGCTTTACGGCTTCTCATCACTCCCACAGGTTGTTCAACAGGACACGCTTGCAGGTTGCTTATGGGTTCGTTTTTTTTCAGATGGTTCAGGTGCACTGTAAACATAAATGTTTGCAAAAATCATATCACTGAATGGCTGTTGTCGATGAGGCCGTGTATACACGTTCAAATTCATCGAAGTTCACTATACTCTGATCATAATTTTGTTGCATTATGATAAGGCCTGAGAGTGTATCTGTCTGTTCCAGTTGGTTTCACGTTTCCAAACCTCATAAGATTGCCCACTGCAATCAAACACTGGTTAGGATGGCGTTCTTCAAGTTCACATTGTATTTGGCAAGTTTGGACAACTTTCTGTAGGGCATGAATAGTAATGCATATCCATGCATGATAACCAAGGTATTTAACCAAGGTATTACAACGATCTATATAAATGATTGTGGGTTAATGACACAGTAACATTCCCAGTACAAAGCAACACGTCATCTCACATTCCCATCACACATTCCCATCAGGACAGCGCGCTCAATAATATCAACCTTCTCCCCCTCGCCAACTATACCCCTCCAGTCCGGGGCAACATACTGAAATCGTCCTTGATGTGCCTCAGCCCAGTACATGTCTCCTTCTCCGAAATACAGCTCAAGTAGCAGGCCACGACACTCATGATATCCACAGTACTTCCTTCCGAAGCTGTGATCAATGCATGGTCATGGTCATTTTGCTTCTATTGTTGTTCCTGCAAGAAGCCGTATGATAAATGAGGTAAACGGGGAAATGGGTGACAGCGGTTCTTGACCATGGGCTTCTAAGTAATAGGGCAATGAAAGAGTGAGAAAATTCCGCTTAATTGCGAAGAATGAAGTCTTGAATTCTGTGAGCGTACTCTCCTAGATGTGTGGGAGTGGGGATGACAAGTGTGAGCGTAAGTGTCTCGTTGGACTCATCATGTGTGGACCAGACACTGAGACATGTCCAGTGCATAGGTTGTCAGTGGCATGGAAAAGTGCGTATTTCGAGTGGTGAGGGATCCGGGGAGAATGAGGGTGGAGGGTGTGAAGGAGCCTGAAGAGAATGCGATGGAGAGGAAGGTGATGAAGGCATGGAAGGATTTCAACATGTATGTCTCTCTCTCATAACTTGGGCTACTTGAACAAGTGGAAGCCGCAGATGCCTTGTGTTTGAGTTGTTTAACGGTCGTGAGCCGACCTTGCTGTGTGTCGACCTTTGTCGGCTTGACGGACGTTGAGGGGCAGGTGACGATGCTGAGTCTGACATTGCATCTGGTGTAGAGGGGATGTCGGACAGCTGGAATGTCACTTTGAAGTGAACTATTGGGGTAAGTAAAGGAAGGTTGTTTTTATCATCTTCATGCTATCGTAATTATAGGAAGTGTATTCGTGGATCGTCGTGATGGATGGGGTGTGTGATGACAATGGGGGTGGTTTTCGGTGGGTTGGGCTTTGACGATGTGAGGGAAACTAGAGGTGTTGACGACGTAATTTGTCTAGGGCTGTTTCTGTGTAATTGGCAGTAGGAAAGGGTGTCCGGTTGCTAAAAACTTACCAACAGAATTGAATCCAGGTAGTTTGACCAAGCTGGAAATCGGGATTGGAGTGAGACGGATGATGCAATGGCGACAAAACTGCCCAAGATTATGGCAGAGAAAAGACCTGTTGACGTCATTAAATTCTATGAGATCAGCTTAGTCAGTGCCACATGGCGTCAATCAAATGTCGACTGCTCTGACAGCTGATTGCAAAACGATAGGCCAGTTGCAACAACGACTGATCTTCAGCCATTTATTTGTGCATTGATGGAGTGTCATGGAAGCTGGACCAAACAACAAACAGCAGCAGGAGCCGTCAAGTTACGTTGAGGGCCATCGTGCTTTCTTTCTTACATTTCTAATTATGGCCTTCCAAACAAACAAACCGCTGAAGAGCAACCACCATCACAACTGGCCTATCGTTTTGCAATCAGCTGGAAGCAGTCGACATTTGATTGACACCATGTGGCACTGACTAAGCTGAAGAACACGTCTGGCACACAAAAATCAAAATCGACCAAATTGTGTTGGTACTAGGTAAACAAGGTATTATTACTTGCATACAATCGACTGAAATATCTCATTGGTTACCACATCCTCGCCCAAATTCATGTAGCTCATGAGTGACCTCTCACTGGGTGGGGTCACATCGCGAATTGCGATAATGTTTTGATCATCGATGACCTCGTAACCTAAGTCATCAAAGGGTGCCCACCACCCGACTGTTGGCAATATTACTGCAAGCCACTCATACCAGCCACCAGCATAAACACGTGGAGACAAAGCGGCAATCTGACGAATTGAAAATTGATTCCCTGGTGGAAGCTGAACAAACATCACATCTGGAAATGAAGGTCCCTGCTATGGGTGTTTGGATAGAAACAGCACAGATTTGCCACTAGCAATGTACTCACCGACCGAGGTGGGTAAAAGAAAATCTTGATGCACCTTTCATCGACAGATTGTGGAGCATGTAGGTCGAACTCAGATGGAGTAGCTAGAGAAAGGGAAAGTTAGAAGCAGAAATAAAATATGGCAGTGGTACAAACCACCGATGGTGGTAACCATGAGTACAATCTTTTGGGGATAGTCAATGTAAGCAAGTGTAAGCATCTGCTGAAATATTTTTCAGCAGCTGGAATTGTACCTTTCTGAGGCCCAGGCTCCGGCAGAACACATGATTGGTTATGCGCAGTTTATGCAAGGGGTAGCCCCTCAATTTTTCTTCATCTGGATAAATTCATTCAAGGGTGGGTTTCCCATACTGACCGGAATCAAGGAACAAGATCTCTGGCCCCTGAGAAATGGTTGGCGTATCAAGAGGGAATTTTTGTTGGATGTCTTCAAGCCCAGAATCGTCCTAAATTTTTCAAGACAAGCAGTGGACTATGGACAAAGATACTCAGGCATTGCAGGATGACGGTTCGTGGATGGCTCATAATATATTCGCAAAGACTCACTATTTCATTTCATAGTGAACACCGCCAAAGAAGCTGAAGCTGAAGCTTCCGCTGCTGTTGAGTCCGCCAAAGAGCATCTCTCCACAATTCGCGAGTTGAAGAGAAGAAGAAGGGCGGGGGAACAAAAAGTCAGTCAACATATCTCTTTTTGTACAACGGCATTCACCATCTTCCAGCCACTCTCCAGGATGCAGAGGATCATCTATCTTGTGCTAGGCAACTTCATGAAGAATGTCTAGATTTGTTGAAGAAGAAAGAAGTTTTATTGTTGAAGGCATTATGTGATATACTACCTATCCTCACTCACGCAGAAGAGGGAGCTTCGTCCAAGATGAGTTTTACGGCTGCCATTCTTGAGAGTTCCATCCACTCTCCCGATTCTGCCAATCCTACATGCAGTATATCTGTTCCTATGAGCGTAGATGCTGAAAGCACCACGGCAATACCTATTCCCACTCCCACAGAAGTTTCATCCCCAAAGGGCTCTATGGCTGCAACTTTTGAGAGTTCTGTCCACTCTCCCAATTCTACAAATCTTACACACCATATCAGCATGGATGGTAAAAGTGCAGCGGCGATTCCTTTAGGCGATATAGTTTCATCCGTGAAAGCTTCTGCGGCTGCCATCTTCGAGAATTCCATCCACTCTCCCATGAGCATGGATGGTAAAAGCCCTGCAGCAATTTCATTAGACGGTGTACCATCTATCCCCACTCACGCACAAGGCCAATCTGAGACATCACGACGCATACTTCACTGGAGTTGCAAAGGGCGAAGGTGTCCCACAACACTATGAGCGGTGGTTCGTCAACAAGTTCCTTGAGATCACAGCGGATGTGAGGAACACGGCACATACCGCAATTGAGAAAGGGGAGAAGCTGCTACATGGTTATAAAGCTCACATGGATGCTGAGCTACGCTCGTCAACATTGGTTGAAGCGCTCCACATTTGTCAGAATCGTATGATGGCTCGAGGTTCAGAAATATCGGATGTTGCGAAGTGGAAGACGCTCCTCCACTATACAGAGGATGAGCTCATGAAAACTGATGCAGAGGCAGTTGCAATGTTTCAGAGCGGTCGGAAGCGGCAGGAGGACGATGACTTTGAGGATGGTGAAGATATAAAGCCGAAGATGGAGGCCGGATTTTCCGATAAGAAGACACCCGCACCAGAAAAATTTCACGAAGACTGGTTAGACATGAATGAGACACAACAAGAGGAGATGCAAGGTATGAGAATACATACCTTTGAGATTCGCCTACTGATCATTCATTGTTAGTTGCCTGCAAGAAGGCAATCAACCTTTTTCTCATGAAGGGGGAACAGATCAACTCCACTATGCAACGGATGATCCGTGAGGTCCCAGAACTAGCTCCTGAAGCTGGAACTACCTCTCGTTCCCTCAGCCAGCACATTCTTGAGTGTGACTTCATTATTTGTCATCACCACAGGCGGTATTGGACAAAACGCGACTTTGCAAAGGTCGATGGTCCATTTCAAATTGAAGGCGTCGGCTATAGTAAGAATTACAAAGGGAGAGTGAAAACAGGGGACTCGGAGGAGGGACACATTGATTGTGGATGCAGTGAGGATTTGGCGCTGTTCGAGCTGTTCTGGTGGAAGACGTGGTCAATCGGATCATCACACCAAAACCTCATGACGTTCCGTGAGAATTTGAAAACCGACACAATCCCCCCTCGCCTTCGTGCATTTTTTGCTGCAGCATATCAGGAGGTTAGCTTGCTGACCCTTGACGACTTGTTTGCCATTCAGTGGGGTGAAGAAGGTTACGAGAATCGCCTACATACGCTGCAGGTTATGCGGAAGGTAACAATGCTCCGGTCTCAGGGTGTTGAGATACCAGGCTTTCAGTTGACCTCAGAGAGTTCAGGTATATCTGGGTAGATCAGGTAGTCAGTACAATAATTCAGCTACATATTAGCTACCCCGTTCAATGCGCAAATCTTGCAAATTGAGCAACCGCTGGAATGCGAACACCGAACATTGTAAATATCACACCAAGTTTTCCACGCCACATCGTCGATCTGGTGGGGTGTGGAGATCCTGAACACTTGCATATATTGTAACGTGCACTTCAATTCTTGTTTTCACAGTACAAATGTACCTTGATCAGATATTTTGAATATTGTGGTACCAATGTACCATGTCTTTAAAATGTCATTTTTGCTGTACAGATGTACTATCCACTTCAAATTTTGTCGCCATAGTGCAGATGTACCATGATTCAGAATTTTGAATATTTTGGTACGGATGCACCATGCATTTCAAATTTTATTTTTGCTGTACAGACATACCATGACCAGAAACTCTGAATATTTCAGTGTTGGTTTACCATGCAGCTGTACAAACATACCATATTTAGAAGCTACATGAATATTTTGGTACAGATGTACCATAAACTTCAAATGTTATTATTGCTGTGCAGATGTACCGTGCACTTCAGATGTTGTTGCCATAGTACAGATGTACCATAATCAAAGATTTCAACCATTTTTGTACAAATGTACCATGCCTTTTGATTTTGGTTTTTCAGAATTTATTTTTGCTGTAGATATACCGGACCAGAAACTTTGAATATTTCAGTGCCAATTTACCATGCCATTCGAATTCATTTAGCTGTACAGATTTTAGTATGGATGTACCATGTCCTTCAAATGTTAATCTTTTTATAGATGTACCATATTAAAAATTTTAACTATTCTAGTATGGATGTACCATGAACTTCAAATTTCTTAGTATGGACATACTGTAATGAAGAACTGTAAATATTTTGGTATGAATGTACCATGAACTTCAATTTTCTTTCCATAGTACAGACATACCATTGTCAAGGCTTTTGAATATTTTGGTGCAGATGTACCATAAACACCAGGTTTATGCTCACAGTCCAAACGTACCATACCATTCAAATCTTATGTTTGTTACCACAACCAGAATTTGTGAATATTTTGGTACAGATGAACAACATCCTTCAGATGTATTATAATCAGAAATTTCGGATGTTGTGGTACAGATGTACTATATCCTGCAAACTTTATTCTCTCTGTACAGATGTACTACATCAGGAATTTTTTTTGCGCTTCAAATTTCGTTTCCATGGTTCAGGTGTACCATACACTGTAAGTCTCCCATTTTCTGTACGAATATACCATGAATATAGATTTAAAATTTTCCAGTACATCTGTACCAGGACTTTGTCTTTCTCTTTTCACTGTATACATGCACTATAAACTTAAATGCTGGACCACCTAGTACACATGTACGGTAAAAATTAATTTATGATGCTTTTATACAGCCAACTAAAAAATCCAACATCATGGTGCATGTGTACCATGACTTGGTATTTGGAATACTCATCCATACTCAATTTGATTGTTATGGTACATATGTACACTATTCTGCATGACCCCTTCACAAATTCTCCTTCTAGCTAGTGGTACATATAAACAACAAGAGATGGAATATTAAAGACACACCATTACCCTGATACCCACCAGCAGGTATCAATTTAGAAAGAGAATAGTATATAACTTTTTCCAGATACTACATGCAACCTTTGCGAATATTATTTGCATTGCTTTGCCCCATTGACAATGACATCCTCATCAACGCCTTCCAACAGTTGGCGCTGTTCCTGCTCTAGTTTCCTCTTCTGGTATGTCTTCTAGGCTGGTGCTTCCTGCGGCTGTTGCTTGCCTTCTTGAGTTTATGATTGGGTGTCAGAATATCCTTCCATTTCCGATAAACATGCCTGACAATGATTTCGGTGCCTCAAGAGCATGAAGGGCAATTCCAACATGTTCTCCTGTTTCCAGATTGGTGAGTGTTTACACTTAATAGACAATAATTGAGACCTTCTAGGCCTTGAGACACAATCCTGAGCCACGTAGGTTGAAAAAGTTGTTGACCATGGAGAGGTTAGTTAGGACGCCAACCGATTGAGTAATATCATTGATGATGAGCAACTGTTTAATAAGTATAGGGCCTGGTAATTGGCATGGAAAAAAGGATTACAAAACACTTTATGCCAACCGGTAATTCGCAATTGGCAGTTTGAGTGAAAAAAAAAGGATGCCTTATTTGCAGTTTGAGTGAAATAAAAAAAAGAATGGCATATTGCTCTGCCCCCTGCAAGGTTCGAACTTGCGACCTCGCGTGCACCGTGCGGACAGTTCCAACCACAAGTGGCATATGGAACGTCACGCTCAGTAAAAACGAAAGTCAGATCAAGTCATCTACCCCTCACAAGAAGGTCATGTGAAGTCGTGTTGGTAAGTGCAAGTCATGTGGCACTCAGTTATGTATCTGCCAAAATTTCATGGCCTAACTGAAGTCGAGGAATAGTCAGTTACAAGTCATGTTGTAGTGTAGTCCTCATCATCTGATTTCTATCGCCTTCGTCCTCTTTTCCACACATGCTTGATGTCAACAGGCGAGTGAACAAGTCACAATTTGTTGAAGTCCGTTGAAACTCCGACATCAGGTGATCATGTTGAATCTTCTGTCAGCGCGAATATCTGAGTTCTTCCTTCCCACCACACCCACGCAAGCTCCAATTCATAAGTCGACAAACGGCCTTCTCCATCCCGATGACGAACGGCCTCTCTCTCCCTCGACCAGCGGCCTCCTCTCGTGATGAAGGGTCTCCTCCCTAGGTAGCGATGACGAAAGGCCTCTTCCCTCCCTCGACTAACGGCCTCCTTTCTTGACGAATGATTTCCTCATTCCGCAGACGGTCTCCTCCGTCTCCTCCCTCAATGATTGGTCTCCTCCCTCAACAACTGGTATCCCCTCGACGATTGGTTTCTAAGCTCCAAGCTCAACGACCTGTCTCCTCCCTCAATGAACTTTGTATGCCCTCAACAACCTGTCTCCTCCCTCGACGAACTGTCTCCTCCTTCGACGACCTGTTTCTGCCTTCGACGAACTGTCGCCTCCATCAACGACGTGTCTCCTCGACGACCTGTTCTCGCCTTCGACGAACTGTTGCCTCCGTCAACGACGTGTCTCCTCCCATGAACTGTCTCCTCCTTTTACCAATGGTCTCCTCCTAACTAGCTCAATGGCCTCCTCCCTTCTTTGATCGGCATCCCCCTCTATCTCGATGAACGGTCTCGGCCTTCCCCCTACCTCGACAAATGGTGCTGCACAAGGTTTATGATTAGGAGACGAGAATTTGGACTTGACGTGGTTGATGTATATACCCAAGCCTGATGTCATACGAAGGCGCCGCTCGAGGTTTACGCATTTATGGGGAATTTATACTGCAAATCGTTGATTCAATCTAGATTAGAAGGGTGTATATACATGCTTATTTATGATTTTGACGTTTACATGACTTGACGCTGAGAAGACTATTTATTACTATCAGTGACCAGGAGTTTGATATGCTTCAGGAGTTTGAAATCCCCGATTTCCTCTCTTAATTTTGACACAGGCTTTCTGGTATTTTTTTCTGGACTAATTATGACTCTTACAAATATGAATATCAACCTTTTTTGTGCAACAACCGAGTCTGACGAGCTCAGGATTTTAAAAGGTGGTTTTCGGCGCATCAAAACTGTGATGTATGCAAATGATTTTCAAGATCTAATCTGATCCTTTGCATTAGGGTATCTAAAAATTTACAAGCATGTACTAGTAAACGACGCGACTTCAAATACAAAAAATCAAGCAGAAAGGTGAAGAACTATGCTTATAATCCAATGAATTTCGATTCTTTGTCTGCTGAGCGTGACAGACGTGATTTTGGGCTGCGTGGTTTTGAACCCTGACAGTCGCATCACCTATCAAAATTCTGACAGTTGGATGTGACTTGGACGTGACAGCCATTTCAATCTCCCGAAACAATCGACTTCGACGACCGGTAAGCCTCCGTCAGCTTCCACCACTGTTCAATAAAAAAACTAAAAATATATTCATGTTCATGAGATACACATTCACCACCACACAAAATTTGGAGGCCCGGAGTGTAGCGGTTGTGGCATAATTCAGCCAAAGGTCAAATCGTTTCAAACTCCTGGTCACTGATAGTACCTGAGAGAAATAGACAACTAACACATCTCAGTTACGCAACTTGAGCATGACTGGAACAAGACTACTACACAACTATAGCATAACTAGCATCTGACTTTTGTTTGACTACAAAAGGACTATGAAGTCGGGATTTCATGACTAACCATTGACCTTCAGATGAGGGTGACTAGACTAAGTGCAGACTACCACATGACTGTATCATACATATATTTGGCATCTGGAAAGGAAACCACACGACTTGACACGACTTCGTGAAGTCGACTTGAAGTCAAAATTTTGTAAAATTTACTGCTTTTAGTCATGTCTTACATTTTCGTGTACTGGCGTGACTACTATATGACCAACACCTGACCAACCGTTTTTACTGAGCGTCACGTGTCTCCGCAAGCGAGCTCACACGACACAGCGTATGATAGGCTCGTCCCCAGCCAGCTTTTCGATTACATAATTGACTCGCATGACTCCTCAATTCGAAAAGCCGGCTGGTCACTCTTGTCACCATTTTGAGAGGGCGAAAATCTCCCTGCCATTTCAGAGGAGGTCACTTCGTTAAAAAAAGTGTGTAATGATGAAAAAAAGTGCTCGAGAAGGGTATATAAAAAATGAATTTTGAGAGGCATAGAGTAAATTAGAGTATGTAAGGTTTTGTGAAATTTTTCAAGGTAACTTTGTCGTCGTCGTTGATGGGTCTGTGCACGCAACCTCAGTCCAAGTCCTTATCGCTATCTCCTTCTTCGTCGCTATCTCAATCCATCCCAGAGTTATCCACGAGGATGGAATGAGAAGGTTGGAAAGGAAGGGGCGGAAGCGTGCAGGACATCAGAGCTATGTGCACAGACCTCAAAACGTCGAAGTCAACAAATTCATTCTTTTTGGCAAAAAAGTTGTATACTCTTTTTTGTTCTACTCATTGTAAAAATCAACTTTCGTATACTAACTTTGGGGTGTTTTTTTTTGGGAAATTGAAGCCTTTTTTGTTCAAGTCACCCCCTCTGGTTTAACGGGGAAATCGACTCTCCGCCAAAAGGGCGACAAGAGTTTCCAGTCCGCTCGCAAGCTCGCCCCTTTCTTGTCATGTGCCTCGTAAGTAACGCATAACATTATTGTGACATAGAGCTTGCGAGCGTGACTGGCTTGCGAGTCTAAGCGTATGAGCGCTCTAATCATCAGACTACTAGTAGTCATATTTCTATGAGACCTGCGCTCTAACATCTCACACCTTTTCGAAGTTTTCAAACATATGGGTCATGTCTTCGTCGCATCCATAGACTCTCCCCACACCAATGACAACATCCAGCGGCCAAAGTTCTGATGAGAAACTGCGCTGTCTGCTTGAAGGATATGCCGTTTCGAGTTCCATAGCTAGCGTTTAAACTCCAATTTACTGGTCAAATTTTGGTTGAGCAGATAAGTACAATTTGATGTAAGTTTACCAAGCACTTGAAAATACCGCTCAGTAAAAGGATTAATTGTGTGTGATGATTCAAAGTTAAAACAAGTAATCCAATACATTTTCACCACTCTATTACAGAGAGCTGACACTCCACCTTCCAAGCTGACAGCCCCTCGCGTGAGATACCTCATAGCCACCACAGAAGACAAGATATGACTTCTTCTAGCACTCCCTTGCTCTACTAACATTTCTTGTCGTTGCAATATTCAGGAACTATGAAGCACCATGCACAGTCGAAGAAGGCGGGTGCGGCGTAGGCAAAGGTTGCCAAGGAGAGGAGAACAGCGGCTGATACTACTTTGAACCTCATATTGCTTTAGAAGCACGATGATTAGCAATAAGAGGGGGAGAGGGTAGAAATAAGGACATACAATAAGAGTCGATGGTATCTGTATGAAGTTTCGAGACACAGCGAAGGTTTGCTTTATGTACCTCTCGACGGGATGACGACATCTTGCAACTGAAGCGGGTCCATTGCTCGCAGAGTTGGAAACAGAACGAGGAAAAACGTCGGTGTCTGGAGGAACACATAGTTGGAAGCCTTTGACGAGGTGGTACATCGGTCAAGGCCGGCTCCAATGGCTTGGAAGGTTTGATCAATACGCGCTGAACTATTTTTTAAAGGCTCTCCACTCTTGCAAATTGTGTCGTCAACTCGGGGCTCCATCAGAACGATAGACACTTCCTGACTAAAGGAAACGTCAGTCGTTTCTACATTCCGAGCAGTTCAGTGGTTTACGGCTTGACTTTTGAACCTTCCTTCCCCAATCATGTACCAGGTTTCCGTGGCGAACGAGCACCGAGTTCAGTACCTCATTTCTTCGTCCAGGTCGAGGTGAGAATCTCCATGACAGCATGATCCTCAGAGGGTAGTTTTTGTGGCACTTTATTGTTAGCGTAGGGAGGATGCGTCGAGACTTGCAGGTGTGGGTGGAGTCTTAGTCACGCAGAAAAGGCTAGGAAAAAGAAGGTCAGTGTGGTTTGACATAGCAAGGTGATCCATTTCCTGCACCTTCACATGAATGCAGTGACTTTAACGAAGCTTTGAAACCTCACAGGAGATATGATTTCAAATCTATTACCCATTATCCACTCTTTCATGGTACGGCAACAAGCACGCGCATTCAACTGAGTTCTCTTGATAAGTGGATCCGTCCGAGTCATGCTAAGAAGCGTCCTGTCCATCCGCAAATCCATTGTCAGTCTACTTATGCAAATGAAAGCGACTGAACGTACCCCAATTGTCGTAAGACATCCATGCTGTCACTTCCTCGATACATGTCGCATCCACGCCAATCTGGGACACCCGCTTGTAAAGGAGCTATTAGTGTGCTGGTGACCCTACTACGACCGCACGGCCTGATGGCTTCGATAATGCCTTTGGTGCTCCCAGTTTCCTCTGCGAGTCGACGATCATTCTACCGGGACTACCTGGATCTGTTCCTTTGCGACGGCGTGAACAAGGCCGTATGACCTGAATCTCTTCCTCCAAAATCGACGTGTTGAGGAGCCAGATTGAGTCAGGGAACGTACTCGTGTGTCGTACGAGTAAAGTTTCCAAGTAACATGGGGTGTCGGTCATTTTTTGACGAGAACTAGCCGACGATAACGACGCAGGAGGTGCTGAGTGCTGTGCAGGCTTGACAGAACAGAATTGAGGTTGAGCCAACGTCGTCGTAAGAGGGTGTAAAAGGCCGAATGGAAGCGGGACGGCGGACTTGAATTTTGTTTATCTCTGAATTCAAGTCAGAAATGCCATCTTCCAACACTTTTTTTGAAGTTTTCCTGTTACGATCTTCCTCAAGGAATCTCGAGTTCACCCAACATCCGAACTGCAAAACCTTGGGCATGGTGACATGCCGGTTTACCCACAGCTACCCGAATCCATACAGTAGCTGCTACGGCAGAACATAAATGTTTGGAAAGACATTTTAGGTTGCCAATCCGAGTTGAGCAACTGCCCTATCCCTATCCCTATCGGTGCCGCGCTGAACTGTGTGGAGAGAGCTCACGGTTGCAGTCAAGGATGATCAACGAGTGAGAAGTTGACGTTGCTTGGGAGGGACAGGAATAGTGTATAGGTTGAATCCTGGGAGGTCGAACAATCGGATGTGCCCTCAGGGGCTGCTCAGCACATGCGACGGACCTCTTTCCATGGGCTTGCGAGTACGGGCCACCGTATGTTCTCCAACTACTATGTCGCCAATATGTTTCTTGCATCTGACACTCCTAGGACAGATGCTTCTGCGCCTTGAGCTCAGAATGTCAGCGTTGACTCGGTACGACCTCCTGCGATGCCTACCGTTACTCTCGAAACACAACGATCGATCGCTTCCTTGGTTTCGTCATCGCTCGCAGCTTGTCTTACTTTACCCTGTGAGTATTTGTGTCACTCAAGCTCCTCTTTCATGCCATTAACCATGTCTACCCACATCGCAGTCGCCACCACATCCCTTGGAAAGATCGACGCCATCCAGATCCCCACCAGGACACCAGGCGACGGAGATATCCTCATCAAGACTTCAGCAGTAGCCATATCGCTCTTCGATACCTACCCGGTCGACCGAGCGTTTTTGGTAAATGCGTACCCATACATCCTAGGCTTCAATGGTGCTGGAACTGTTGTGAAAGTTGGGACGGGTGTGCACGACTTTAAATTGGGAGATAGAGTAAGCCATCCCGTTTATATTCACTTCAAATCCTTACTTTCTCCTAAAGGTAGTCGCCCTTACGATGGATCCAGTTAAGGGCAAATCTTCGCAAGAGTACATCACCGTATCTCGAACCCTCTGCGCCAAGGTATGTGCTGAGATCACTGCGTTATAAACGACCTCATTGTTTAACACATATCGAATAGATCCCAGACTCCCTTCCATTCCCAGAAGCAGCCACGATCCCAGACAACTTTGTAACAGCCTTCTACGTCCTCTTCTCCCAACTCGGCCTTCCCAATCCCTCTTCATTCCCCGCACCCACCATCCCGCTCTACTCAAACACCCCCATTCTCGTATACGGCGCCGGCTCTACCGTAGGCCAATACGTCATCCAGCTTTTACAACTCGCTGGGTACACAAATGTCATCGCCACGGCATCCGCGAAGCACCATGCGTACCTCCGCTCTCTCGGGGCGACGCACACATTCGATTACAACAGTCCCTCTCTTGTAGAGGACGTGACGAAGGCAGCTGGAGGCAAGGTCACGCTGGCTGTTGACTGTGTCTCTGTCAAAGAGTCTTTGGCGATCCTAGGCAAAATGGTATCGGCACCTGGCACCGTGGCATTACTGCTCCCCATTAAGGAGGGGAGCACAATCACGGGGAACGTTGAGGAGAAGCTTTACATGAAATTGCCGGATGATATCAACCCTTTCTCAAAGGATATTGAGGTTTTTGAGATTAAGACATTCTTGTATCAAGAGGTTTGTTTGTCGTCTTTCTCTACTCATCCAGATAGCGCTGATGTCTCTCCTTACCAATAGGACGAAGTGTTGAGAGAGAACCTGATGCCGAAGATCCTTTCCGAGTTGTTGGCAGCTGGGCTCATCAAACCTAACAAGGTGCGGCTGTTCGACCAGGGGTCTATTAGGGAACGAGTGGAGGCTGCACTGGACCAGTTGCGACACAATACGATCAAGGGGGAGAAGGCAGTTGTCGTTTTTGAAACCTAATTCACTTGTGTTGCCAAGGAGTTCAGTTGTGTATGTACTAACTCAGTGGAGGTCGAGATGGCCAAGTTTTCCTCTGCTGCTCCTCTTGACAATGAATCTCCCAAAGATATCCGATGCCGTCCTTCAGCCATACTCACAATGTCATCTCGTGCAGCATGGTAAACGGGTCTGACTCATTTCTATTCTTCCCTACAAGACTACATTTCTCGTTGTCTTCTTCAGATCTTTCGTGGAAAGCGGTCGAGGCTCTTTAGTGATATTTGCTTCGCACATTCCATTCCCTCAAATACGCCCCTCGTTCCTCTCGCATCATTGTTCTTTGAATTGTTGAAACTCCCTGGTGCCTTTCGCCCCGCCTTCGAAATCGGCCTTCATAATACTCGAAAATTCCGAGTTGCTGTTCGATGGGTCCGCTTGAAGTCCATGCAGATCTAATAATAGAATTCCCACGCTTTGTTTTTCTGCTTTTCCTTGAATCATCCTCAAAATTCAAATGATTGTCACTCTGAACCAGCCAGCCATGCCACAGCGCCTCTAGATTTCATGGTCATATCATATATTCTCATCAACCGGTTATGATCGCGACGTCCTTTGAACAGTCTGGCTCCAGCCAAGCTACAGCGCATTGGCCACCGATTTTACAACCCATCCATCTGCCTTTGTCTGAATCTGATACACCAGCGGTTCAGTGACCAAGCTCAGAACCGCGGAATAACCTGGAAGTACTCACTCTCCCAACGTCGACAATCCGCCCCACCGCATAGTTGATCTTCTCTCTTCGGGCTACAATGCACATCCACCTCTCTGGAATCTCAGTGTCGTGTCTTGCTGCTCGAGCTGCTAATTCTTTTGAGAACGGCTGGGGGCCAGCGAAACGATCCGCCCCAGTTATCGAAGGACTCGAATGGGCCTACCCACGACGTATCTGAGATCAGCATGAAACCATGCATGGAGAAGTGGCAACTGACCTTTCTTAACGGCGAGCCGCTGACCTTGTCCGATCGCTTGGATTTATGGGTCATCGTTGTAGCACCTTACAGTGCACGGAAAAGAAGACTTCAATGACAAGCCTAGGTATCACACAAGCGCCTGTTTCATGCTTCGGAAGGTGGGGCTTATGTATACCTTCCTAAGTGGCTCTCAACCACGAGGCTTCTGGCTTGCCACGCCATTGTCTTGCAATGCATGGGCTTACGGCGCGTAGTGAAATGAAACGAGGCCACCATTCATATCGTCACAATACCCAGGCCGCCGTAATGCCACAAGCCGACGGCCACTTGACGGATGTGGCAATTCCACATTTTCCGGATTGGGAAAATTGGTGGCCTCGCACGCCCAAGCGGACAATGCTATCGCGACTTTCAGGCCACATTGCTTTCTATAAAGCTGGCTGTCTTCCAGAGCGACAACCCTCACTACCAAACCCACCCACATATCCAACTACTTTTCACTACCCACTCCACTCTACACTAAAATAAGCACCGAATCTCTTCGTCTCGATAGCATGGACGCTCAACGTTATGACCTATCCAAGCGTCGGGTAAGTTTGCCCCCCGTCCGTGTGACTGCCCCCACCTATTTCTGACTCTCCTCAGGAACGCACCATTACGATTCAGACAAGTGCGACTACAGGCCATGAAAACACCGTTCCACCGATCCCTCGCGAGGAGGCTAATCCCACCCCTTCCTCTGCCCCCGTCACAGCCGCACTCTCATGGGTCGACCAGCTCTTCAGACGCTTATCCTCACCCCTTTTGGTCACTGGCTCCTCCCCATCCTCCTCTCCAGCCTCATCCTGCTCCTCCTCCGCTATCACCTCGCCCACACCACTTTCCCCCAACTCCTCCACGTCCTCCATCCTCCTTGATAGGGAAAAGAGAGGCTGCATCGCCAGGCATGAGAACGACACCATCTACTGCACCGACGTGTTCGAGCGCGACGGGTACACTACCACCCGAACCATTATCCGCCCACACGTCCCCGTGTCAATCTTTTCTCGGTCGTCGAGCCCAGTCAGCGTTCCCTCCCGCCCGTCCTCCCCTATCAAGTTCTCCACTCTCAGTTGCATCGGGAGCACCGACGCATTCGAGGAGGAGGTCGAGCACCTCACTACCCTCCGCGAGATGGAGTTGAATGGCGAAAATCCGGGAATCATAGTGCGGGTGCAGCAAGAGAGCCACGTTACTGTTGAGGAGAGGTGGAGGGGGGCAATTCAGGACATGATTCATCAGCGTCCTGTGTCTACGGTTATTGGCGGGGCTGAAGCCAATTACTGAGCGGGCCAGGTGGAAGCTGCTTGATTTCTTCAACATGCATTGGACTTGTTTCATTTCATGATATTCTTCTAACATATTACTACCTCATTACAGAATCCTTATTGCATTGCATTTAGCTAGAGTACTTATACCCAATATTGTAATCGTCGTCTTTTCTCCTTCCAACACCATTTCAAAAGATATAATACTCATTCAACATCAGAACAAGCTCAGACGCTATAAATTACTGCGTTTGTGTGGTCGACGCCTCGTCTCTGCCTGAAAACTTGGAAACACAGCTTTACGAACTGTGAATTAAGTTTCAATATTGTGCGCTAGGTATCATTGAGATCACAGAGCATCCTCTACTTATCAGTAAGTTATTTGGTATTCAAGTTCACAACCGCACACATTGAAAGGTAACCTTAACATGTCAATTACAAAGAGATCAACTCTATATTAGGTATGACTGTTATTAAACAAAGGCGTTCAACGCCTAGAGCACCAGGCCAGAATGTTGTAGCGTCTCCTTGCGTGAAGGAGCGATAGTCGCATCACAACTATTCACACGCCAAATTAATTACCAGAGACTGGTTTCCCGACATTCGCACTGCGAAGTTACCATTCAGCACAAGCAAAAATCCAGAATACCAATGCGACATACCCGAGCCCATTGCCGTTGTCCCCTGTGTACCGACAAACGACATTTTGAGACTCTACGTCGGGGTAAATAGTACCAGCGGCGCAGACACCAACAGCGCATGCGACCTGAGTCTCACTCTTGTACACAATCTACATTCAAGTCGTGAGCATCGTGAATTTATACGCGACAAGAAAAGCGCGAACATTAATAAAATGGCCGTTGTCTTCGGTAAACTGGGGGTTGTTGTCTGCAAGGGTGTGAGTACACAATATAGACGAAGGATACTTGTACAAATAGAGCTACAAAAAAACTTTCAGTCGGAATTTCTCCAATCAAAGTTCCCAATTTGGACTCACAAGCTTCGCCCATCCACATATTTACGGCATCCATAATGGGGTAAGACTCTACTGAGCGGGGCCCGCCTACGTACTGTTGGAGGTTCGGAGGTGAGCGTAAGAAATTCATGGGTAAAGTTCATTTACCAAATTCTCAGAATAGTCGCCGCCACTAGTAATTGAGGAAAGTCAGAGTACTAGTTATTCGGGAAATTTTTAAATTATAAACCTATGCTGGAACACGCATTTGTTGGCATAGGCTTGAATATCGGGATAGAGTGCAGCACTCCAGGTGAGAGGACTCGCTCCATACCGAGCTCTGGCATCGTTATGTTGAGTCAAGACATCGGCAACAAAGCCAGTCGAGCCTGGAGGGTGAACCCTTAATCACAGACTCTATACGAAGAGAAAAAAGTTGTACCACTCTGGTACACGGCGGCGGGGGTGGGGCCAGCATAAGGAGTAGTTTGCGCAGAAGTAGGCGTAGAAGCAGCGGTGTTAGCCACTGCAAGTTTGTGGACATGTTTCTTGCCCGGGAGGGCAGAGGTTGAGATAGCGAGGGCAAGAGAGACGGAAATTAAGGAGAGGCGCTGCATGTTTGCTGTGATGGAAGAGAACCTGAGAATGCAAGAGTTGAGATGAAGGAAAAACTCTGACTGGCCCGTACCGACTTTTGAAATGAAAATATATATACTCCGCGGGTTTATTTTCGGGTATGAGGAACTTCGATGGGGACGGGTAGTCAGCTGGAACGAGAAGCTCGGACAACCCTAAGCAACGGCCATGATGCTGGACAGTACAGATTCGTTGGTAGACGGGCGCCGTTGTTTCGAGGGTGACAAGGGAAAAGTCATCCAAAAATGGTGATGGGAGGGTATTCATCGATTTCAGACGGTCGAACTCTAAGCCTTCCAGGTCCACGAGCTTATGATTTATCCGCACAGTTCTGGTCATCAAACAACAGGAGCTAAATTCGAGCTTACTAGGTCCTGTTTTGATCATAACCACTGCAGTGCTGACGAATACGCGGCTGTCTGGCCCTACTTACTTGACAAGTAGCGGAATGGTCACAGGTCGCTGCTTAAACAAAGTTGTTGGAGCTGCCAGTGGTGGTATGTGTTGGAACCATGTTCCCTCCAAAAGATATTCATTTAGCTGCTGAAGGTTCGTCTCCGTTATAGGAGACTGAAGTACATGATATCACTAACCTAAGTAGTTCGCCTCCAACCATCTCACGTCGGAGCGCATGAACGTTGTGGCACTGGTAGACACTGGACAGTGCTTACATAAATATGTTTGCCATTATTTGGTCACAATTTCTACCAACTTCGACTGTTACTAGCCAACTACCAGCTTAGGATCACTGACCATCCGATTCACTGGGATATTTTCCATGAAACAAGTTAACCATTTTTCCGGTGATAATCGACCATTTTTAGGAAGACATCACTACCCGGGCCCTGACATCCATGATCCATCTCCCAGACTTGTCATGCACTCCTCCCGTCATGCCGCAAGCATCTTCTTTTTTTTTTCGGTAGAACTCTATGTATGCTGCGCCAGGCTCAGAGGACATCAGACATCTCCTTTGGTGCAATCCAGGCATTGGACATTGTGCTTGGGAGGTCACGCTGCCTATTGACTTGTCTCTCGAGAGGTGGACCCCTGGAAGTCCGAACATAGTGCCGACAGTCAAACTCTTACCCAAATACCGCAGTTGGAGAACTTCAAAATCTACGCTACCGACGCCTACAGAATCGACTGCACTTCACCTACGTCGACTTGCTCCATCCACTCTCCAACAACTAATTTTAGAACACATCAATTCACCCTCCTTGACAAATCTATCCATTTCTGATTTCAAAATACTGACCACAACACTTATTTCGACCCCGCATCAACCTTTCCGCCCTGACGGTTTACATGGTAAAAATTTTGGAAGCAGCCCCGGAGCCCGTTGATCAACTGGGACTTTCATCTCAGCCCATCACCATTCCGTAACTGTGCTCATTCACATTTGAAGGATGGTTCTATCGTTTTGGACCGGTGATGGCTATCCCATACTCAGATTTAATGGACTCAAGACAAGACACTGATCGATGCATCCCATTTGCAAGAAGATGTGCGAGCCCTAAAGGATATAGTATGCGGTGAACATATTCTGAGCCGTTTTGCAATCGGGCCCGATGGATTAAAGCTGGCGCATTCTCGACGCTGATAACTTTGAAGGTGGAACTTAACAATTGGGTGAATCAAGACCTCGTCGTGCGGCGGGGCTTTTGCAAGCAAGGAACACGAAATGTTTCCTCGTATCAATGTCCTGGAAATTCTGGACATTGAGATCGATGAGTATGTGGCTGACTACTTCAATTGCTCTACTCAAGATGATTGGAAACGGCTGGATGTTGTGTTGTCTCGTGGCTTTTTATGGCGGCGCAGAGTTACAATCAGTGTTATCTTCCTCTTTCGAAAGCAAGTTCCGAAAGAACACAGATGTTGAGTTTGACATCTTGATGAATATTCAGATTCAAATGTTTGGAAGGTAAAGGTCTCTTATTGAGTAATTCATACTGGGGATGAAAGGGGGTGAAGGTGTTCTGTGATCTAACAAGTACGATATCCTTCAACCAAAATTTTAGACAACGCTAGCGCTCAGCGCTCATGTGGGAACAGAAGGGTAACAGGACAGGCCACAAAATTCAAATGTGGGGAATACAATTGTTGCCAACGATTAGGCGTGAGTGCAGTTCACGGGTCTTCCGACATTCACACTGCCAAACGATTGTTCAATGGAGGCAAAGAAAAAGACTGGTTTAGCGTACTCGAATCCATCGCTGTTTCCTCCGGTATAGCGGCACATGACGAATTGAGACTCTACGTTGGGGTAGATAGTACCAGCGGGGCAGACACCCACTGCACACGCAATCTGTGTCATGCTCTTGTATACAACCTAAATTGATGTGGTAAGTGTTGGTCACAATATGGCGACGATGGGAAGATGCTAACCGTTGTGAAATGGCCAGCCAAATCAAATCCTTTTTCGGGGTGGTTGTCTGTGTTGCAGAAGCATCAACTAAAAGGTTTGGCAATGATAGAGAATAGCGCACAATCATAATCAGCTACAAGGAAATTTAATTATGTATTAGCAATGAATGTTTCGTTCAGTGAATGAGTAATCTCACATGCTTCGCCCATCCACATATTGACGGCATCCATAACGGGGAAACTTTCGACAGAAAGCGGTCCTCCTACATACTATTATGGCTAGCATCAGCACGGGAAAGATGGAAGGATGGAAGAGAAGTTGCGTACAATATTTTCTCCCCAATTTCCGCCAACACTTGTGTTGTGAAATTAACATCCTGGATGATCTCGACTATGAATATGTTCGTACCTGTGTGCGAATACACATCCATCAACTTGGGTTTGAGTGGACGGATAGAGCGCGGTATTCCAGGTGACGGGAGGAGCACCGTACGCGGCTCTGGCGGCGTTATGCTGAAGAAGGGCATCAGCTATGAAGGCAGCAGAGCCTGGATGGTCGTATATTGTAAGCCGAACGTTGCGTATGATAGTTGAAATTGGCCTTACCACTTTTGGACACAGCAGTAGGAGTGGGGCCAACGTAAGGAGCACATGAGGGGTTCCCAGCAGTGGTGGAGGTGGAAACAGGAGCACTTGTAGAAGTTGAGGTAGTCGTAGAAGTTGAGGTAGTCATAGAAGCTATGGTAGTCGTAGAAGCTATGGTAGTCGTAGAGGCAGGAGGAGGAGGACTACTGGAGGCGCGGTGCTTGCCTTTGCCGTGAGCTGCAGAGCTTGACAGCGCAAGTGCGAGAGAGACCAGAAGTAAAGACAGGAGCTGCATGCTAGCTGTGATTGAAGGGAGCGGAAGGTAGGCGTGTTGAAGTTAAAGGTCCTGATCCCTTCTAGCTTAAATAAACATATTGAAAGGATCCGCCCATCGTTGTTGGGATGCAATGAGACGAAATGGACTCCAGAGCTCCTTTAGAAAATGCCCACATGATACATCAGGAGACACCAGGGTTAACAGAGAAGTTCGTTGTCAAGCAGGCTGCAGAGGAGCACAGAGGACTTCTAAGGCGTTTTGTCCGACCAGCTACGGGGTTTGCGGTCAAGGCAACCATGACACCTTCCAAACTTGAGAGTCCGCGTCGATGGGTGTGTCCGTATCGAACCGTTTCATTCCGCACAGCGCACCAAAATCGGGTATTCGATTCCGTGCTTGCAGATTGGGGTCTGGCTCTTTCATTCCTCTGGATGAACAAAGCTCTGAGAAGCTTATCCAAGGTCCTCTTTCCTCAACCGGATGCCAGGGAAAATCTCGGGCTTTGGCCTCAACAAGTCGGTACCGATAAACGAGAGTTTGAGTTTCCCTCGCAACAAAGTTGGAGAAGTTCGGGCGAATCAGAAAGGATATGACAAGCCAGGGTCGTCGGCTAGAAATTCATCAATCGTTTTAGCCAGTGTTCTTCCGGCGAGTCGACAAACGTTGCAAGTTGTGCGTTTCAATCAAAATGTGAAAATATCCACGACTCTTTACATTGAGGATATCGCAAACTGTTCAAAAGAAGCTATTGAACTGCTGTTGAGCTGATTTTGTTGGCCACAAGTTTGGTGTTGGCCCGGGGTTCGTCGTTGTGGTCGTTGTGAAACGATCGTTTGGGCATGAGGAGAAAGCCAAACAATATGGCTCACGTGCTGACTCTCCTTAGAGTCCTTAACCGTTGAAGTTGACGTGTCGACTTGAAAGTTCGTCATAAATCATAAATTCATCGTATTCTGGCTTAGAGCTTTACCTTCTGAAGGGATCTAGGTCCAAAATGCGCTCCTTGTCTCTTCTTGCCCTTTTGTTCATTATACAGGAGGCGGTGGCTTTCAAGGCGCACGACTTCAAGACTTGTTCCCAAGCTGGATTTTGCCGACGAGGACGTGCTCTTTCTTCACGGGCCAAGGAGGCCAAATCATCTTGGAAATCACCTTATACACTTGACGCATCCTCCATCAACATTGCGTTGGACCAGTCGACTTTTACAGCCGGCGTCAAGTCCTCATTATATCCAGAAATCAAGTTTGGTTTGGAACTGCGTATCCACGATGATGGCGTAGTACGAGTGCGCATGGACGAGGTTGGTGGCCTTCGGAAGCGGTATGACGAAGCAGCCTCATGGGCCTTGATTGCGGAACCTACTAATAGTCGGGACATCAAGTGGACAACAGGGAAGAAAGATATTCGCGCCGCTTATGGAAGTAAAAAGGATATAGAGGTCGTCGTTGCCTTTGAGCCTTTGCGCATATCCCTCTCTAGGAATGGAAAAGAGCAAATTGTTCTCAATGGCGAGGGCCTCCTTCACATGGAACACTTCAGGAATAAAGCAACTCCAACCGAGGAAGCAGCACCCAAGGAAGGGGAAATTACAGAGGGAGAAGCTCAGGTAGTCATGAAGGCCGATAACCCCCGCGCGTGGTTTGAAGGAGACAACGAAGATGATTGGTGGGAGGAGACTTTCTCCTCCTGGACTGACTCGAAGCCTAAGGGTGGGTATTGAACTCTAGCCTTTACCATTATGCCTAACGCCGTTGCGACAGGTCCCGAGTCGTTATCTCTTGACATAAATTTCCCTAATCATGGAACCGTCTACGGAATTCCCCAACATGCTACTCGACTAGCTCTCCCTTCCACAACCGGCGATTCCCCCACATTCACCGACCCCTACAGACTGTATAACGCGGATGTCTTCGAGTATATCGCCTCATCTCCAGTCTCACTGTACGGTTCCATCCCTCTAATGCATGCCCACTCCGTCGATTCAACAGTTGCCATATTTGATGCTGTCGCTTCCGAAACGTGGATAGACGTGTCACACTCCTCGGAGAAGTCGACTGAAACCCATTGGATCTCTGAGTCTGGTATCCTTGACGTCTTCCTTCTTCCTGGTCCCACACCAGAGGATGTCTTCCGCCAATATGCCAAGCTCACCGGCAGTGCGGTCCTCCCCGCTCAATGGAGCTTAGGGTACCATCAGTGCCGATGGAATTACATCAGTTCTGACGACGTCCGTACCGTGCAGAAGCGATTTGACGAGGAAGACATGCCTGTTGACGTTTTCTGGCTTGATATCGAATATTCTGCAGACCACAAATATTTCATTTGGAACGACAAGACCTTCCCAGATCCTGTGGATATGGTCAATGATGTTGCAGCTATCGGACGAAAGGTACGCGTTGTGTATGACGATATACACATTAATTGACGACCCCTCGTTAGATGGTAGTTATCGTTGACCCCCATTTGAAACGCACTTCGGACTATCCTGTTTACAAAGAAGCTTCTGAGCTTGGCGTTCTTGTTAAGACAAAGGACGGTGAGGGCGAATACGAAGGCTGGTGCTGGTCAGGCAGCAGCTCGTGGATCGATTTCTTCAACCCTCAAGCTTGGGATTGGTGGAAACGCATTTTCAAACCGTATACAGTGGAGGGTGGGTGGTCTTGGACCCAGAGTACGAATGCCGTTCACATCTGGAATGATATGAACGAGGTGCTCTCATCCTCTCAAGCATACTTCTAGTATTAACCATCTCTCTAGCCTTCCGTGTTCAATGGACCTGAAATCACGATGCCCAAAGACAACGTTCATTATGGTGGATGGGAACACAGAGATGTCCACAACATCAACGGCATGCTTTACGTTGGTTCTATATCTCCTCTTTACTTGTAATTTCTTGACATGTCCTTGCAGTCAAACCTCACTTCCCAAGCCGTTTCCGCACGATCCGACCCACCAATGAGACCATTCGTTCTTACTCGCGCATTCTACGCGGGTTCTCAGCGTTTCGGTGCAATGTGGACTGGGGATAACCTTGGCACTTGGGAACATATGGCTGTGGGCGTCAAGATGGTGCTTGCAAACAGCATCGCAGGCATGAGCTTTGCTGGGTGTGAGTCTTCCACCAGCCAAAGTGAAAACTTCTGCTTACAACTACTTCCCTCCAGCTGATGTTGGCGGATTCTTTGGAAACCCCGAAACGGAGATGCTTGTCCGTTGGTATCAGGTTGGCGCCTTCGCTCCGTTCTTCAGGGCACATGCGCATATCGATACCAAACGCCGAGAGCCTTTCCTTCTTGATCAACCGTACAAGGGCGTGATTCGTGATATCTTGCGCCTTAGGTATAGCCTTCTTCCTGTTTGGTACACAGCTTTCCGTGAGACGTCTGTGACTGGACTGCCCGTACTGAGGTAAAGTTTGGCCCTTCCATTTTAGATTTACCGAACTCACAACACATCATCGACAGACCGCATTACGTGGTCTTCCCCAAAGACAAGAATGGCTTTGACATTGATGATCAATATTTCATCGGCTCGTCTGGATTATTGGTCAAGCCAGTTACCGAGAAGGGACAGACGGAAGCTAGTGTTTATCTCCCTGAAGACGAGGCATGTGCTACCAGTTTATGCACATGCAAGATGTTGACTAGTTCGCCTTTGGCAGGTTTACTACGATTACTTCACGCATCACGCCTACCGCGGCGCTGCAAAGGGCAAAACAATCACCGTACCTGCCGCCCTTGATCAGATCCCACTCTTCGTCCGTGGTGGTTCCATCGTCCCCACTCGTGAACGTCCTAGGCGGGCATCGACACTGATGAAGAATGATCCCTTCACGCTCCGTGTCGCTTTGAGCAAAGCTGGCACAGCGCGCGGCGAACTCTACCTCGACGACGGCGAGTCTTATTCACACCAACAAGGCCAATTTATTTGGCGCGAATTCGTCGCAAAGAAAGAGGGCACGAAAAAGTCAAAGGTTCTCAAGATCTCAAGCAGGGATCTTGCAGCTGAGAAGCCCAACGATGCTGTCGACGGTGTCGCCCTCAAATCCTTCAACCCTTCCAATGACTATGCCAAGAGCATCGCCAATGTTAGAGTGGAGAAGATCGTTCTCGTCGGACTGAGTAGCAAGCCCTCAAGCGTCAAAGTTGAGGGAGGCGAAGAGCTCGTATGGGAATATACCCCTGGTGTATCAGCTTCAGAGAAGAAAGAAGGTACCCCCAGTCTGCTCACGATCAAGGATCCCCGAGTTCTCGTTACGAAGGACTGGGCCATTGTCGTTCAGTGAGGGAGTTGAGGAAAAGGCACTACATACTTGAATTGATTGTATCCTACGCTATCGAATACATACAAAGGGGCGGTCGCCGACGAAAAAAAGAAAAAAAGAAAAGCATGTAGAGGAGCACTGGACTGTTGGATGGATGATGAAAGAAATGCAGAAAAAGCTGCTGCTAGAGGAGAATAACACGAGGAAGTAGAAAGAATGCGACGATCCATGGATGATATGTATTTACTGTATGTACTAAAAAAAAAGTGGTTGATACGTTAAACAGTCCACGCGCCCTCAAAAAAACAACCAAGAAAAAAAGGAGATATATACATAACAGGACTTGCTTGAGTGTGGATAAAGAAAAAAAGTGAATCGTCAAACCACACATCAATGTGGGCTTGGGTCGTTTCATGTTCGGAAATTCATACTTGGGTTTGTCGTTTTCAGTGACGGGCCTCTTACAGCCATCAAAGCGGGGTTGACATACGAAGGCATCATGGAGCCAGGGGGTGGGCCATGCATATGGTGCATCCCTACGGGATAGGGTGACGCGGGGATGTGGATGAACGCGGCTGCTGGAAATGGGACGGGCACCGCCAGGTTTGGATAGGCTGGGAAGAAGAAGGGTAATGGAGCCCCTGGGATCATGTGCTGTGGATGTGGATGGACTGGCATGTATGAGTTCATGGAAAGATGAGCATTCGCAGTTGGTGCGGATGACGACGGCTTCTTGGCGTGAGGCCCTACATTTGGAGTAGTGGCAGGCAGAGACGGTAGGCTATCGACTTGAGTCCCAGAAGGCGACACTGAACTACTACCTTCGATCCAACCATCATTTTGCATTGATGAAGGGGATGTTGGCGGGGAGGACGAAGGAGAATCCCCACGAGAATGCAGACCGCTATCCCCAGCATCTTCAGAAGTAGAGGCAGAGGGCTCTTTAGCGTTTTCAGAGGACAGGGAATCATTTCGCCTTCTTGTCAATGCTAAAAATAGATCCATAGTCCTGCTTCGCTTGGCCGCAGAGGAGGTCGTCTTGGGTTGTCCAACATCAATCCAACCATCGTTTTCATCATCCCCATTCGAGGGCGTAGAAGTAGCCGAAACGTGATCACCGCCGTTTTCCGAGACGCTGAGTCGTGATTGGACGAAGCTCATGTCATGAAATATCGGGCTGGGGCTATGGCTCACACACTTTGACGTACTGTGTCCTATGTCTAAATTTGAAAGGTCGTCTCGGGGGCTAGTTTGCGAGCGGAGACGGTCCACCATTTCCCGGGTTCTAGAGGCTCGGACTTTGCGACGCGGCTGCACGAACGGAGAGAGGAGAGCTGTCGGTGACCGCTCTGTGGATTGAGAGCTTGCCGTGGACGGAGTTTCCACCTGCACATCTGTAAAAAAGCCTTGTTCGTCCTTCTTGATTTTCACCGTAGGCGCGTTTAACGTCGGGAACGTGAAGTTGGCAAAAGATACAGCCACTGGCGAGGTTTCTGAATGGGAAGAGAAACGCAAAGGGTCTGTTTTGGCTATAGGGCTAAAGCTCGGGACGAATGTAGATGCAGCAGCGTTGAGTGGTTTGGTAGGGAACGGAGAAAAGGGTTGGCATTCCGCGATGCTGGCTATGCTGCTACTTGGCGAGACATTCTTCAGTAGGATATTGGCGTAAGAAGCCTTGGCCTTTGGCGTCGAAGGCATAGCGAAAAAGTCGTCTGAGCGTTCTGAGGAAGTGAGATCGACACTCGAGATGGCGGATGTACACCGTTGGAAGCTGGCGCTCGAGGATGGACTAGAATAATCTCCAAACGATTCATCGCTGTCCGCTGTGAGCGCCTCTGGCACCCCGTTGAATAGTTCATTCGCCATCTCTTTCCATTGATCCATGTTCGCCTGTATCTCCTCCTCGTCGATTTCTGTGCAAAGATTGGCCGGTGGGCGAAGACCAAAATCTTCCGGTTCAAATGTTGGGAAACTGACGTAGTGAAAGCCTACATCCTTCTCGTACTGCGAAAGCGCCTCCTCGGCCCCTCGAACACCTACTAAGTTTGGATTTAACATCTCCTGCACCTCATCCCTTCGTCCCTTCAGTGTGCCACTGTACGCGTCCCAGTCCGAGAACTTAGATCCGCTGCCAGAAATTGGGAGGTATAGAGAAGCATGGTAGTAAGGTGGTGGTGCAATCCTTGGCTTTGAGTCATTCCCTTCGTGGTGTGCCCAACGGACGGTGCTGAACGAGGTGCACCACCAATCGGGCGTAACAATTTGCCATTCTCCCTCCGCCTCAGCATCAGACTTGCTCGCTTGCAAGTTCATGAACTATGGCAGTGCTAGCGTCAGTCGTATCTAAAGGGGTGTTTATTAGAGCTTGGGGGAATAAAGGAGGAAAAAAGTTTCATACGAAGTGGGCCACCAAGCTCGAACACCCAGGTCGACTTGGAGGAGACCTTCACAGAGGACCAGCGGGGAGATTGTTGGCGGTCTTTGTACGGGTGATGGTGGTGGTAAGGAAGGAACAAAGACGGAGGATTCTATAAGAACTGTATTTACAACATGTGTCTGCACTGACACCGGAAAGGACAAAAAAGGCGGGCACGTTTCGAAACACACAGTACAAAGAACAAGGTCACAGGATCAACTACTTCCACATAATATACTCTACAGCATTACAGGTACACTCTAAATCATACGTTTCAAATTCACATCTTAAGACGTGATCCAAGGCCGCGATAAACGACAGTCGTCTCTCCAGTATAGTCGGGGTCTAAGAGGTCCCATCGCGGAATAGGCGGTCGACTCGGGAGCTTTGCATTCCCTCGCAAAGGTTTTTCTTTCGGTTTTGGTGGAACCACCTCGCTTTTATGATCCTGGTGTTGGACTGCACGAACAATCTTCTTCCCCGTGATTGCCGCGTTAACTTGAGCTGTGCGGTGCGATTCCCGAGATTCGTTCGCTGCATCTCCGCCAACGAGATTCAGGTTAATAACGTGGCGGGGTTGCGGGGCGTAGATATGGAGGTGCTGATCACGCTCCGATTGTGTGGCTTTCCGTGGGCTTGAACTGCGATGCGAGTCCTTCAAGTTTTGTACCAGTGTTTGGAAGTCGGCGTCGGATTTTAGGCTTAATATGGATGGCTTTGACGAGGAAGGCGGTAGGACCTTTCGAATCACAGCAGGCATGTGCTAAAGATCTTATCAACTCGTGATGATCAGCCAGTGAAACGAGCACCAACGTTATTATTATCGCGATAATGCGAATCGCGGGATTCCCGCCTGGTATGTCGTTCCGGTGAGAGGGCGGTAGGAAGGCCAGGTACGAACAAGACATTGGAGAGCGATATGTCCCCATAGGCGGTTAAAGTGTATCCGTCGTCCTCGACGTCCGTGTCAGTGTCAGGCGACGTGCGCTTTTCAGTCTGATTGACATCATGGTTGACGGGTGCTTGAGATAAGCCGGGAGGAGCCAGAAATTCAAAGAACAAGTCCTGTGACGACGATATTTGTGAGATACACCCGAGAAGATTAATGGAGGACTTACAGATTCGTCGAGCATCTTGAATCTAGGAGGAAATTATGGCGGTGCTTCAGCCCTCCAGCCCATCCTTTATACATACCAGGAGCCACTTGGAACATAAAAAGCGAACAATGGCGAACCACCAATGGCGAGGCCACAGTAACTTGTGGTCGTAATGGCGATTGTGGCCACTCAATGTTTACCTGTGTATCACTCTAATAACCGGTGACTTTCACATGAACCGGGGTCCGGAATGTTCTCCATCCCGAACCTTGACCTGGTCCGTTTCTCTTGTCTCTCTCTAGGCTGTAAAGAATGAGCATCGCACACGGAATCCACCGTCTGGGCGTCCTCGGGGCAGGCCAAATGGGAATTGGGATTGCACTCGTCTCCGCACTTCGCGCAAAAGTACCGGTGTTGTTGCATGACAGGTCATCGGAACAGGTCACGAAGGGCCTTTCATTGGTAGACAAGCTTTTGGCAAAGGACGTCTCGAAAGGGCGTATCACGAGTGAGGAGGCGAAAGAGGCGCGAGACAGGATTTCCGTGGTTGGGTCGGAAGCTGGTATCAAGGGGTTGCGGGACGTCGATATGGTCGTTGAGGTTAGTAAACCAAATACACTCAGAGATAAAGACGATAACTCCATTGACAACGCGAATAGGCTGTCTCCGAGTCTCTTCCTCTCAAAAAATCAATATTCGCCTCGTTTGCAGCTGAGCTCAAGCCAGAAGCAATCCTCGCGACCAATACAAGCTCCATTAGCATTACAAAAATCGCAGCTTCTGCTATTCCCCAGGGTTCAAATGCTGCAAGCGAAGAGGGGAAGAAAAGCGCCTCACGCGTCGTCGGTACGCTTAGTGACGTATATTTTATGTCTGCGGTAACCGTTTATATTTTCCAGGCCTACACTTCTTTAACCCGGTTCCTGTCATGGTACGGGGACTTTGTCATTTCTTATTATTGACTCTTGTTTAGAACATCTTTTTAGAAATTGGTTGAATTGATATCAGCGCTCCAAACCTCTCAAGAAACTCTCGACCGAGCTCGAAACTTCGCCATCGCATGCGGCAAAGGTACATTATACCATTTTCTTCGACGTGATATCGTTCTTACCTGAGGTCAAAGAGGTGACAACTTCAAAAGACGTGCCCGGTTTCGTTTCGAACGCCCTGTTAATGCCGTTCATCAATGAAGTAAGCTCAAATGACACGGTATGAACAACGATTGACGTATTGTTGTACTTCAGGCGATCATGTGCCTCGAAAAGGTTCGGTCTGTCAAACTCTTCATTCATATCAAATTCATAACCAACATTCAGGGAACGGCGACGCGTGAGGACATTGATACAACTCTCAAACTGGGGATGAACCATCCCATGGGTCCTCTTCAACTAGGTACGACTAGTCTTTCTGTTACATTAAATGCCCTGATTGATTTTTGTTGCAGCGGACTTGTAAGTTTCTCTTTGCCTATCAAAGATCCTAATGGCCTATTGTTTGTAGCATCGGTCTGGACACTTGCCTCGCGATCCAGCAGACGCTTTACGAAGGCACCCGGGACTCAAAGTACCGGCCAAGCATCCTCCTAGAACGGATGGTGGATGCCCAGTGGTACGGCAGGAAGAACGGCAAAGGCTTCTACGAGTACAACTAATTAGAGAACCACATGATCAAGACGTATGCATCAATAATCAAGCCTCCCATAATTTTACTGAACACAGTTAGCCGCCACGTTTTCTACTAAAAAGCAGGCCCCCCGATAGTTTTACATGTGGGATTCAGGGATCATGCAAATTTTAGAACCCTATAAATGCTAATGAGGTCAGCGTACTGAACACGACTTTTAAAACCGCCAAAATAGACTTGAGCCTACATCGCTCCGCTGGTCGTCCCCCAGCCTCCCAGCTAAAGAGTTGTCTCTTTCAACCCCTTCAGTGATTCTACCCCAATCATGACTAGTACTGGCATCGTCGAGCTATCTCACAAACTCAACCCCGCCGTGCAAACATCCCAGGCGATACCCCCTTCTCATGCATCCCCTCGGCACCAGCGAGAAAGACGGCTACAATACGCGATTCGTGACCATAGGATCGCACTGCGGGACACACATCGACGCCCCCTTCCATTTCTTCGCGGACGGTAAAACCATCGACCAAATCCCCCTCTGAGTCTTTGACCTTATTGCTCCCGCCGTCATCGTGGATTTATCACACAAAAATCTCAAAGCGAGACAGAAAATAACATGGGCGGATTTGGCGGCCTACGCTGACCGGTTCCGCGTTGGAAAAATTGTGTTGATGAACACTGGCTGGTCAAAGTATTGGGGGACGGAGGCATACTATAGTCACCCTTTTTTCGCACGTGATGTTGCCGAAAATCTTTTCAAGTTGGGGATCACAGTGGTTGGGATAGACACTCTGAACCCGGACGAGACGCCGTACGAAGGTGTGGGCGGAGAGGACGGGTTTGAGTTCCACAACGTAATACTTGGTGGGGGTGGGGTCATAGCAGAAAACCTGACAAACCTTTCGTCCCTCGTTGAGGGTGACGATTGGGTGATCAGCCTTATCCCTCTTAATCTGGAGGGAAGCGATGGTTCACCAATCAGAGTATTTGCACGTCGAAAGTCATGATGCAAGAAAACAATCTATATAGTTACTAGATCCATGTGGCATGTTGTCAATGAATGTGTGGTTCCATCCTGGAGTGAAAGCAATCGAAAACAGTGCGACTTCATAGTTTGCTTCTATCTGGTCGAGTTTTCGACGATTGTCATCGCATCAGCGACATCTTCTCGAAAGGCATCAGGACCCAGAAGGTCAATTATGCCAGCTTTTTCAAAGGTTCGTCGTGGACCAGGTCGTAGATGAGCGATGAATAATTCCACCCTCCGGTTCTAGGTCTGGCATTAGCGGGGAGGTTCTCAAACACAAAAGCTGACCTACCTTGTATTCTTCCAACAATTCGTATAAGATCAGAGCCGCCCTGAGTAATCAAGAACATTAGACATGCAAGAAGTCACGAGGGCTTAACTCACGATGCGTCACAAGTGTCGACATCGGCCATGTGAAAGACAAGCACAGAGGCTTCTTGACGACGTGGCTCGTCAGACGGGTGACGTTTGTGGGCACCGTAAAGTTCGAGTCGACGAAGACGTTCTGCTCAAAAGGTCAGTCAATTCAATCATCTGGAAGGTAGAAAAGCTCACCTTTTAGTTGAGAAGTATTAGCTATTTTCGTGTTAGCCATTATCGACACCAAAAAGCGCAGTGCTGCATACCAAAGTCCAAATTCTCGCGAATACGAACGATCAAAACTCCTGACAAGCTTTCCTCAGCCTCCGGATTCTCGCTGATTGGTTTCCACCTGTCAGTCCCAGGAATGCGTCCCTTCAAACTCACAGATTAGATAGCAGTCAGTCAGCGCAAGTCAAAACGTACCAAAATTGCCATTCGCGTCTTTGATGAACGATGTACAACAAGCAAGAGGGAGATGATCAAACTGACCACCACACCTACTTCAATGTTCCAGACTATTGAGAATATGAATGTCAGCGACATGAGCGCAAGGTCTACCCAAGCTCCCATCCTAAAAGTATGTTCAAGGAGAGAGAGATGTCGAGGTGGATGCCTCTTACCTCCAGTAGTACATGACATCATGAGGTGTTTCGGCGAGCAGTGAGAATACAACCAGACATATACTGTCCAAGACAACCTCAGTCGACTCAAAATTTCAGAGGATATATAGGACTTACATCGAAGCCAGGACACATTTCGGAAGGAAGTATAGCCAAGGCAAGAGGAAAAACGTCGCCAATAGGACAATACCAGAACATACAAGAGAAGCCATCTGTGTGCGCCCTCCAACATCACCATTTATACGAGACCTACCGCCGTAATCAGCGACGCGAACGTGACCTGGCTTGGTACGTACCGCGTAATGGAGCCATATGCTGGTAGGGTCCCAGGAATAAAGGACCCCATCAAATTTGCAGCGCCAAGTGCTACGAGCTCACGGTTAGGACTTATAGAATATCCAAAGCGAGCAGCATTTTGTTTGGCTGCGACGATACTATCCAAGAAACCGATGATTGATATCAGGCTGTACATAAACAAGTGAGGTTATGTCTGATACTATGGTGTTGACGACTTACACAGCCGTAGATGTTGTCCGGTGCATCAGTTTTATATTAGATCCACTGAGTGGAAATTCGATGAAGGATTCTCCAGTGCTTATGGAAACGGCTCCAAGAATATCGACGCCATCCTTGTCCCAACGGAATTGAGAACTGAGAACTGAGTGGAAACATATTAATAAACAAAACAGCGAAGCAAGGTGGGGCTCACTCGTCGATACGACCACAACGATCAGAACTTCTGGCAAACGGTATATCCACCATGTATTCTTGAACAGACTTTTGAATGACCTGAGCGCAACAAGCGAACCAAGCGCAGTGAAGCTGATGGTAGTCGTCAGCCATTTGGACTGCGTAAACGCGTGCTCCACAAGAAACATAACCTTTTCAAAGGTATGTTCTGGATCGGCTGCACGCATTAAAGCCGTCAGGCCAAACATCGGAATGAGTTGTTCACTGGGTGCACACAGGTTTAGTACACCATGAAGATGACACGAAGCAACGTACACCATGATGACCAATGCGACAGCAGAGATAAAACCCCGCAATAGAGCACGACTGAGAACAACATCGATGAATCCTAGGCGGAAGAAACCCAACAAAAACGATATCAGGCCAACCTACCAGCTAACATAAGCTATAAAAGACCCCTGACAGGATGCATGCATTACCTGAAGTGTAATTACGGTGGAAACTCCCAACCCTAGAATATCAATTCCAGAGGAGGGTGGAGCAAAGTCCGAGTATTTGTGACGAATCTCGTCGATGGCCTGACCTAGAAGCAAACTAAGTGCAGCTTCAGGAGCAACGTTTAGTTGCCTGGAAGTGCCAAGGAATGCGTATACAATGCCAGGAATTGACGCCGAAAACTATAATGGGAGAAAACCTGTGTCATTTTTAACATCTACGAATAAGAATCTGGCAAACCCACTAGACCTGTAACTGGGCTTAACTTTGCGAGTGACGTTGCGTAACTGACGGACTGCGGGATAAGCATAGAAGCTACAGTAAGCCCTGCCAGGAAATCACCACCAAAGCTACACGGCAAGTCTCGGGTCAGTTATGATCCGGCCAGCATCCAAGAGTGGTACACGCACAGAGACCACGAATAATCAGGAATCCATGCTAGGGATGGAATGTAGTATTTGACTCGCTTCGTAAAGTTGGAATTGGAGTTTGACTGTGACTTATGACCTGCAAAAAAGGTTGAGCACCGAATTCAGGCAACGACCTGTAAAAGACTCACCATTACTGCTCCCCATCGTTCCGTACTGGTCCACCCCAGGCTCAACGTCAAGCAAAGCCCTTCGTTCCTCCTCCTCCCCAATGGATTCCTGGATGTGCACAGGAGCCGAAACAGCGTCTATCTCCATCATTGAGCTGGTGGAGGCGGCTGAAGAAGAAATAAAGGGCCTGAAGAGCCCAGGATCAGGATTTTTCACGGGGGTTCGACTCATGAGTGCGCCGACCGCGGATACGGATTGAGAGGCAATCGACTCGTCAAAGTTGAAGCAAGCTTAATGTGCAAAGTGCTGGGCGCATTATTAAAAAAACCACGGTCACCAGAATAGTCACCTGTACTAAACTTAGTTGTCTAGGCGTTTGACTGTGACAACGTGGGATCAAGTCCAAGCAAATCTGGGTTATATGCCACGAGCTCTTATCAAAAAAAAAGAAAAGAAAATCAAGTCAACGTTTCTCAGTCGAAGTCTACAAAATCCGGACGGTCATTTGACCAGCATTTGACAGATGTATACGGCTTATCCGAGTCATGTACGTCACAGCTTCTCAGAATGCCAGTCTGGACTGGAAATATATCATATGCGAACCGCGATGTCAAGGTTCTTGAGTCTTCTGCAAGACCGACACCAAGGTCAAGATTCCTCAACGCATCAGCCAAGAGACAAGACGGACGAGCCGGAGAAGGTTATGAATGATTTATCATTTCATGCACTTCATCTGCGGCTATAGCTTTAAAATATTAGAGACAGTCAAAGCATGCCCGAAAGACCGCCAACATACCAACAGACAGTTTCGGATCTTATTCCTAAGACTTCCGGCCGCAGTTTCGAGGAATTTCCAGCTGTATCTCTGCATGCCCGATGCCTGGGCGATGTTAGACGGTGCTTCACTCTGTATTCAAGTCATGCATCCTTTCAGACAAGCCATTTACCACAGAAAAAATCTCCGGTAAGCATACGCCAGTCGACATAGGGTTTTGGCAGACCTTTGAGCATCATGGCCAGCCCCCAGCCTCGAGGAGCCAACCCCACGGTGGTGTGCGGGCAACCTGAGAGAACGACGCGACCAGACTGTCAGAGGCGATGTACAAGGAAAATATTGGGTCGGTTCCGAAATCGGAGGTGTATCTGGCGTGCTTCGCAACCGATGACACGAAACCTGAGGCATGACGGCCAGTTGTATGGGAAAACGCCTGACACGTAACACGCATCAAACCCCCCTCAGACCATTTCGAGGCTAAAGGGTAGGGTCATGCGTAAGGCGAAGGAAGTTCACCTTCAGGCCCCTGTGACACAACAAGCTGAAATATCTTTTTGACAATAGTACCAAGTGGACCAGCGACATATTTACCTTACCGCCGCTGTAAGCAGCGGGATGGAAAAGCGATGATCATCATTTTTTTAGGATGGATAGAGGGAATCGCTGGTCAAACTGTCAGCATTAAGAGAATATGTTAACGTATCTTTGATGGACAGACCTGAGAAATATCAACTCCGGGTTTGAAAAATTGTCGAACTCCAGGAGATTATAGCAAATAATTCCTAGAAGGGGGTGTGTGTGTAACGGCACCCCAACAACACTTACTGCCTCCATCCTATAAATTCCCTTGAACCGCGGGTCCTTCTTATCCCGTTCGACAATACTGAAGGTTGGGCAGCCCAAAATCTCTTGCCTTCTTCTGTTCAGAAGCCCCGCCAGTAAGTTCGTGCACTTCATCTGCTTTATCGCCAAACCCCACTTCGCTGGTGGGGACATTTTGGCTTTGCCCTCGTTCGTACGGGAGACCGTACCGCTGGCGATGGCCTCCGCCAACCTAAAGTGTTTCATTTGACCAAGACACCAGCCGTCCAGGTCCTTGTATCTATGATTGGCCTTTGGTCTTGTCAGCGCCCACTCAGCGCCGGGCCAGTCAAGCCATCGAAGTCGTCTGGACTGCTTGACGCCATCGAGATCAAGCCAGCCTGCCACTGCGTTGCTGGATTCCAGGTAAATTAACACGCCACAAGTATCCTTGGAATGGCAACGGCGAATGGGATTCCGATGTTAGCAGATCATACCAGATGCCGGACAATTGGATGAACAAGACTCGAGAACAACGAGGATTTAAAAAATACGACGTTTTCTTTGCTGCCGCCAAGAATAAAAGATGAACGTGGGTCCTCGCCCCAAGGAGTCGTCCTGGCGAAGCTGCCATTGACGGTAATGTTCACCTGTCCCTCCACGTTGATCAACGCTGACAACGGATAAAGGGATGTGCTTTGACAACAGATAAAGGAATGTGCTTTGACAAGAATATGATGTACCCAGCCAGATCGAATGCCAGGCCCGGCCACTCATCTCTCAACAGAGGATGCACTTTATCTTGCCTGATGCCAGCTATACCGTGGTATGTGCGGTCACTGACCTCACCCCTAAATTATGAGTGAGTCGGGAAAAGCACATTACCATGGGAATGGAAGACAGCAGGCTACCAGATAGGTGCAGGCCAAAGTTGAGGGATGAGTCGCGATGGCGGCGGCAGACTCAACGAGCGTTCAGCGGCGAATTGGTACCAAGCCCCAGCTTAAGCCAATGCTCAGGCCACACGGCTTTTGGCTTGGCTTGTATTCCTAATGAGCCCAAGCTCCTCCAAGCCAGGCCAAAGTTGGGGCTTTCAGACGAAGCCTGAGCTGGTACGTCACTATTCAGAAATCAGAAGAAGCGCTGCAGTGCAGTTCACTGAAGATAGACAAAACCTGAGAAGACATTGAGTTCAACAGCTCACCATGGGCTAGCTACGAGGGGTGAGTTGCCTCTATCCTCAGCTTGGCGTAGTCTTAGAGGTCGATTATTCCAAATGTTTTGTTAGGAGTATGGTCTTAATGAGCCCAAGCTCCTTCAAGCCAAGGCGAAGGTGGGTGGAGTTTTCAGGCCAAGCCTGGGCCGCTACATCACTGTTCAGAAAACAGAATAAGCGCTGCAGTGCAGATGGTTCAATGAAGATAGACCAAACCTGAAGAGGCATCGAGTTCAACTCACCATGGGCTACGAGGGGGTGACTTTCCCCCTATCCTCACCTCGGCGTAGTCTCAGAGGTCGATTATTCCATGGTTACGGTCTTGGCCCCACATTGATACCAGAAGCTTGTCTTCGAAAAGGTCAAGTAGTCTGAAGTTCTGAACTGTGTCGAGCTGGTCAGATGGCATCAAGGACGCTTAGAAAGGTAGCTGGCGCAGATCCAAGGGCCGCAACCGAGTTCAACCGTGAGCCTGAGCTTATTTGAAATTCAATTGAAACAGACATGGAATGATTACGTTTTATTTTATTTTTGCTTTCACATCTTCTAATCTTTTCAAACTTGTCTTCTACCGACCGAAAGGAAATTTTGCGGACCCCATCCGCCCGAGTCCAGAGGCCTCATCCGCACTACCTGCTGCTGCATTACAAGACTGAATCCTGGAATGGCGTTTCCGCGTCCAGGACTTAGAATGACAACCTCCAGACTGTAGCAGCAACAGGGTGGTTTCGTCACCCCAGGTATGGACAGGTGACGATGCACATTCAAGTACCATACGGCCAGAGGTCAGGTCACTGAATGAGGGAACGCGAGTTACGTGGACAAAGCACAAAAGGTGTGTTGATATTCGTACAATAATGCCATTTGTCTTATCACAATATTCTCTGACGTAGGGACACAGATTACGGATCTGAAAGGAGGCTTGTGTGCTGCTCCGCGCCAAAGACCCAAAGACCCACTACTACCTCTTATGGCGAGTCACCGGTCACCTGTCTATACGTAAAGTGACTGGACGACGAATGCGGCTGCCGCCGCCTTTGATTCGCAAGGCTCGTTTTAGGCGCAAGACCTTAGTGTTGGATTTGAGGAAACGTGGTGGTTCGGATAGATAGTGGTCCCCCCAGAAAACGACAACTCTACCCCTCGCTCCCAATCAGCCAGCAAACCCTGACATTTCAGAAAACTATGGATTTCGAAACTGATCTGAAATCGATTGAGAGGTAAGCTTTTTTGTGCTGGACTCACCACACAACTGCTGACCTTGATTTCAGATAAACTTTTTTCATGACCCGATCTCTGGGGCTTCAAACGAGGTCAGCCGATTCCGTCAGTATCCTCCCAGCTGTAGTCGCTTCACGTTCTCTGTCGCTTGGTTTTGTGAGCCTTCCTTCCATAGGCGTGCAGCTCAATGTTGGATCATGTAACAACATCGCTGCACATCGAATTGCCTATAGGAACTTTGAATATGCCCAAGTATCTATTTAGTCAAGGAGCATACAAATACACGCTTTATGTTATCTATGATTGTTGTCTCTTAACTTTGTGTCTGATTCCCACTCATCAATCGTAATCGACGGGCGACCTATGATGAATGACGACCGATGCTTCTCTCGCATTCGAGCTTTTCTCGAGGGCTTGGGGCTTAGTCGCCCTTCCTTAACATCATCATGATCCTCATCTTTTGACCGCCTAGTAAATGGCTCTTTGAATATGAGATGTTGAGCAAATGCGAGTATCGGACTGCATGGAGAGGGTTAGCGTGTTGAGCTAGCTAGTCGAATTAGATACGTACGTAAGGCCCAAAGAAACCGCTAAGAGGATCTGTGTCAACAATGATGGGCTGTAGCCGTTCGAGATGATGTCCTATCGGTCATCCGTTACATAAATTGCAAGTCGCAAGGATGGGGAGATGCTCACGACAATATGCGACGAGTTACGGTCAAAAAGAAAGCGAAGCCCTCTACTCATCCCAACCTGTCGGTTCAAGACCAGGTCAACACCAAGGAAAGTTAAAAATGTGCCTATTGATGCACAAGCGAAGAGCTATCCCAAATACTCAATCAACACTACGATGGAAAAACCAAAAGGAGAAACATACCAGACCACCTCGCTCAGTCTTCTTGAACACCAACAGCATACCATTTATCGCGCCCATAAGCGCAATGATGGCCCAAATCGCTCCATAGGCATTGCTCACGGGAAGCAGCAGATCAGCCTTCAAAATGAAAATCCGGATTCCGAATGCTAAGCCTCCAGTGATGCCAACCATGACAAAACCGCTCCGGCGCCCGATCTCCAGTAGACCGAATATAAACCCAAAGACGAAGAAACCAAGAACGGTGACTAGAATGAAGAGGTCACTGATGCCTGTAGGTCCCATGGTGTTGACGAGGGCTGCCCATGCTAAGAAAAGTTGTTAACAAGAGCGTTACGACAAAGGCAGGGAGTCTTACAACAGACGGTAGCAGCCAACCCAAGCCCGACGCCAGTCGTGAGTCGCCAGCCACGGATACCAGCGAAAGCCATGGGAGAGCCAATGACAAAGGCGAATATGATCCAGAGGATCGCCGGCCCATCGAAGTCCTGCCCACCAGCGTCCGTTGCAGGACCTTGCGGGATAAGTTGCTGGGTTATTGGGTTAAATGCCTCGAGTTGACCTGTATGGTTGTTCAGGATGGGGCTTGCGCGTGACGCGAGGTGGATTAATGGAAGAGGACCAAGAAGCGGAGAAGGTGACCCAGAACTTGCTACTGCGAGCTGGAGTAGTGTCATTGAGGGGAGGAAATGAAGGTGGAAAATCGACGACAGTGAGCTTGTCATTGCCTGGATGAATGAGCGTGAGCGAGCAGTACTAGCCCGATGAAAAGGAAAGTGTGTCGAAGGGAAAGGCCAGGGCGTCGTCCGGAGAGTTGGAAGGCACTAAAGCGAAGCGCGTCGCAGCTAGCTGCTCCACAAAAACTTAAACGTAGAGATGAACGAAAATGACTGAAGCATATGGGAAAAATTATTGCTCTGGACTGGACGTAAGGAGGGCGGCAACGAAACGAGAAGCACACTAAATGCCATGATTCTCGAAAGGCCGATCGTTGGGGTGGCAACCGAGTCGGCAATTTAAATACTGCCACCTGTTAGAAGTTGCGGAAATTTGGTTTCCGCCCTGTTAACATATTTGAATTATGAGTACAGGAGCTCGTTGGGCGCGATGAGGCGCGATGAGGAAGAGAAATGTGAACCTACTTGTCGATGTTAACGGGTTATTGATGAGTTTGAGGCAGGTTCATCACGCACCCATGTTCTCCACTCTAGTGTTTTAGGTTGCTCTATATATTGCCTACAGCTCCCGGTTGGAATACATGTGCGAAAAGTGTGCACCACTGTGCAGCAACTGGCTGTTGAGAATTTCGAATAACGTCCCTGATCGCGCACTGCGGCTCCCACTCCGTTCGCATCTCACGTAGAAATGCTTCGGAGAATCAACCAATCGGCTTGGATACTCGTTTCAATTTTCAGTTGTGTGATTACAATACTTTGAGGGAGATTGACGACTACCCATGCAACCAACTTGATAGAAGGTGTCTAAGAATAATCTATGAGAAAGAAAAAGGTCAGCATTGTGTAAAAAAACAAAGGGAGAAAATGAAAATGAAGGAAGCGCTCAGTGCTGCAAAGCAGACTACGTTGTGATCTCCTGCTTCCAGGTCCCAGCCACGATCCATAACACGAAAAGGTCCCATAGCCACTCCTGATCCCCTCCTCGAAGACAACGAACCAGCATATATGCGCGTAACCACACGCCACAAGCATGTACCTTCAGCTTCGACGTTTATAGCGGGCAATTGCAACAAAGCAGAAATTTGCCGTCCAGAAATAAACCACGTCTAGTGACCACCCAACACGGCGTTGGACTCGTCCGCATGAGCTCGGCTAGAAAGACGACTGGAAACCTAAAACGCGTCAACGCTTTAGGATCCGATGTAACGACTCTGCCTTTGCTGCTAGATCGTTGAGCTTTGGATCATAGCAGCCATTGTGATTAAGAGTCTGAGAATATCGGTCAAGCCTTACAACACGCCACAAGTGGCTTCAGATGGCGTGTTGGAGATATAGACACATTCGAGTGCGGTTCGGGGTCTAGAGAGGGGAGTGGAAGGGTCCTGATCGCTGGAAGGTGACGTGGGCGGAATCGACCCTTTTACTAGAACATCTTTGCGAGAAGAAAATAATGAAGAAATGACTTGCCATTGTCGATATCCGTTGTTCAATGTAGACCGGTGACCGTCTGGATATGAAGGAAATCCTATGATATGCCAAGTTGGCACGATGGGTGAGAAAACACGTGGGAAACATTAGTCAGCTATGAAGGAGCGTTGAACACGTCGTCTGCAACGTCAAGAATCGGCAAAACTTGGGTAAACGCTTTCTCCTCACGTCCGCCACCCACCATCCTGCAGTCACTGGCCCATCGTAGTCATGAATTTCTTCCGTTTGCTGGGTATGTTGTTTCGCCTGTTCCTCCAATTTCAGTCGCTGATGAATTTCATAGGTGACTTGTCACATTTGGCCTCGATATTCATCCTCTTGCATAAAGTTCAAACGACGCGATCATGTCGAGGTATGTGGTGATTGTCGTGTTCTGTGCTCTACAGGACACCTCTCTTACTTGTGTTGACACAACCTTTTACCCAGGAATATCGTTTAAAACACAAGCTCTATACGTAGCCGTGTTCATTACACGCTATCTGGACCTCTTCTTCCGTTATGTCTCCCTATACAACTCCGTCATGAAGCTCTTCTTCATCGCAAGCAGCTGCTACATTCTCTACCTCATGAAGTACAAATATAGGTCAGCCTCCAGTGCTACCGACTTGGCATCAAAACCTAACAATATCTCTCCTCTAGACCAACGCATGACCCCTCCATTGACACCTTCCGCATCGAATACCTGCTCGGCCCATGCTTCGTCCTCTCCCTCATATTCAACTACAAGTTCTCCTTTTCGGAAATCCTGTGGTCGTTCTCCATCTTCCTCGAGGCCGTTGCTATCCTTCCCCAGCTTTTCATGCTCCAGCGCACCGGAGAGGCAGAGACTATCACGACACATTATCTGGCTGCCCTCGGAGTCTACCGAGCGCTCTACATTCCAAATTGGATATACAGGTCAGTGAGACACCCTTTCCATCACGCGCAGCTACTCAACCACCCTCTCCAGATACTTCACGGAAGGCCTTGTCGACCCCATCGCTGTGACAGCAGGTATTGTTCAAACAGGGTTGTATCTCGACTTTTTCTACGTCTACTTTACAAAGTTCGTCGCTTTCCCCTTTTTTCTTTCTTCCTCTAACATGCCCCTTTTCTTAGAGTTTTACAAGGCCAGAAGTTCGAGCTTCCAGCATAAGTTAGATGTTCAGGCTCTGTAATGCGGCAATACTATGTTGTTCGTTGTGACGCGGTAGTCTCAATATATGGGCAAGAAGGAGGACTTAATCAACGTCTTCCAGAACGATGTTCCTGAGACTGTAGTGCTCGGCCTCTACGTCCTCAGGTTGCTCTGATAATTGTACCGCATAGAAAAGGCGAAAAAAGCGGAATATATGCACTGGTGCGCGGGCTGATATTCCACGGCGATATCCTGCTGTGATCAGTGAACTTACTGTCAGAGTCAATTGTGATGAAAGCGAGACCTGAACTACAAGAAATTGTAATCAAATACGTCCTTCAATCTACTACTTTCCAGGTCCACAACAGAGTATTTTCGTCCTGCCCGAAATACGCCTGGTGACGAGTGAATAAAACCTAGGATTCAATCCACGCTGCGGTATGGGCGGCTGCCCTAGCCATTGGCGAAGGTGGTGGCTGGACTCGAACGGCTATGAGAAGAGGAATTACGTTTTTTAACTAGTACAATAGATTACAAGAATAGGCAGGGTATTGGTGATCAGAAAAATCCAGGAGGCTGGATACATCCGTGTTGACCAAAGAGTACCTCCGAAATAGCATAGCTCTTGAATGTGATCAAAGATTCATCATAGGCGCGAATGTCAGGCGCCGCGGTGAGCCCAGCTGGGACGTGCTGATTCTCGAAGACGACGAGCTAACGCCCTCCGTCTGCACATACCCAACACTTGGAACGATCTCATGCAGGACAATCCCCTTTCTTGCAACCCGATCACTTGACCCAAATGTAGCCATCATGACTTCAAGGTAACGGCTCACCAAAAGCACCCTGACAAATGAAGGCGCGGGGAGTTCGTCTCCATGACCCACGAACCACCGGTGCAATAGGTCAGCCAAGCTGTTCTGCTCTTCGACTGAGCACCTATCCACGTCGTCTAACACGATGAGAAGAGGCTTAACAGGCAAAGTATCTTTTTGCCCAGCTCTATCCTTTACCATCGTATGCAGAGCGTCAATCACCAGCTGCTTCATCTGCGTATCTAGAGGTGTATCACAGATATTAGGGTGGCTTTTCACGGCATCGCACACATACTGCGCCACCTCGGACTGGTGAGTCGAAATTTGGTACGCAAGCGTTGCCGGGAGGTGTTCCAGCAAGGCTGACGTCTTCCGGTGTCCCGATTCATTGAATGAAAAGTAAGTTGCAGGAAATCCCATGTGGTTGAAGGTCTCTATGAGCTGTGCAGTCGTTTGCGTCTTCCCACAGGATGCTGATCCATACATCCAAAAGAGTGGCTTCGTGTTGGCAGTGGACGCTGGATTCGTCTTCAAAGACGTCAGAGCCCATTTGGTCAGTTTTCGGATACAGTCAGAATGATATGCCGTGGGCGGATCATATAGGAGAGGTGGGAACACTGATATGGTTTGGAGTTTTCCCAGGCTTGGGTTATTCGCTGCTCCACCATTCAGATCAACTGTTGAGCTGGTAAGGGCTGTGCACTCACCGACTACGTCTCTAACTTCCGTCTTCTTCGAATTCTTCATTTGGGCGGCGTGGACTACCCCAGACACAATGTCTTGTTCATATTTCCCATAAATTTCAGTAGACTTGAGAAGCTTAGCATCCGCTGACTTAGATTCCCCTGAATGTGATCGCTACGATGAGCTGTATGATTTTGTGTAAAAAGGAAACTGTCAACCTGAAAGAATCCGGCGTTCGGATAGCCATAGGACCTGACCTGAATAGAAGAGGAGTTCCCTGTAAAATGCGATGGTTTGATTGGCAGATCTCCCTTTGCTTGTACTTATGACTTTAGTGAAGGCGTCGCTAGCGTCGTTAACCACATTTGCAATCACGTCCCCGTGCTTCGCACTGTCAGCACCGTCCATGCGCTGTGAAACAGAGGGGTGATCTCTCAACTGAAACAATGGTGAGGGAAAGTGCTTACCGCTGTCAAAGCGTCTAAGAGAGTCGATGCGACGTCGATCAAAGGTTCCATCTATAATTTCATAAATGATTATGCTGTTGGAGACAATTTTATCGTCACATACCGGCGAGCCTCGAGAAGCAAAGGCAAGAGCAGAAAACTGGGTCTTTAAGTTCTCGGCGGCCTGAAGGGACTTCTGCTTGATTAGATCCATGCGCTCCTTCAAAGCTGTTTTATCTTTCTCAGCCAAATCTTGCGGCCGGTTGAATGCTCGAGGCCAAACTTTAACCTGCAAAGTTGCCGATTTGGAGGGCGCAGACGTAGACGATAGTGGGATAGATATACCTAATTACAATGAGTTCAAACGATTCAATTAACAGGAGGGAAGCTCACTTTGGTCTGCGCCTTGATTTTGCTGACATTCGAGAAGTTTTAGTACTGGAAACTGTGGTGATGTTGCAATGATAGTCTTGCGAAGTTTATAAGAGTATCGATGTTTTATGATAAATGAGACCAGAGCTCCCTTCTTGACAAAAACTCTAGTGCCTTGTGAGTTGAAAAAGTCATAGTTGAGAATGTATGTCGGACCTAGGTGAGTTTTCATTCCAAGTGGGATTAGAACTTAGGCAGAAGTCTGTTTCCAAAACCTTTTCGTGTACGCCGGAGATTTGGACGTTGACCGATGCATGAGGAATCGGGTTTCCTGGCAGCGAGAGGCCCTGCGCAGTTAAAACTGTGCTTTCGTAAGGTATATGGTTTGTAAAGTGGCGGAATGAGACACTCACTCTGGATTTGGATAGGAATCTTGTCATCCCCGCTGTAAAGCCCAGTGATGGTGAGCGATTATATTCAACTATTCGGAGGACAAAATGCTTACGGGGTGCCGACATTTGAGGACATGGAAATCGATTGAAGTGTGCGTTGTGCGAGTGGGGTGAGGTTTTACTTCGTTATCCTCTGAGGGAGGCTATATATAGGAAAGTCATCATGTGCCCTCACAGCCTTGAAGCTTGAAGTTCTACATGTGTTCACGTGTGGCGTGTCATAGGTATGGCAGACGGGATGCGTGGTTTTTGCGCGTACTCCTTTGTCAAGTACCAAGAAAATAACGATATCTCATAATCGATTTGTTGTAGCCCTTTAGATACCAAGTTGGCGACGAAAAATTGAAGCTCACCGTTGTCGCCGTAAGCCCAAGAACCTCTCTGGCATTTCCTTACCAGGGTTGGCTGGAGCAAGGTCCCCGATGAATGACCCACAAGGCTTTTGAACAGACAACGCCCAAGGGCCCGGGCAAGCAGAATGTCGGACCGCCCGCTGACCCCAGAGCTTCGCATCCACTGGGGTAGACCGTTCTACGTAAGTAGACTGATGGTAGACTCGGCCTTTTCCACTTTCCATGTCAAACAGCTCATCAATCCCGGACCGTCTTATCTAGCCACGTCCCTGAACCCGCCCACCTTCGTCGCGCCTTCGCCCGCCCATCTTCGTGGAAAAAGAATGACTCTGAGTTATATACAGTGTGCAGCTTCAGCCTTCAGATGCGATAGATGCTGTGATCAAAGCCGTCTCTTGCCGCATCATGTGATTTCTCCTTATTTGGTAGGACCTCCCCCCCCCAACAGCTGTATACAATGGTCATACGGGAGGGTTTACACGTGACAGGAGATGGTGGCGAGAAGGTAATGGGAGAGCTGTCTCCGTGTCAAGAGCTGAGGGCGACAATTGTTTATTATTACTATCGGACCATACATAGCGTCGACGGAAATGAGGAGGGTCAATAATAGATTGATTTGTACGTTTCGCAGCACTGGGTAATGTTCTAGGCCCTTCCTGTGCTGCTGTTTCTGCCCTCTGGGTAGTGAGCACTATATCCCTTTCCGCTGTGAGCTTCGAGAGAAGAGTTGCACAACTCTTTTTCTCATGCTTGGTGTCTCCCCCCACATTCACAACAGATGCCATGCCTGCGCCGATTGACACACAGGTCAGAACATATTGTTGGAATTTCGGGAGCTTTATGAGCATGCGCAATGCGCCCCATCTTCGGATTTCAGTTGGATTTCAGGTACATTCCTTCCATTGATTGTTTCCGTGGCTCCATAGGGGTATTTCACATTTACCCCCTTATATTTCGTAGTCTACATATATATACGAGGCCTTGTACTGTAGTTACTCATCCGTTTGCCTCTGTCACCCAGAGACAACCGGAATATTATTCCCCACCTTGCCTTGATCACACGTGCTTGCTGAGTTGATTTCAACACATATCCCCCGGTTCCAGTTTTGGCATGGCACTGCCACATGTTTGGCTGGAGCGTCAAAAGAGCGATCAGCCATTTCACGCTTTCGAAACATTTGCATGAGGAGAGGTAGATGAAGTCGGCTACAGTCATCCATGCGATATGGATTTCGTGCATAACGATCTCAAGCTTCAATATCAAATTGGATGGTGATGGAAGGATTGAATGGAGCTGCGCGAAAAAGGTCAATAACCATGTCGCAATAACTCTGAAGCTCTTCTTGACAGTGGGGGAAGAGGAGTGTGACGCCAGATTTCCACATGGTAAAAACCCTAATCCATTCAGCTTCTTGCTTAATAGGCTTTTTCGCAGAATACTGGTCCTTTCGAACCAGCACGTAACCCCCAGCGAAGTCCTTGGCCTCATCTTCATGACTATACCCTTGATCCATCGACACATAAAGTTTCTCAAGGTTGACGTATTGGTCCTGGATAATGTTATGCCATATAGTATGTGGGATTGGATCGACGAGCGGTTGTAGTTGCATGAGGTCAATAAGGGGGTCAATAGCTTTGTCTGAAGCATACACTTGTCGCAATTTCCACGTGGTTTGAAGGTGAATGTCATTGAGTGCATGTTCAGAGGGGGAGGAAAGGTGAGGAGCTGCGGCAAGGACAGAGGCCAGGATGGAAGACCCAGAAGATGAGGGACGACTGTCGAGGAGCTTAACAATGTTGTCGAAAGATAAGGAGTAGTGTTCGCAAGTTCAGTTCAGTCCAGTTTTTTGCCCCCAAAACGCGCAACCGCGGACCGCAACCGGTCTAGGACTGACCCAGATATTGAGGGAACCGAACCGAACCACCTAGGACCGGTCTATTTCGGTCTATGGAGCCGGTTCAGACCGATCCAGACCGGTTTTTTTGCGTATAATTTATTATACCAATATAAACCATTTGTATCTTGACTATTATTACTCTGAAAAATAAACGGGTTATATGAAATAGTAAAGCATGTAAATACCCATTATTCTACCAATTTTGAAGAGATTTAATGAAGATTTGACATAGCTATGACTGAAACCGAATTACATCTCGTAGAGACTCGGGTAAAATATGGATTTGGTTATATCTTTTTCAATTCTTAACCGTTTTTGATGAAACAAAAACCCAATAAAAGGTAATAAACGTGGTTACAAGGGTATGTAACGCACGTGACCGTTTAACCAGTTGCAACCGATCAAAACCGGTCTTTGAACGGTTTTAATATATTTTCGAAATGAGGCAACCGGCAACCGGACCAACCCCAAATTGGGGCAACTGCAACCGAAAAAAAGACCGGACCATGGTCCGGTTCAGTTCGGTCCACCGGTTTTTTGCGGTCCTATGGACTGAACCTTTAAACACTAATAAGGAGTCTTTGCATGATGCAGACAGTGAGGGTAGCTGGTCCAACTTGGCTCGCAGCAGGCTCCACTCAATGTCCTCCATAACGCTCATTGCCGGTTGCTGCCCACCTCAAGATCCTTGAAGAAGTTGATCTCATTTGTCCCGAAATTCAGCAACCTCTTCAGCTGAAAGACCGGAAGGAGTGGCTTCACAAGAGGGATGGTGAGATGGATGGCGAGAATTGTTCAAAAAGGAGTGGGTCTGGGACGGCTGAGTAGCTGATGAAGCTTGAGATGGCTGAGCCTGGCCCCTGCGGGAACTTTGTTGATGTAGCCATTGCTCCAATTGTTGAACGTAGTCGGATCCCTTGAGTGACGATGCACCAAGCTCCCTGAGTCTCTTCTCAAAGTCCTCCACTGCAGCTTGTCCTTCCACAACATCCTCCAGAGCCTTCTGACAGGCTGCCGCCTTTTGCTGAATTGCTTGAGCATTTCCATTGTCCATCATTGTCTTTGTTTATGAGATATAGATGGCAGGACACATAGATTTCTTGAAAAAGTGCTTGTGTATCATGCCAATCTGTACTAGATGATCAGCCAAACTCTTTTGATGTTGAAGAGGGGGTCGGCGGCGCCGAGGAAGCGGGATTCTCACCGTGCAAGATAATAGTCTTTATGTTGTTGAAGAGGGAAAGGCGGCACCTAAGACTGTTATAGAAGGGAGATGAGAATTCGTCCTGTAGAGGAGAAGCACATTGTGCTTACCTGGGTGTCTCACAAGTGCAGTGATGGCAACGCAGAGGAGGGACCCAGGGTTATATACCTCTCTGTGAGCCATAGCGCCTGACTCAGCATTGCTATTGAATAGCACTGAGCCATGGTGGCACGACAAGAGGCATTACTCAGACTGAGTAAAGATGAGTAAGTGGGCTGCAGCGATGCTGCTGATGAATTCGGTGAGGCTGAATTCAAAGGAGCTGGGCCCAGAGGCCTCCGAAAATGCTCCCCTCCCTTGGAACCCACATTTACGTCAAGAGGTGTGATTCCAGGACAAGTCAGGTCTCCCACGCACCAAAAAGTGTGATCCAAACTGTGATTTGGTGGGTCCGTTTTGTGACTTGTCCTGCGAAAAAGTGTGATTTGGCGTGAGACATGTGATTCAAACTCCGAAATCACAACACTTGGCTTGAGACCCCCCACCACATCTCACAAATGATCCATCCATTCAAGCTACCCTTGATGCAATGCGTGATTTCATCAAGGTAGACACCCCATTTGATGTTGACCAATTTGAATACCTACTACGTGATCATCCCAATCAACCTTTCGTCAAATCTGCCATGAATGGTCTTTGCATTGGATTTTGGCCTTTTGATGAAGGGGAGTGGCAAGATGAACTCTCCGACATCTCCGGAAACTATGCTTCCAAAGATATTGACCTTGACACCATCCGTCTCTTTCGTGATAAAGAGTTAGCAGCAGACAGATGGTCTAAGGTGTTACCCCTATCATCTCTCCTTCCAAATATGAAAATTTCCCCAATGTTCGTTGTCTGGCAGAACAAAAAACCCCGCATTGTTACTGATCACAAAAGTTCGGGATTGAACGACTTCATACCTCGCTCTGAAGCTCATGTCAAATATGATGACATGCACCCTTTTGGCCAAGCCTTGCAAGAAGTATGAGCGGAAAACCCTGGCCGACGCCTTATTCTTTTTAAATCAGACATTGTGTCCGCCTTTCTTAATTTACCAGCAGGTGGGTCAGAGCTGAGGCAAACTAAATCATTGCTAGCAATGTCTGTGGATTGACGAATTGGTGAGTGTGATCTTGTGATCGCTTTCTTCACAATAGAAAACGGTTTGAGGAAAGGGTGATTGGTTGGGATACACATTGTTAGACGACAAGATGGAAGTTAATGGAGAGCCGCATGGTCCACAAAGCTGGTGTGATGTTTGCTCATATTTGGTCCACACATATTGACCAGTGATTGATGGTTAGGCAGCTTTTTGGCTGCATTTTGGCAGATTTTGAGCAGATCTTTGCCCATATTGAGAGAAAATTTGCATGTGCAGGGGGTCTTCAGACCAGATTTTTGAAAATCACATCCTATTGTGGATATCCTGATGTAAATGTACACTCAATGATAGAAACACAGAAAAAGACTCTGAAGGCCCCCAAGAGCCACAAAACACATGTCGACTGGAAAAAAAATTGGAGGGATAGAGGTCCGTGGTGAGGAGAAAAGTTGTTATTAAATTTTGACGTGCCAGACTGTAATTAGAGGATTATGTAACACGCATGTCAAAGCTTGGTGTCGCGAATTGGTCGCGAAAAACGACGTACCTCCATCCTTAGACGTGTTATTTCTTTAATATTTTCGAAATTCAATACTCACCATCCTCATACTACAGGAAAGAAACTTTAGGCTTTTGTCACAGTTCCAAAAGTGGAGGGAAACATTGGGAAATCCGAAACATTGAGACTGTTTGAAGAGCAACATGAAGATCAATGATGAACAACAGCTTGTACAGGCTTGTACTGAGGGAAGTCATGGCAAGATTCATTCACCTTAAACAAAGGATGATCGGGCAGTTAAGTGAGTCTTTGACAGATTCTAGGACAAATTAATCATTTTTGCACCTGTTATGTAATTAAAACAGACCTATGGGAATTTTTTTATTTTGATAGTGTGCTTGCCTATTGTGTGAAGGCAATGTCCAAATGTAAAAAAATTGTTGTTACTATTTTAAAAATGTGTTGTAAGGTACATCCAGAGGACAAAAGGCTGTTAAGAATTAAAATTTGTCAATGGAATGGATTTCAGGAACAATTCAGTTTGTCTCTTCGGCATGAGGCAAAACTTTAATTTTTAACAAAAGCTTTGCCTAGGGAACAGAGTTGTGGACAAATTTAAACAATAAGCATATTAATTGTTTTCATTGTGTCAACCCCCTTGAACAATTGGCAAATATACTGTCAAAATAAAAATTGTCGCATTTATCTGACCTAATTACATACAAGGTGCAAAAATGATAAATTTGTCAGGGAATCTGTCCAACGCTTCGCTTCACTGCCCGATTGTCCCTTGTTTGAGGTGATTGCTCGAGAACTTCCTGTGCACGCGTTGGCCCAAGAGTCACTTTCCGGGACAGAAGACATCACAGTGGGCGATGTTGACAACTGAAGAGAAGATGATATGTTCTAAATTATGTACAACATGACATTATGCATAGTATATGAAAATCTCATAGCATATACGGTCACTTTAAGAACATTGGACCAGGGGGAGAGCGAAAGTTGAGCGAAAGAGCGAATTAGCCACATTTTGAGTGGCTGTGTAATTAGTCATCAGCCGGGGTGGATGTGAGTACAGCTTCCAGTCTCGAAGCACCCATAGAAAGTTCAACTCCCCCGCGAACCCTCGTCGAGTCGTGTAATGTTTACTCTCTGGGCGAAGGATGCGCAAAGACTTAGTACATGGGCTTCATTGCAAAGATGTTTGAGTGCATCAGCTCTGAGTGAGTTCCTCCTTCCATTAAATTTTGGTCCCCTTTCCACCTTACCTCGTTTTCCCCTTTTGTGCCGCAACCAAACTTTCCCCCCCCACGCCCCCATTCTTCCGATGCTCCCAGTCTGATATACTGATGATTCAATGACAGTTACGGCTCTCTTAACTTCGTTTACGAGCGCCATGCTTCTAGGTATCTCTACGGGTACGACAATGCCTTTTGCTCCAACTGCATCTTTGAACTCCCACCCAGCGACCCGCCCGACGCCACTTTTCATATGAGGGAGGAGACTTCGTTGATCATCAATATTTCTTTTCCACAAGCCGACAACGTCTGCTTTAAACGGCCTTTCCATTGCGGACGTGGCAGGCGTTACCAACGATGCCCAGCCCAACGACGCTAATACGGTCTCGAAAAGTTCCGCACACCATGCTAGGTCACCGCCGTCCTCCCGATCATAAATGCAAGCTTCAGTCGGAAGCTGGAGAGTGAGGATGACGGTCATCTTTTCTTTGGTAAGTTATCGAGCTTGCATTCCTCTTCCTCAACCTTCGAACTTCTTATCATCTCGCATATATTTGATCTTTTGCCTCGCTGACTGTCCCCACCCGTTACTCAGGTCTTCCTTTCACAGCACCCACGCAAGCCCCACTTCGATGATCGTACTGTCTTTCCTACGGCCCGCACCACGCGGCCACTTAGTGCATCAACTCACGAAGGAAACTTCGCCATGGTATAAATCTTTTGACGAACTCGCCTTCATACCGAGCTCGTTGATCCGACATCAACTCTTTGCCAGTGGCCGTAGGCAGACCTCTCACATATGGTCGCGCCCAGCTATATGGCTATTCGGTCATTCTCTTCCACCAAAGCTCACTCAGTGCTCAGAGCTTTTCGGGAACCTCATTCCCGATGCTCTATGTGTCATTACATACACGGTATAATGGCCCCACTCTCTGCGAGCAAGGTAAGCGTACATAACACCTTCAAGTCTAGATCTTGGCAGCAGTATCTGATGGTGTGCTTTTTATTTAGCCTCAAACGTCGAAGAACTGGAACGACATCAATATGCACGCGACCCTCAAGGTCCAACGTCGGCAAAGCCACTATGTTACTTCCGATTGAGCGCATCGTAGGTCGAGTCTGTAGCTTGGCCGATTCATGTTGAAATTACAACCAGAACTGGCGCAATGTCAATCATTTTCTCCCACAATTTCAACGGGCACTCGTTAAACAGTGTCGCTTGCTATAATTACTTCTTACTTTCACAAGTTTCTCAATGATTTACGATGATGAGGACTGGTATTAAATAAACGAATAAACGTGAACTGGGTAGGCCTATGACAAACGGTGCACTCTCGTTTTAGGAATGTCAGACGACCACACTGCTAGGCGTTTTGTAGATGTATCATATACATTTGATGACGTGATGCGCACAAATTCTGGTATGCAACTTCCATGACCTCAAACAGACCTCAACGAAAGGGCCAAACTCCGGTTCCTCTTCCTCTCCACCCTTCACCAGCATCCGCCTCAAAGCAAGTTATCAGCGTCGAGGAATGGGAAGCTAAAGCACCTTTGGGAGATCTCGAAATACGGAGCATCAACGCGATTAAGGCGGCCACAGAAAAAGTGCCATACCCCCTCAAGGTGACTACCAGATTCACGTTTCGACGTGTCAGAATTCTGAACGATTGAATGTAGTTCGCTGAAGAAGATGATTCTTCAGCTTCAGGTTCTGTAACGCCAATCACTCAGCAACAACGGAATAAGCTGGTGGCTTCAGCTTCAGGCTCTGGATCTCGTCCCTCAACTCCTTCGGGTCGTTCAAACGCTCATGCCTTACATCCTAAACAACCTATCCAAACTCCACAGCAGTTCTACGACTGGTTCGCCTTGATTGACCGTTCCGTCGCGCACAGCCAAGAGTCGCATTTCCGCACTCACGTCGCCAGCGTCTCGGAACACTTGGAGACGTGTGATTTGCTGCTAGATAGGATTGCTGAGATTGATAGGGAGGTCGATGGGATGATGGAGGGTTGGACAGGTGTTGAAGAAGGTGGGAAGAACTTGAAGGATGCTTGTGAGCGGCTTTTAGAGGAACGGGTGAGTGTCCACGGCCATGTTGCAGACTTTTGACGGCTAACTGTTGTGTAGGATAGGCTACTAGAGCTCACGGACGATATTGACTCGTATTTGGAATACTTCCAGGAGCTGGAGCCGGCAACGAGGATGCTCAATCATCCTGGGGAGTCCCTCATCTTCCAAAGTGACTTTTTGTACATGGTGGAACGAGTCGACATTTGCATCGATTTTCTCAAAAGCCATGTCAGTCTGCTTCGCCCTTGTTGCGGCCAATGAGTCTAACGTGCTTTCAAGAGACATTTCAAAGAATCGGAGGTCTATCTCTTGCGTTATCAGCAATGCATGACGCGTGCCATGACCCTCATCAAGATGAACTTTGTTGGATCATTGAGAGCATTATCTTCTGACGTCTCAACTCGGCTTTCTGAAAAGGTTCATATTCAGCTAAACTTCAATCTGTCACTTTATAATGCCGTTTCCAGGATGTATCACCCACAGCTCAAATGCATCTACTTTACACTCGATTCAGGACCGTTTCAAAAAAAGTGGCTCCCCTCCTTGGGGAATTGGAACGGCGTGCTCTGGCATACCCGGACGAGCTATCTGCACTGTTATCGGAGTGCCACAGTGCCTATTTCTACGCTCGCAAGCAACTACTCGTCCCCCGCATATTAGAAGAGATCAAGGGTCTCAACCCATCAAGAAGTGAACTGGTTGAGCTAGTAAATTTCTTTCTTTCTTTGAAAAGAGTATTTAAGTTGATTTACGGTTTCAGACGAGAGCTGGTTGCAGCTACTTGAAGCAATTGTGTACGGACGAGTTCAATCTCTATCGTGAATTCTTCAGCACGGCTGAGGATCAGTTATAGTATGTCTCAAACTGCCTCCAATTGACGACTTGTTGAATCATATTCACACAGTCAGTATCTTGAAACACTTTGTGATTTCCTTTACGACGATCTTCGCCCACGCATCCTCCACGAGCCTCGTCTTACAGCGCTTTGTGAGGTCTGTACTGTTCTCCAGGCCCTTATGGTGTTAGATGCTCCGTCGTCATCATCATCCTCGATGGTATTCTCTGCGAATGACGATGACGACGAAAGTGGTGACGATGACGACGCTGATCGGAGCGAAGATGATGAGGATGGCGACGTTGACGAGCTCACAATTGATCTCGACAATCCTCATCCCAAGGGCAAAGGGAAGGTCGGTCGGCGACTGCACATTAGTCATCTATTGCAGATGGTACTGCAAGACGCACAAACGCGTCTTTTCTTCAAGGCGCAGTCAGTCATTCAGAGTGATATCCGCTACTACGTTCCCAAGGCTGAAGATCTCGCATATCCCGATATCCTAATATGTCAGTGCTGCCGCATCATTTACAAAATCAACTCCCTGATTTTCTATGTCAGCTGCAAGGAAACCTCAATCTGGGAACGAAATCCGGGAGAAGGAGAGTGTGAGCGAGATATTCCAACTTCCATCATTGGATAAGCAGGATACTTGGTACCCGACCATGCGCAAGATGGTATGGGTTCTTTCACAGTTGCATGATTTTGTGAAGGTTTGTCATAATTTGCGATTCCTGCTCTTTTGACTGATTTCTGGTTAGCCTGCCATTTTCGAGGACATTGCGCAAGAAGCCGCGAACCTTTGTCGTCAGTCCTTAGTTGCTGCATCCGAAGCGATTAAGACGCGTAGCGGCCTGGACGGCCACCTCTTCCTTGTACGAAATCTTCTAATCTTGAAGGAAATCACTCGAAATCTGGATCTGGATCAACGCAACACGATCGAACCTTCCAGTAGCAAATCAACAACGGATTTTGGTGGGGTGACGGGTATGTATCTACTTTGCCTTCCAATGAAAGATCTTGGCTAATTGGATGTTCTAATAAGAAACCTTCGCAAATCTACTAAGCAGGACAACTTCAATGCTCCCTGATGGATTATTTGCCTCTCTTGGCATGACACGAGGGGAAGACGGTATCCGCGGGGTCAAACATGTAATTTTATCCTCGTCTTATTCACATTAGACTCATGTTTGAATTTTTAGGGAATCGACCATGATCTTAGACGGGCGTGCGAAAATGTCATTTCTGTTTCTGTCGACTCTATCTGCGAACCCCTACAATCTTGGGCCGAACGGATTCACGCCTACAAAAGTATACCCCCTTCTCTTGAGAAGCAGGATGACGAACATCCTCCATCTGGACCTCTGTCGGAACAGGTCTGGGCATCCCGCTCTGCTGCTGAGACTCTGAACCTCAGATTCAGAGAAGCATGCGAACGAGATATGCGGTCGAGTGTTGCAAGGCTGCGACTATATCTAGAGGACGACCGCACCGTGCGTGTACTGGTGGAACACATGCAAGACCGTATCATGGACGCATATGCGGCATATCGGGAGGTTGTGTGGGGCATGTACGCTGGCGCTTTGAGGGAGAGAGAGGGAACTTTGAGTCCCGTGGGCTTGAGAGAGGTTTTGAAGGATGTTTGTGGAGAGGTGAATGGCGTTGACAAGATATCATGATGGTATATCCCTTCTTGCTTTGGCCTGAGCAAATTGTGGATCGGAAAGCGTTTGTCGTGCGTGGATCCGCCTTACTATTTGTTCACGACGAGGAAAAGCTTATGATGATACACGATTGGCTGGCCTTCTTTGTGAAATTTACGGACAATGAATCAGCCAGCCGCCAAATCAACGGATTTCTCTCCTTCTAGTCATCAAACCAGGGTGTCGGTCCTGGCCCGACTCGTTTCCTATCACTAGCGGGCCTAGCGGTAACAGCACCTCGATGTCCATGTTTAGCCTGAGCCACTGCTACTATATCTAATGCTCCTCAGCAAGACGAAAGTTCGTCTTCTAGAAGTTTCCTCAGGGCTTTGTTGTTGGACTGAGTTTTCTCGCGAAACACATCTTTCAGCCTCATAGTCCAGCAAGACCAACGCTTCTAGAAGCTTCTTTTGGACTTTTTGCTTGACTCCACTCTGAATATTCTCGCGAAACACATCTTCCAGGTTCGCGGTCAATGAGTAATAGTCAGTCCGAACTCCGGAAAACACCTGGCAAACACCGTCACCGACCAAAGACAAGCGAACCTGATTCAAATGCGACGGACTTAAAAGTGAACCGCCCGACTGGCATAAGAGCGCCATAACACACCTTCTCACTGCTCAGTACAACGTGTTATGCCAAGTCTACCTCAACTTAGTGATCCTCCCTTCATCAGTTGACCGAAAAGTTGCCAAATTATGGCATCATAGAGTACGTTATTCTCGTGCAAGGAAAATCCGGGGCTCGCCGATGAAATAAGGGGCATGAATTGCATCATATGGCACTTCAACGACAAAACCCACGAACCTTTTAGAAGCGCACAAAGTCCAGAGTCGCAGCACCGAGTGACGCTCAAAATCAAGAAACCAGGGCTACTTGGAGTTTGACAATGACCAGGTACAACAACATTATATTTGACGTCGAAGGACCATTACAACGCAACCAGGCGGTTCTAATTCTTCTACCTTGATCTATCCAAAACATAATACATTTAGTTATTACACCGCAAATTGAGACCACCACGGAAAACGTAAGGGAGCCGCTAGCGGCGTGATAGACGCGCGAAAAGTGTGTCACCCCGCTGCACGCGGGCCGAGCTCTGTCAAAGGCTTCTAGGAAGATGTCGAAAAGTTGGACCGATTTGAGGATAATATTAAATAGCATAGTGCCCCATCCAGGGTTCGAGATGGTGAGAAAAAAGGACAACTGGGATATGTCTAGTTTGTGGCATCCTGAGCTGCAGCAACAACGATTGATCCGAGTTCGACGACAACGCTGTTCAGTTGGGATATAACGTCAGCTGATAGGGCGTTCGCTGGGGCCGCAGCTGGTGATGATGAGGAAGTAGCAGGTGTTTTTGTCGTTGTCGGCGTTGGTGTCGGCGTTGGCGTTGGCGTGGGTGTAGGAGTTGTCGTTGTTGTCGTTGTCGGTGTATACGTCGGCGTCGGCGTCGGCGTTGGCGTCTTTGTCGTTGTCGTTGTAGGCGTTGCTACCGGCGTCGTTACAACAGCAGTTTGCGCTGAGCTACCAAAGTTCCACGATCCATAAATGATACCAACGGATTGATCGGCGAAATAGCTAAACAGTCCACGAGTAAGGTCGAGGCCACCATAGGGACATCCAGGGCACTGATGGCACAAAGCGTCAGATTGACGCCCAAGCTATTCACTGAAACAGGAGCGTACCAAGTCTGTAATTTGTGCTTGTGTGCTCTTGCCTTGATAAGAAATGGTGATCGTTTGGAAACAATGTGCACCTCCGTCCCATTGCTACAAGGATTCATTGTTAGCATTGTCCTCTCGAAGTAACACAATACTCACAGCAGCGTTCAACGCCACGATCTATGCCACGCGAAATGAGTTCATAAGTGATCGACGTGGAGGTGGCAACGATCGAGTTGCAACTCACAAAGTCACTGCCTGAATTCGTTTTTCCACAAGCGCCGAGTCCAGCGTCATAGAAGGAAAATTTCCCGTTGTCGAAGCGTTTCTCCAGCGTGACCAAATCGCGATGAGTGGCGTTCACCGAATCCCTCTTCAGAACGTAGGGGATCACCTGAGGAAGAGCGCGTACTGCCGGCAATACAGCAACAAAGGAGAAAAAAGCCGCGATGATAGAAGAAAGGTAGCGCATTGCAGAAAATGTCGTTGAGAGATCTCGTTCAATCTTCTAGTATCCTTCTATATAGGAATAGGATGGCTGGTGGGAGGGTATAGATGAATTGAGCTTCGGTGGAATTCTTTCTATAGCTGGGAGAGCTGGAAAAGCTGATGGAGTGCGGGATCTATCGTCGTTTGAAGGATAGTAATAAGAATTCTCGGAAGCTATGAGGTCACAGACGCTTGAGCGACACACGAGATTGGACGGAATGTGGGGAGGAGAAAACCAAAAGACCAGACGCTTTAAAGGATTCCGGACACAAAAAAAGGACAAAAGGCGTTGGCAGGGACACGCGTTCCGAGCGAGGGTTGCTTTGGGGTTGTATCTGGTTGCATGTGGAAATAGGAAGGCGGTGTGATGAGTCAGGAAGATGAACCGCTCTTGCGGCAACTTGCAAAACGCGTGTTGAACAAGTTGAGAAAATTTCCGGCTGGCCGCTGCTGTCAAGAAAGGGTTGCGGGACCCTCGATTTTCGAAACGCGCAGTCATAGGCAGCACCACCCAAAAACATATCAGATGTGATGCTCATCACTTGATAATACCGCATTTTTGTTCCGGATGATGGATTCAATCCCGAGGATAATCTCTGAAAACCCGAATGAAACGAAGATAATCAGTTGAAATGGTGATTAAAAATATCAGGTTTTTACCGCCGGCTAGGTAGAGAGCGTGGCAAGGAGCGTGGCCTTCTTGGTCTACTTTTTTGAGGGTGCCGCAGTGGGGTCGGCCGGGATTTGAAAGGTATTAAACATGCATTTCTCGCGAGGCGCGCTAGGGCGTGCCTTCAAAATTTAAATTAGGGGAGCATTCACGGAATTCCAAATTCGTGAACAATGATGGATGTGCCAAGCGAAAGCGGAAAGACGCACGGGAGTTGGTCGGGAATTGTTCCGAAAGCTCCTGCCAAACAACTGCAACAAACCTCGCTTCTATTACAACGGAGTTTTCCGTCTCCAGCGTCATACTACAAGTAAAGTGTCATGAGCCCTGGGGAGTTACTGTGGAAGTCCCCGATACGATTGATTTTCACCTGTCCGTACAATCCGGATTGACTCTGATTTTGTGGACAAAAAACGGTCTTACATTCGTTTTGGAAGTACTCAAGAAGTACTACAAAATGCATCCCACTGATCCCTCCCTGTTTCCGCAGCAATTCGGGTAAATCGTACTTGAGTCCGTATTACACAAAAAAAAAAAAAAGAAAAACGAAAAGAGTTATTTATTACTCTCAAATTACTCTGGACTTGGCGTGTAACAGCGCGGGTGAAAGGTTTCCTCCACCTCTTCCTCGGGTCCGTACAGACGCAGGTCTGCGCACATTCGTTTGCATAACCCACGCCGGCGAGAAACTGCCAGCCAAGAGTCCATAAATCGTCAAGGCAGTGAACACTACCACCATGGAGCTCAGCGCTCAACTCGCAAGTGATGAGACTTGGTTGTGCACCCGGTCCGGTCGGTTCCATCAAAAGCCTTCTCGCGATGGAGAGAGTCGACCGTGTGCGCGTGATGCAGACTTTCGGAAAGTTGACACCTTTGTGTGATCATCCTGCAGCGAATTTGACTGATGTTTCGTGCTCTTGGCTATTCTCTGACGCGTCCAAAATATTGAAAGGCTGCTTGTTGAAGCTCGTTTTGTGCCTTTAGGTCCCAGGTGCAGGTTTGCCGCCACCATCACGTACAAGTCCACAGTGGCAGTGGACCAAAAAGTCACTGAGAGAATTCAAGCAGGTGAAACATCAAACTCAAGTCAGGCCTACAACCCGCAGCTTTCGGCCTCGTGCTGATCTTATGTGTATGCAGAATACTATATAGATTGCTAGCGCTATATTACAAATGGACAAATAGGAAACAAACCGAGAGCAAGAAGAGAGCGTGAACCGGAAATGTGACCACTACAGACAAGGATACGCCGAATGCATCCATCGCGAATACTCGGACCACCTATCCATCCACGGATAATTGGATAGATAAATATAATACGCCCCTCAGTAGGCTGTTGTTGCATTGTTGAAGATCAACAAATTCACGGTCCGATCTGGAAGATCCGTGAGGAGGCCTGAGCTCGAAAGCTTGAGCAGCGCTTTCTTCAGCTGAAGTGGCGTGAGCGTCTCAGGCTTCTTAGGGATGGGAGCAACGACGGCGTTCACTAAGGAAGGTGGAGGAAGGAAGTTAGATATCCATTGTGGCAGAGCGGCGTGGGCAACGCTGTACAGGGAAGACGGGTGACGGAAAATGCGCTCGCTCTGGAGGGAGATCACGTTGAATTCACTGTCAAAGGTAGGATCGAAGGTCTCATCAGGGTAGATGGACAAAAGGTAAGCGAGGAGACCAGCGGTGTGGGGGGATGCCATAGAGGTACCAGAGAGTGTAGAGGTGGCTGTGCGGCCTCCCTTGTAGGTGGAGAGGATGTTCAGGCCTGTCACACTGTGAGCACAGATGCAGGGGCTAAGAAAATAAGGTCACTTACCAGGTGCGAAAACATCAACGCAAGAGCCATGGTTGGAAAAGTAGGCGCGCTCATCACCAAGGGTTGAAGCCCCAACGGTTACAGCATTCTCGGCAGCAGCAGGGCTGTAGTTGCAAGCATCCCTGTTGTCGTTACCTAGAAAAGCGTTTAGAAAAAGTTGATGGGCACCAAATTGTTTATACACACCTGCCGCAACAGCAAAGTGAAGTCCACCGTTGACGGAAGCGTTGATAGTTTCATCAAGAGCGCGCGACTTGCCACCCCCAAGACTCATGTTAGCTACAGACCCCTTATGCTTCGTCTTTCCAGTGGCTTGATATTCAGCTAGAGCTTTCTCGGCGTTGATCTTGGCCTGGGTCGCTGCCCAGCTGACGCCACCAACAACGTCGGACATAGTTCCGCTACCATTCGAGCCAAGAACCTTGACAGCAATAACATTGGCCTTCTTGGCGACGCCGTACTTGCGAGAAGCGATGGTGCCGGCACAGTGAGATCCGTGGCCATTTCCATCCTCGTCGACGTCATTCTGTGGGATAGTCTTTCCCCAGGTTGCACGACCTTCAAACTCGACGTGATCAATGTTGATGCCAGTGTCAACGACGTAGACGTCAACGCCTTCGCCGCCACGGTCGTCATACTCATACTTGGTGAAAGTGCTGAAAGTAAGCCTGGGCCTGTGGCTTATACGTGCAAGCCCCTAGTTACAGCATACTGTAAATTGTATGGACACAAGATCCGGTCACTGATGACTCACCCATGGAGCAGACTTCTGTATATCCATAGTACGAACAATCTGGTCCTTCTCAATGTAATCTACCTCCGGCATCGTCCTGAGCTGCTCGACAACACCCTCTGTGAAGCGGCCAGCATATCCGCTGATATGACCGTCATAGACCTGCTGAATACCTGAGATATCGGCAAACAGTGGGTCTGCATCATGCACATTCTGCAAGAAGTTGAGATGGTTCTCCTTGAGCGCTGGAGAGAGGTCCTTCTTCAGGATGACAATGTATGAATTGTTGACACTGCCATGGGGGTGAGGCTCGGCAACGAGAGGAGCGAGCGTTAATGAGGAGCGTTGGGGAATAACATGAGGAGCGGTAGAGAGAGGGGTGGAGACAGCGGAGGAAACGAAGGAGACGGCCAACAAGGCCCACTGAAGTAGACGGGTCATGGTGGTTGAAAGGAGAGAGGGGTAACCGTCATTGGCTCAAGATAACACGCAATTGGTGTTGACACTTGTTTATTTACCCGCTCCTGCTTCCGCAGCCTCAAATCGCCATATTCAGTCCTTGTGCAGCGAAAACTCCCGTATCTACTTGGAAGTACGCAATATCCGAGCACGCTAGTGTTCTCCCTCGCATTTTGTCTTCAAAAAACTATCCCGGCGACAGTTCTATAGGCCACGTCACCAAAACGAACCATCGTCGTGACCGTGGGGTTACGACGTAACTTATGTACGCCGAACAGCGCTCAAAACCCCAAATCATCGCAAAGCCGTAATAGACGAAAGAGACCCTAAAACGATTGGGGCTTGCAGTGAATATTGAGTGAACATTACATGGTGACATCTTCATTCGTTGTAATCAAAGTGGGCTGAAAACCAGTGTCGGAATGACCGAGGTCCGAGGTACTTCAGCCCTTCGCTATTGCTTCAAGCCCAGGCAATGACTGTTATATTTTTAGAAAACGCACTTACACTGTGTTTTCACCTGTGCGGGGTTAATCAACAATCTTTCATTGAAATCCAACGAACTTTAGCACTTCAACGTATCAAGCATCCCATATTTTTTACTTTCTACGACCTCCGGGATCCAGAGGCCTATTACAACCCATGGCCATGCTCTAGACAGAAGTCACGCACAACGCGCCGGCGCCTAAGTTGAAATTGGACATTTTCAGGTACCATCGCACGTTCAGACGGTAATCGAACCTCTTCGCTCCACACGACCATGTCCTTATCCTCCGGAAGTACTAGCTGGGGCAGCCCCCGCGTTGAGATTTCCGGTGTGTCCTACGTTCAAACCGACATCGAGTGGCTGGCTGACTCCCATTAAACAGACATATCTATCTCCACTTCGGATGAGCTTAAATCAATCGACCTGTCAATCGGATCGTTCAAACAGACGTCACCGTGTCTACTCGGCACAAAGGCTCACAAGATCGTATTATCATCGCCTTGGTGAGCCATTCATCTTGCATGGAACTTGGACGTTGTTTTGAATGCTACTAGCCAGGTCTCGCCCTCGGATCCTCTCATCCTTCGGGTCAACTATCGAAGCTGGAAAAAGCTTGCATCGAAGAACCAGATATATCAGCGTGAATTGCTGGGAAAAGCGGGGCCTCAGTACGTGGGGAGACAAGGTGCCTTTGTTCTGGCCGCTTTCACCTTTGCGTTCCGATAACATCTCCCCTACGCCAGAGTGGTCCAAATCGTATGATAAAGTGAACGTCGTCCTCGGATTGACAGTTTCCCCTCCTTCAGCAGTACGTATCCCTCCCTGGTTAATGCACATTCACGTAATAGTGCAACAGGACAGATCAACTAGCGCGGGATCGTCAACGAGTGATTTGCGACCGACAACTGATGCGATATTCAAACTGGTGGATCGGTAAGTGTACGCTCGCCGCGTTTAACTGCTTCCCAAACTCTTACGTTGGTAGGTTCCGGGTGCTGGTAATCGGCAAGGTGGTTTCCGAAAGTTCGTTCTTGTTCGGGTGTGCTTACAACGTTTGCTTATAGACCGGTGCGGGGAAATCATCTCTCATCAATCGATGTTTTGGTGTCACGGAAGCGGTGAGCAAGTCTCGTACTACCCCCTCTCGATCTATGAAGACTGACGTTTCTTAGGCAGTGTCGGAATATAAGGCAGGCATATCGGACATCAACACCGCCATCATGGCCCGCGAAAACGGAAGATTCGTTCTGCACGATAGTCAGGGCTTTGAGCCTGGAGAGGACAGAAACTTCCAGACAGTGGTCAACTTCTTGAAAGCCCGCAAAAATATGCCAGATGTAAAAGATCAGGTTCACGCCGTCTGGTGAGTTTACTTACCCTTCATTGGTTTTGTATAAACATGACTGAAGATTCTTTAATAGGCTATGCTTCCCCGTGCCACTATCAGCGGACGAACGTTTGTTCGAAAGAGGCGTTGAAGAATTCTTTCGTATGAAGGCTACTGGAGAACTTGGTCCTGGTCAGTTTTCGATCTTCCCTGTTCAGATGGATGCTCAGTAGCTGCCTCAGTTCCCATAATCACAATCTTTACGAAGTACGATACACTGGTTGACGAGATCGAGTATTCCCGGGACTTTCGAAATCGCATGAGGGCGTTGGACAAGGAAACTCGAAGCAAACTTCTTATCGAAGAGACAAACACGATGTTCCAAGAGCTTTGTGTGCTCCCCTTTGAACGGGTCGTTGGTTCAGACATCCCACATATCGCTGTTTCGAGTACGATTCACTCAAGCGAAAGATGAGCTTTGCTGACAGTTACTGTAGCTAACGAAGAGTACAAGGAAACCAGCAAGACTTTACGTGACCTAGTGAAACTCACTGCTGACTACGTGAAGCAATGTCTATCTGTTGAGGTTGCAGAAGAGGTTGCGGTCCTGTCAGCCGTAGCTCAACGCATCAATCCAGCAGTGAAAATTGATGCAGTGATCGCGTGAGAGTATCAACTTCTTCAGGAGACTTTTCTAACATGATGTGATTGAAGAGTTGGGAAGAAGCGTACGCATTTTCTGGCGCGTCAGAGAATCGCTACCTGATCGCACTACCTTTCTATTATCAGGTTACTGGCGGGGCCTCGCCTCCAGCGCAAATTTTCCGGGGAAGACTCTAGAAGCATGCCTTCAAGTTTTACATGCGGATATCGTCCGCATTTGGAACATCCAGGACGACTTTGCGGTAATACTGGATACTGTTCTCCACTCCTCGCCGTACTTACGAAGTGTTTCCTGTAGTTCCTGGAGAGCAAGGAATTCAAGGCGCTGATGATGGGGCTCGTCGGAGAGCAATACGACAAGCTAGCCAACCCTAACATCATGATGTAAGATCCCATTGTCTCTGGCTTTTCACAGCACGCCAATACCAGCTCGTTAGTCCTGCCTCATTGTCAATGTTGGGTTCCCTCGCCGGAATCTTGGCGGCCTGCGCTGGACCTGCTGTTCCTATTGTGCTTCCTATTGCTGCAAGTCTCGTCGTTGCAAAATGGGCATATGATGTGTATAAGCAATCGTATGTTTTTTTAATCCTCTTGGTATATCATCGAGTCAGACAAAAACATACAGACAGCTCACGCTACAGCGGCTAATGGCTTACATCGTCGACCTAACCATCATAATGCAGATCATCTTCGGTCTCGTCGTGAACGCTCAATTGCGTCTTTCTCGCCGTCTCATCAAACTCGCGTTCACGACATTCAGCGAATCACGGGAAAGGGTGCAAGTCCACAACGAGATCAAGGAGCACGTCAAGCATGCTGGACGTGCTGACAGGGATGCAGCTCTTGCTAAGATCTTGCAGTTGATCGAGAGCTATCGCATGAAGTCAGAGGATATGGAAGAGTTGCAGAGTAAGATGGCGGGGTTTGCGAATATTGAGGATGAGCCTTGGGTGGTTCCCCACCCTTAATTTGCGGTCGAATTATCCACGTATTGTAGTCGCATCTTTTATAGTTTCTAGGCTGTTGAAGTATCCCTCACTTTCAACAATCACGTCCAGGTTGCTGTTCCTAAGATGTTCAGCACGTGTCAATCGCCATCCAGCGCATACTGGCGCCCGGCGCCCGCTTGTGCTCTAACTATCAATTCTCACCTGCACCATCGAAGAGCCCTCAGCGTCTACATCAAGATGTTTCACTCGTCTATGCTTCCGAATGCGACTATATGGGCGAGCACAGTTCGCAAGGAGATCCGCCGCTTCCGTATCCTCATTGTCGGTCGGGCGAACGCTGGCAAGACAACCATCCTCCAAAGGGTTTGTAACACGACAGCGTTGCCTGAGATAATCGCGCCGACTGGTGACAGGGTATTTTGCGTGGTTTGCTTAGAAAACACTTTTGAAATCATTTCCTTCGTTAGATCGACTTGTCCACGATCAGTCCGTCTGCCCAGGTGCGCCTCATTTGCCTGATTTTATTTTTCCCACCACCGCCCGACTCATGACGCCTACAGCGCGGGGAGCATGATATCGAGAACGAAATGGTGTTTAAAAGCAACCCAGGCTTTGTCTTTCATGACTCGCGTGGATTCGAAGCTGGCGGTTCCTCTGAGTTCCAGACGGTCAAACAATTTATCGCGAACCGCGCCGAGCAGAAGCTTTTGTCTGATCGACTTCACGCCATCTGGTCTATAAATTCCTGTCCCATCTGATGATAATGATTCTGATTACCTTCATCTTAAGGTACTGCATTCCTACAAACGATGCTACCCGGCCAATCACGAGAGCCGAATTGGATTTCTTTGAGGAGTGTGGGACGGGAAATGGCAAGTAACTGAGCAACATTGATTTGGAGAATTATCTGACTGTTTTTCAACTATAGTACCAGTGATCGTTCTGTTTACCAAGACTGACTCAATGGATTCCCGCATGACGAAACAACTGATTAAGGCAGGATATACTGATGAAGAAGCTGAACAACGGGCACCAATACAGGGAGTCATTGACTTTCAGGAACGCTTCTGTGGCATTCTCTATCAAAAGAAACATCCTCCCACATCTCATTTATTTTTTCGAGGTACAATTTTTTATTCTTGTCATTCTAAATTTGATCCCGCCTTCTATAGAAATGCAGCACCCAGAGGCTGATGTTGGTGGCCTAATTAAGTCTACTGCAGAAGCACTTGCATCAGATAAAAACTTGCTACAACTATTTGTCTCGACACAACAGACTAGTCTCAACTTGTGCATTGAATATGCAATTAAACGGCAGGCTGCTTCATTCTCTTTCTCCTCAATTCATTATTGATGGTAACATCAGAGACTTGCTAGATAAGCTCAACACTCTTTCTGCTTTGCAAGAGAGGCTTCTTTCCACAACAGAAAAAAACAATGTCAGACTTGTCTTGCCTATATTGCAGTGGTTCCCACATCTGGTCAGACCTTTACTTTTTTTATTCTCACATACCAATACTTCTCTGATAGGATGTAAGTGATACTTTGATATCTTATGTGATTCTCTAATCATATTTTGCAGTGTGTAAGTTGGCTCTATAACATTTCTGCTCAACTTCTCTTGATTTGTAAATTGTCATTTTCCAGACTGTGAGCAGATACTCTCTGATTCAATTTCATTTGCCCTTTTATTCTGACATCTTGAACAGTATGTATGTTGGTCACTTACCACTCTTTTGCTCTTTTCTGGCTAAACAACCATGTAAAATAGATGGCAAGTTGGGTTTCAGAGATTTATCTGATGGTGCTGATATCAGGCTCTTACTTTTGAGGCTGCTCCAGTAAGTCCCAGAATAACTGTTGCCTTTCTCTGCACTAATCATTTCTCTTCAGACTGTAAGTATTCTAAGTTAGTTAAATGAATTTTAATTCTAAAGCTAGGATTTTCCACTATAGGTGCATGTAAGTTATCATTCAAGTATCCCTATATTATGTCCAATGCTTATTATCACGGTTCACATTTTATTCAATGATAGAATGTATGTATCAGATAACTGCTGATGATGCCTCTACTAATGACTTTAACAGATGGTAGGCCTTGAAAAAATCACTTTTGTGGTGGTGTTAACCATCAAGAACCTCTGATATTTAGATTGTGAGTTAAATCATCCTGTCAAGAAGTAACTTAAATAACATGATTTCTTACAGCCTGTATGTTGAAGATTATCTGCACTATAGAACAGCACTAAAATATTGTTTTGATAGGCTGTAAGGCATAATATTACTGATTTTTTGTATAGTCTTAATAAGTATCCTAATAGCCTGTGAGTTACTTTTTTGCAGTACTTCACTTAGACTGATTTTTTTAGCCTGTATGTGCAGCATGATCTATGTTGTTGATAGGGTTGATTAATATTCTCATTCTGCACTTGCACAGTATGTGAGTACACTCTAACATTAAATTTTTGATTTTGACTAACAAGTCTCTACCAGAGTGTGGGTTTAAATTGTTCATATCTGTGCAATCTAATTTGACTGCTATTCAAGTTTAAAGGAACTGTAAGTATTGTTTTCTCTGACATCTTGAGTATAGGAGATTTATTTTTCATTAGGATCTTGGTGTAAGTGATTACCTGAACCTGGTGATCATAGGTTCTGACACTCTTTTTGGGGTGAAATCAGTGGGAGGTCATTTAGTCTGGTTCTCATCTCTCACCTCTTGCTGATTCACTTTTTATTAATAGAATGTATGCGAGACTAAAATCATGCTTATGCTAGGACTGTTGATAAAAAACTTCATTTAGGTTGTAAGTCTGTCCATTCTTTTTTGATGAAATAAGCATTTAGATCTCTCCAGACAGTAAGTTAGCTTTTTTTTTGCCTTAGAAAAAACTGTCATATCAAAATTCTCTCCCCCTTCAATTATAGATTGAGGTATGTTTCCTTTACTTTGTCTATAATTTGATGTTAAGGTGCACATCTAGATTGAGAAGATCCTTGGCCTCAGATTGTGGTCAAAGGTAAGATTCAGTAATATTCCACCCTTCAGAAAGTTACTGATATTCCTTTTTCAATTGAGCTTGGAAGTCTTGGTGGCCCTCAGAAAATTGCCAAGCTTGGGATTGGTATGAATGCAATATTTGTCTTGAATATTCAGATTCAAAGAACATTGTCTTTTTCTAGCAATAGCCATCATCGCTGATTTTTCCTTCTTCCTATGGGACTGCGCACCATCAAACACTCATGTGCACATGGTGCTGGCATATAAGAAGTATAAAACATCTTGCGATGAAAATGCACTTCAAGAGGTCATCAAAGAGGCTTTCAAGGATTATGACCATAAGGACTTTCCAGACAAAATGGTCAAGATTGCACTGGACTACCGACTTTGTAAGATTTTCTACTTGCTGATTTTCTACATCTCATGATTTTCTGCACAACCAGCAAAGACTCCAGCTTGATACTCAAATTATGTATGATGTTTTCGAGGTACAACCTTATACCGCTCTTCATCTAACCTTTGTTCTTGTCGCAAGTGCTTACCAAGGCCATCTTCTAGCAATTTCTATTCCCAATTTACCGGCGATTTTACTTCTGTATACCAGCTACCTCCGTGGTGGTTCCTCAAACTTTTAGTACCATATCTCTCGTATTTCGTCTGTGTATTTCCAAGTCCATGCCACATATTCTACCCTCTGTGCAATATTTTTTGGGAAGGTGACCGACTGAACTTTACCGCGTTTTCCGGGCCCGTCTGTAATGTTCAGATAATCGATGGCTAAACCAGTAAGTCGACAATACAACATAAAACTTTGAAAATAAAGGATGTCACGAGCGTCAAGGCGAAGACTTAGAGTATACGAGAAAGAAGACAAGCCGCCCACAGTTGATCGGCGCCGGAAGATCGTTGATCACACGAGCAAGGTATTACCGGATTAGATAACGATAAGCGATTCGAGTCAGAACCCAGCATATGTCCAATTTTTCAACAATCTCTCCTTCAACCCCACCCTCACTCTTTTTGTTCGGAAGAAGTGACATATCCCGACTATGGCGCCGATATACATCGACGAAGCAGTTGGCTCAGATACCACCGGAAACGGAACCATAGAAGCGCCCTACCAAAGTCTCGGCGTCGCCTTGTTCAATCACCCAACAACAACGACTCCTGCGTCGTTTTTAATCCGAAAGGATGCTGCGGGTACGTATGAGGAGCCCACGCAGTCGTCTTTGAAGAAGGCGAAGAAGACTGCGGATGGGTTGGAGAAGAAGAAGAAGAAGGCGGAGGAGCTGGCGGAGCGTGAGGCGAAGGAGAAGGGGGATGAGAAGGAGAGGAGGGAGAAGGTTCTTGTGGAGAGTAGGAAGATTGTGTTGGAGGAGGATGGGACGCTGCCTAAACCGACTAAGGTGTGTATCTACATCTACGTTGTGCACATGGGTGTTTACCTACGAGATGATAGAGCAAGATCGGATACCTGGAATCGCTACGATCTAAACGCGTTAGGGTCTTTGGGTGGGTACACCGCTTGCGCCAGCAAAAGGACATCATCTTCATCGTCGTGCGGGATGGGACTGGGTACCTCCAGACTGTCCTTTCTGGCCGAGTGGCACAGACGTACGAAGCGCTAACACTGACACTCGAGTCCTCCGTCGAAGTCGTCGGCACACTCCAAACCGTACCAGAAGGCAAGACCGCTCCAGGTGGGCACGAGCTCGTCGTCGATTACTGGCGGGTTGTCGGGCCTGCTCCTGGCGCTGAAGACGCGTTCACCAATAGGTTGAACGAGGTTCGCCTTTCGTGTTCCTTCTCAATTCACTGCGTTGCTAACCAACTCACTCATCTACAGAAATCCGATCCTTCGATCCAAGCCGATCTACGCCACCTCGTCCTACGCGGCGAAACCGCCTCCAGCGTCCTCCGCCTGCGCGCTGCACTCCTTATTGCCTTCCGCGACTCTCTGACTGCGCAGAGCTTGATCGAGGTGACGCCCCCGTGCCTGGTCCAAACGCAGGTAGAGGGCGGCGCGACGTTGTTCAAGTTGGATTATTATGGGCAGCCGGCGTTCCTTACGCAGAGCTCGCAGCTTTATTTGGAGACGTGTTTACCGAGCTTGGGAGATGTGTTTTGCGTGCAGGAGAGTTTTAGAGCTGAGAATAGGTAACGCGTCTTTGAAACGATAATATGGTTTTGCTAATTTGTGCGTGCACCAGTCACACAAGACGCCATTTGAGCGAATATACCCATCTCGAAGCTGAGCTTGCGTTCATCACATTCACCGATCTCATGGATCACATCGAGGAAATCGTAAGCTACCTTACTTCTTTTTTTTCCCTCATCACCCACCTCACACTCGTTTACTTTACAGATCTGCAACACCGTCTCCATCCTCCTCGCAAACCCAACCTCCGCCTCCCTAATCAAATCCCTCAACCCAAACTTCATAACCCCCTCCAGACCATTCCTCCGCCTTTCCTACGTAGACGCTATAAAGTGGCTCAACGCGCACGGGATCAAGCACCCTAAAGAAGATGCCGAAGGCAACGTGATCAAGGATGAGCAGGGTCATGTGGAGATGGTCGAGCATGAAGTTGGTGATGATATTGCGGAGGCGGCTGAGAGGCAGATGACGGATATCATTGGGACGCCGGTGTTTTTATATGGGTTCCCTGCGGAGTTGAAGGCGTTTTATATGAAGAAGATGCCTCAAGGTGAAGGGGAGACGACGGTGTTCACGGAGAGCTGTGATTTGTTGATGCCGAATGTTGGCGAGATTGTTGGTTCGTTTTGTTTTTTGGGCTCTTCTTGCTTTGGTTGCGTGTGTTGAATTTTCTTTCTTTTGCGATGTAGGTGGATCGATGAGGATCGCGGATATGGAAGAACTTCTGGCTGCGTATAAGAGGGAAGGTATCGACCCGGAGCCTTACTACTGGTTCACTGATCAGCGTAAATACGGGACGTGCGAGCATGGTGGGTATGGGCTTGGCGTTGAGGTTCGTTTTCTCCCTCCATCTTCAAGACTTGCTTGTTCGATAATATTGATGCTATATTTCTTACAGCGTTTCCTCGCATGGCTCGCGAACAGGTATACAGTTAGAGAATGTTCCTTGTATCCCAGGTACGCTTGCCTTCTTTTATGACTATCACCGCCATGATTGATCCATTTGTTTTAGATGGCCCGGACGAGCAACACCTTAAGCCGGTCAACGGGACGTTTCGTGGGCGAGTGATGCAACTTGTTGGAAACCAGCAGCTCAATTCTATAGAGTATCAGTTTGAATTTTATTTTGGCTAAGCATCCATCACAACTTTTGGAAGTCTTACTCAAAGTACCTCCTTGATCGCGTCATACATAGAGCGCAGAAATCAATCCAGCGCACAGCCGTAAACCCGACTAGCGACATCTCGCCAGCTATCCCTTTTGATGGCGTATGTCTCCGCATAGTCCACTTCTAGATGGTGCAGCCTCTTTCCTACAATCACAAGACTGTGCAGGGGTTCCCCGAACGCGGCTGAGGGGTGATCCCGGAGTTCTTGGAGAGTTCCAGCGACGATGCGTTCGTTTTCGGAGCCGCCGCCTACGCGAGACAGCGCGATAGCGAGGGTGTCTGTTGATGAGAGGATACCTTCGTTTCGAGATGCTTCTGTTTCGAGGAGCTGGGAGACGGCTGTGTGGATTGACATGTAACGCGGTGGTTCGTATATTTTACGGCCCCTTGGTAGCAAAGTGAGTTTTGTAAGATGAAAATAAAAGGGACGAGCAGACCTAGCTAGATTTTCTTCGCTCTGTTCCTTGACTTTGATATCCAGCAACACGAGCGTATGCATGCCCAATTTAACGTTCTCCTTAATCCGATCGTAAAAACTGTCGGGCTTCCATGTATCTGTGAAAAACACCAACGATACGGTTTGTCCAAAGTTGTATAATTGGAGCCCGCACGCGCCGACGGCGTTCATTATGGACGCGTTGTGCACTACGCGGGTGGGGATGTTGAGTGCTCTAGCGCGAAGGATGATGTCCGTGTGCGTCGTTGCCCTTTTCTTGATCCGTGAGCACAGGTAGATTTGAAAATTCAAGAAGAAGGGCGAACCCACCCAAAAGGATCCCCAACGACTAGAAGCGACACGTCCTCCTTATCCGCGTCTTTTAATATCTCATCACTCTGCGTCTCGACCATGTCGCGATCGGCGAGTATGAGTTGTTTTTGGTAAAAATCTTCCTACATGAAAAATGGATGGGCTGGATTTGGGAGGGTGATGATGGTTCGGTTGGTTTGTGGGTACGAACCAGCCTGCGTTGATTGATCATGAGGATGGACGTGTAGGCTTCGAGATAGACGCGTGTTGAGGATTTGATTGCCTAGCGAGGGGGGTTAAGATCTGGTCGCTGTGTATAGTGTAGAGGAAGACGGACCTCGAGACCACGTAGTGTTATGTCTTTTTCGTCAGAGAGACCAAGGCCGATGATGTAGAACATGTTGGTGGTGAAGAAAGTAAAAGAGATAAGATAAGATGGGATCAATTTCGGAGGTACATACATCAAAACTTGATGCTTCTGAGCCTTTTCTCTGCAAAGGTCCAAATCACCAGCACCGGCCTGCTCGGTCAACGTTTTCTGTCAAGAGTTTATAAGAACGTTCATGTGAGCTTTTTTCTATACATATCCTCGCTGAAATTCATCCAATGCCTGCGCGCATCTTCAGGGCCCCATTCCAGGACCTTCCCTTGGACATTCTTCCCCCCATCCTCGCCCAGTTGACGGATAGAAGGGACTGGCATGCATGTACTGTTGTCAGTAGGTCCTTTAATAGAGCAGTTACTCCGTTCTTGTACCGGACCCTCGATTCTAGGATAATATCAAAGGTGTGTAATCGTCGCGCGCGTGAATCATAACATGACGCCGAGTTCATTAGACACTGGTTCACCACCCTTCAAGTACACTGATCCGCCGACCAGATCTCGCCCAATACGTAAGGCACGTTACTGAAACAGGTGCGTACCATCTCCTCGCAAGATCGTCGTGTGGGGACTATGTAACATAGCAGCAATACGCACACAGGCACAATCCACCGCGGCGTCCTTCCACAATACCCAAACATAACCGCCGATACCCTCAAAGCCCTCTCCCTATGCACCAACCTCCGCTCAATGACATGGGTCGACGACTCATCCACAACCTTTGCCTCACTCTTCATCTCCTTCCTCACCGTCCTACGCACCCTCCCCTTACGCGAACTAACCATCCGCACCCACTCCGATTTGGGCGAACAAGTCTGGGCTGAACTCATCACCCTAACCGGCCTCCGAAAAATATCCATCTGGTGCATGGAAGGTCCCCCTCGTGTCTTACAAGGCTGGTCAGAGCCCCTCGGCAACACATTGACGCATCTAGAGCTGGGAGTCAGTGTCTTTTCATATCCCTGTTCCGAATGTGCGTGCTCACCTCCCGTTTAACTCTCCTCTGGGCCTGACAACAGAGATGTGCGGGCGTCCCACCAACCATCCTCATTTCAGTTCTTTCGCAACTCCCTCTTTTAAGAGACTTACGACTAAAAGGCGCCCCGGCGTCAACGATACCCACCATCGTCACCGTCCTACCCAACCTCCGTTCCCTAGACACCGAATACCTCCTCTCCGGCACCTCCTCCCACCGCCGCCTCAACACCACCCCCGGCAGCAGCTCAACATCACCAACAACAACGCGTCCTTCCCCCCGCAAGGCCCTCCAAAATTTGACCGTCCGCACCTCCTCCATGGACGCGTTTGGCCCACAGAAAATGTGGCCGTGGATAAGGGAGCTGGTCGGCACCATCCCGGGCTTGGAGACCTTCCGCCTGCACGCGTTCACGATCAACGGGTCCGAGACGTCCATTCCGAGAATGTTCTTGTTGGATTTGGCAAAAGTGCATGGGGGGTCGTTGACGGCGTTTATAGTCCCCAATGTTATGCTTACGTTGAAGGATGTGGAGTGTCTTGGCAGTTTGTTTGGTGGGCTTGGGGAGTTGGTGTGTATGGTTGCTAGTGGGGATGTTGTGAGTTTCTTCTTCGCGTTAGCTAAATTCAGAGAGAATGAATTTGATGAATTTGAATAGGCGTCGATTGCGGAGGCGGTGTCGTATGCCCGGAATTTACATACCCTCAAGTTACAAGTCCAGTGGATCCCATCTGGAGGAGCCAGTGCGGGGAAGACGAAGTTTACGTTGGAAGATGCGACGAATATGATGTTGCCACAGAGCAACTCGGACGTGGCGGATAAGGACAATGATAAGGAGACACCTATCAAGGAATCGCGGTTGAGAGTTATTGGGATTGGGAGTGTCTTGTATACTGTAAGTTGTTTTTCCTTTGTACTCATTGGGTCGATTGACTTGTGTTGAATCAAGGGCAAGTGGATTTTGGATGAGAAGGATGGAGGGACGAGGTTCGTGGTCACTGCTGGTGTTGCGCAGGACAAGTGGCAGACTTGACTTGACTTCAACTGGGCCTGGGTGGTATTTATGTATGCAGCATCAGCAAACGGGAGAGGATATATTGAAATGATTATGATACACATTACTTAACCCTGAACGCGTAAGTGGATTTGAGTGGATGGTATGACGACAATGATATGTGCAGAACTTGAACAGATCATCCGTATGGGCTAAGCACCACGACCGCGACCACGGCCACCACGTATAGGTCCTCCACGACCTCCACGACCTGATAATCACAATCAATACAGAACGATAAAGTTGAAATGCTCAAAGTTAACGTACCTCTCATTGGCGCTCCCCGTCCTACGAGTCACATCCAAGAATCAGTCATCTTATAGCATGGAAAAGAAGAGAAAAAAGGAGAACGCACCACCCCTCATACCCATCCCCCCACCTCCTCCACCACCACGCGCGCTCCTTCCCGCCTCGCGTGCCCTGTTCTGTTCGTCCTTCACCGCGTCGAGGAGGGTGTCTGGGACGCGCAAGTATTTTATCTGTGTCAAAATCAATTCAGTGTCTTCATCAAAAGCCATAGCTAGCACAGAAGGGACGACACGAAAAAGGGCTAAGGGGAAAACGCAAAAACGCACCGTGCTCCCCCTAATATAACACTCCTTCAACTTCCAAAACCGATCTCCATCCGGATTAGTCTGATATACCTCTCGAAGCGTGATGTTCATGAAGTTGTCGCAGTTGACTAGGTGGCCGTTGAACGTTTCCCCATTTTTGAGCTCCACCAGCTGTTTTCGTTCGTTCGAGGTGAGATGTGTAAGTGAGAGGAGGGGGACGGACCATGGGTTTGTTTTGGGCTGCATTTAGGAGGGAGAGTGGGAGCTGTGCACGTTGGAGTTGTTTTAGTGGGATCTGGGAGAGGAGAGGAAAAAAAGAGATGTGCAGACCATGTTGGTGAGGAGGAGGTTGAGGTTGGGTGAGATCTGCTGACGTCATCATGATTGCTCTGGACGATGAGAAAAATATATTCTTCGGCGTCTTTGTGCAGCTACGTAAAAAAAGATCGACAAGATGCTATCCAACGCAATCCGCCACAGATTTTACGACGTAGCCATGATAGGGATAGGTATTATGGGGAAAGATTCGACTTGGATTTATGTAGGCATGACAGTTGACTTCATACCACCAAGTTACAGATGTCATTGATACGTACGTAAATTCCCATATCCTGGTGCAGTGTGCACGTCAAAAAAAATCAAATGAGCGCCGAGCGAGACATAAGAACGGTGTAATGCACATCCCATGGCGGGGCTAATTGTCCATCGCGATTCGTGTCGGTGTCACGGCCATATATGTTCAGTGTGGGATGAGACGACATTGAATTTATTGACGTTGACAGCGACTTCCATATTCCAAACTGTTGCTCATCTGCAAGGCTTGGCGGGTGGAGATACTAATCTGAGATGCTTGAGGAGGTGTAACGTGTTTGAGATATTTTGGCGTTCCTTGGGCGGGTGGGGGTTGCCGTGTACTTACCCCATCGTTGCAGAGGTGAATGGGTATCCTGATTATCGGCGATGGCACGCGATGGCCTTGGTACATTATGACAAGGAACGTCAACGTCAAGAAATTTGAAATTTCTTGGTGTCGGTCTTGAGGAGATAATTCACGTGGATATCCGGTAATCTTATTCAAGGTGGTTGTTTGTGGTCATTCGTCCTGTGTTCGTGTGGCTGAAGGGAGCTGCCGACGCTGGTCGGTGATCGCGGCAGCGGGGCGCGTTCTTGGGTCGAGCTTTCAGATGGAAGCGATATAGATACGCAGGTATTAGACCAGACGTTGGGGAGGTTTCGTGCTTGGGCTCGCGATAACGCTCGGAATTGCTCTGCGACTCGGAGGCTCGATATATCAACCCGAGTCGGGAAGCTTGGAAGAGGTTAATCGAGACATAGTAATTGAGTTGGGAATATTCCGTTGCAGGGTTAACGCCTTGGTCGACTGTTTTGAATCCAATTTGAGTCTGACGGATATGAGCGTGTAATGTCAGATCAACCCTGGGTTTGCGTGAATGGGATGGTCAGCTTTTGGTTTTCAGAGAGAGCTTGAAACTCGCGTAGACTTGCGTGTGTAGTTGCGCGTGAATGTGCCCACGCTGTGATGGTGTGGTTATCGCCAATGTATCGCGTTGGAATGTTGGCTCAAAGTTGTACGATGATAGTTGCCACGTCAGGCACATAAAGGGGCTTTTCATAGTGCACGGTAGACTGGTGCTGATAATAGATCGTGTACCTGACTCGAGGATTCTTCACCGCGAGTGCAAATGAGAGAGCTTGAGAGAGCAAGTCAACGTCGTGGCAGCATTTTGAAGTGTTGTGAAGTATTTTTGCGGGCCGACATGGAACAGGGCGGTTGCTGCGCTGAGTCAGCAAGACGTCAAGGTGGAAGCAAATGTGCGGAGGAATAGAATCAAAACTCGAATCGTTGCTCGAATGCTCTGCAAAAAAGTTCAAGTTGTGCTCTCTTTTATCGACGACGCATATAGAGGATAAATTGACTTTGCTTGATCGGTGCTAGCGTCACTTCTGGAAGAGTGCGGCGGAAGGGGACTTGAAGGGAGGGAGGTCCTTATTTGTGATCTGGATCCAGGCACCTGGGAGAGTTTAGTGATGTGCCTGGTGGAAATGATTGGCTGAACAGGTCCTCTCTCACAAAGTCCCATCTCTTCCCTCTCCTCCCTCCACCGACTCCCCTCACGACGGAGTCCTCAACGTCCTCATAGTATTCTAGATGAACAGGCCCCCAACCGCAGCATCGGCGAGGCCAGGGACCTCCAGCGGTGCCCGCCCCGTTACTGCTGGCTTTGACTGGGCTCAATACCCGCCAAATCATGACCTGCCGGAGGAGGAGTATGAGGAGAGTGACGACGAAGACGTGTTTGCTTTCCTACCCCCTAACACTGCCGACCAGGAGGAGCAGACCCGCAAGGAAGAGGGTACCCACGACTTGCAACACTTTCCACCAGATTCCTCAAGTGGTGATTATCTGTCAGCATCTACGTCCAACCCATGGATACCCAACGATCCCATCTTTGCGAATTCAGTACCGGACCAATCGTCGATAGAATATCCATCCCCTACATTCGATCCCTACGCTCGCTACCCTGCAGACTCGTTTTCAACACAAGGCGCTGGCCCTTCTACGTTCAATTTTAATTACATCTTGCCCCCGCCGCAGTCCCCACCGTCAACAGATTCAAATACACAAGGCGATGATCCCTACCGCTTAAGAAGGTTGAACACCGCTGCAACGACGACCGTATCACATGGCCCGACGACAGCTGATTCCCATGACGTCGTCCGTGTCTCCCTACCTGGAGATGGATACGAAACGCCAGGGAGCGAGAAGGACCCAGAGGCTGGGAGGAGACGAAAATCAAAGAGGGACCCATCGTCGCTGACGGACACGCTAAGTATGAGCCGAAGCATGATTGACGATGATGCTAGTGGAAATTCAATAAAGTGAGTTCCTTTTGTCCTCCCATTCGCCTTTGCCCCTCCATGCCTTTGTGTTTGCTCTTCTCGTACTGCGTGGCGTGCAAAAGAATCATTGAAAATTTATACGTCGCGTTTCCGTTTCGCGCTTGCTTCTCGTCTTCTTCGACGCCCTCACCGTGGGCATTTTACGTTTCTTCGAAGCGCATGTTTTGCAAGATCATGTCAAAGCCCAAAACGCGCTTTGAATCTTGGGCCCCTCAAGTACCTTGTGCTCCTTGCCGTTTTTTTCTCATCCTTGCTCATGTCTATCAAGTCTACGCATTCGATTCCTGTGACGCTGACTTCTTCCAACAGAATGGGGTTTGATTTGGACGCAATAGAGGATGAAGACAGTCCATACCCTGAGGTCAGAGCATCCGTGTCGAATGTCGACGACCCAGACATGCCGGCGATGACTTTTCGGATGTGGTTTGTCGGGCTCATCCTGTGTATAAGCAGCGGGTAAGCATCTCTTCTGCCAATTTTTCTTATCTTTATCATTCCGTGGTAACATTCGCTTGTCCAGCGCCCTCAACGTCTTTTTCAATCTCCGATCACCAGCGCCGACAGTCGTTCCCCTCGCCCTCCTCCTTATCTCTTATCCCTTTGGCAAATTTCTCGCCTTCACCCTCCCAATTACCGTTTACCATATTCCCCTTCCTAATCTACCCGCGCGCCTCGTACCCGCCTCCACCCCTCTCTTCCTTGCTCGCTTCCTTCGACCGCTCACATACCCCCACTCCTTCGAATTCTCCCTCAACCCCGGTCCATGGAATATCAAAGAACACGTCCTGGTCTTTATCATGGCCAATGTGGCTGTCAGCAGTCCATACGCTCTGAGCGCCATCGTGGTTTCGGAGATCTTTTATGGCTTGAAACTCGGATATTGGTTCAGCCTCGTGCTTATATTAGCTACGCAGCTGACAGGCTTTGGACTTGCCGGACTGTGTCGCCGATTCCTGGTTTGGCCTGCCAGTATGGTGTGGCCGCAGAATTTGGTTGCGTGCACGCTTCTCAATACGCTGCATGCTGAAGACGAGGATGATGGTATTGGGATTGGAATTGGAAATTCGGGCAAGGGTATGTCGAGGTATAGGTTCTTTATTATTACCTCGGCTGCAAGCTTTTTCTTCTTTTTCCTTCCTGGTAAGTTGCTTTGAGAGGTTTCTTTGTGAACTCGCTGATTAATTTTTTGTGTAGGATTTCTCTTTGAAGCCCTCTCGGTATTCTCGTTCGTCTGTTGGGCGGCGCCGAAGAACGTCCCTGTCAATCAACTCTTCGGCGTGCGCTCTGGTCTTGGGATGAGCGTATTGACGTTCGATTGGACTCAGATCAGCTGGATCGGGAGTCCATTGATGGGTACGTGCTTGCCCCACCCCCTAACTCATTTAACTGATGATCCGCTTGATTCGTATAGTACCCTGGTGGGCTGAAGTTCATATCTTCATCGGCTTCGTGCTCTTCTATTGGATATTGACTCCAGCGTTGTACTACACCAATGTCCGTTCTTTTCTACTTTTCTCCCCAACCCCTAACTAACATCTGCCACTTAGTCATGGAAACTAGCCTACTTCCCAATCTCTGCAAACGAGCCTTATGATCGCTTTGGCAATGCGTATAACGTCACCCGCGTTCTTCGCCCTGACGATACCTTCAACGAGACCGCGTACAATGAATATTCGCCGCTCTATCTTCCTGCGACTTACGCGATGACGTATCTTCTGGCCTTTGCCCTCAGCACATGTGTCATTGTCCACACGGTACTGTATCATGGACGTACGTTGCTGAATGGCTTCAAGAAGATAAGGGTCGAAAACGATGATATCCATGCCAAGCTCATGAGGAATTATCCAGAGGTACCTGATTGGTGGTACGCCAGTGCTTTCTGCGTCTTCTTCAGTTTGGCGATTGTAGCTGTTGAGGTGAGTTTTCCCTTTCTATTACTCGGGTTTGCAATTGATTGATTATCAGGTTTGGGACACCAATGTACCGGTTTGGGCGCTCTTGCTGTCGATTGCCCTCCCTGTGATATACATCCTGCCTTCTGGGTTTATCTATGCGATGACGGGCCAGGGAGTATGCGTTTTCTCTCATCTCTCCAAAAATGTGATGGTTGACAGTCTTGATGATAGATAACACTGAACATTCTGGCTCAAATCATCCCAGGAACTCTCCTTCCTGGGAAACCTTTTGCAAACATGGTACGATGATTGTTCATCAGTCCATCTGTTTCGGGGCTGATTGCGCCCTTATTTAGATCTTCAAGGCCTATTCAGTTCAGACGTTGTCGGAGGCGACGTCCTTCGTTCAAGATCTCAAGCTTGGCCATTATGTCAAAGTCCCACCTCGTGCGACCTTTATCGGTCAGTTCAATCTTCCTTTTCCTGTACTTCCAAAGCTGACGGGTAATCACACTATGAAGTCCAAATGGTTGCAACAATTCTCGCCGCCTTTGTCCAAGTCGGAGTTAAGGAATGGATCTTTGCCAACGTTCCCGGGATCTGTGAACCCAATCAGCCCAGCCAGTTGACGTGTCCGCACAACCAAGTCTTCTTTACTGCATCTGCCGTTTGGTGAGCGTTTACTTTGTTGGGTTTCCTCTCTGTTCATTGGCTGATTGGTTCAAGGGGTCTAATCGGCCCAACACGACAGTTTGGGACAGGGTCCATCTATCACCCACATTTGTATGCGATCATCGTAGGCGCTTTCCTCCCGCTGCCATTCTGGTTCTGGATGAAGCGATACCCATCGTCATGGGTCCGCTGGGTGAGCACGCCCGTCATCCTGAATGGAGTGTCCTACATTCCACCTGCCACTGGCATCAACTACTCCTCGTGGTTCGCGGTTGGGTTCCTCTTCCAGTATATCATTCGCAAGAGGAACTTCCCCTGGTGGAGCAAGTTCAATTACGTGCTTAGTTCCGCGTTGGATAGTGGTGCGTTTCTTGTTCCAATAGTTCACAAATTCTTGAATGCTCACCTGTTGTGATAGGCACCATTCTGTCGGTTATCTTTATATTCTTTACCCTCCAGTTTCCCAAGGGTGGTACAATTCAAGTCAAGTGGTGGGGAAACCTTGTGCACATGGCCAGTATGTCATGTTTATCCCATATCTCCTTCGTCGTAGTATTCAACACTTTTCGATTTTAGCTGCTGACTGGAACCGCACATCCTTCTTACCGATTCCACCAGGCGGTGTAAAATAAACACACATCTCAATCTCGCTCCTTTCCCTATCTTGGTCTTTCGTGGTGATAAAGGATGTATACATATAATCAAGGTTTCTTTCAACTCTCCCTCGCTCATTCATACCCTTCGCCGCCAGACCGACTCTTACATTCCTTACTACCGTTCTGTGGGAGGAGCGATACCTTCTCACCCAGCAACGGACTTTATCTGTCAGCTCCTTCGCCCTCCCCACTCCTGCTTCCCCCTCTGTTGCTTTGACTAGATTTGTTTTCTCCAACCAACGATATAACCCACCAATATTTTCTGTGCCTATAGCTTGTATATTTGTTTTTTTCTCCGGTTCTGCCCTTTGGATGGCTAGGAGTACAGTACGTAGTAGGTTGGTAGTCAGTATTAGTGCAAATAAATTTCTGGCTGTAACATGAGTTCTAGATCTTGTGTTCTCGGCCCGGGACAGGGCCGCCGCACCTGAGCGTGGTTGATCTCGCCCAACACCGAATTCGTAGGAGCCCAGCCAAAGTACAGCTTGATCCTTGTCACAAGTCGATAAGAAGCACTTGCTTATTATCGTGAAGTTCCCTTGAAGTTGCGCTTGGACTCATGTCGAAGAGCGATGTGAACTCCGATGCTCATCATGCCGAGGTGGGTCTCATCCCTGCATGCCAAGCTTTCGCTAAGGCGCTTCGAAATAGGCTTTATATAACAAGGCAACAAAGGAGGAACTCGCCAGAAACTATGATCAAGCATTCGGACTGTATATCAAGGCGACAGAAGTATTTCTTCATTTGAGCCGTTCTGCGACTCAACAAGAGAGAGAGAAAGCAAAATGGAAAGCAAACGCGCAGAGGGCATTGGAACGCGCTGAGAAAATCAAAGGGTTCATCGAGAAATCAAAGGGTGGAAGCTCGCACAATGCTAATAATGGTCGTGTGCCGCAACCAGAGCTTAGATTAACGCCTGTCGGGATTAACCATTTTTCTCCTCGTGCGTTTTGAGCCTTAACTTACTTGGAAATCATGCTGACACTTTTCAGAGGAACAATTTTATGTTCTGAAGAAGGGAGGATCTATCAATGGTCTCGTCTATTCACTTTGGGACGACCCAATTCATCACGCCGCACCAACGACGACTGTGTATACGTGCGTTCACCCAACATTTCCATCCGTCCGAATCTCATATGTCCTGCCCTAGCGATCCTGATGGCCAACCAAAGTTATCACCAGAACAGCAGAAAGTTTCTCCTGTCTGGCGCCGTCCAACCCTATCAACAGGATCGACATCTGGTAGTTTGTTAGCAGCATCAGTCTTCCGCAAGATCCTCCCTCAAGATATTTTACAGCACATTGTGACAGACTGTTCCGTGTGTGCCTCAATATCCGTTTGCCTCGAACATGCGCGCCGATTCGGCTCTAATGCAAGTTTATTTCGATTTCTACGCGATTACATATCGACAACTCTCCTGTGACTTTTAGATCGCTGAATCCGCTTTATGCAAAGCCAGAACTATCGACGGCCGTTACGATGTTAGGATTCTGTTTAACGGAGATTGGAGACGTGTAGGTCTTTGCATATTCGTTTTTGCGTAACAGTTCACCGCGTTACATAGGTTGGTAAGTTGTATCATCTATGTGTTGCTGGGCGCAACATGAATATGTGTACAGTGATCGACGATAAGCTGCCTTACGACTCCGTTGATGGAACATTGATGTGCATGTCGGTTTTTCCACATGGCGAACCAAGGAAGGGTGGCGGGGTTGCGGAAGCTCTGTGGCCGAGCCTTCTAGAGAAAGGCGTAAGTTCGCTTGTAAAAATGCTGCTATTGACCTTGTCATTTCTGAGCCAACTTTCTAGTATATGAAGCTAATGGGAGGATATGACTTTCCTGGATCGTAAGTCCCTTCATCCGCTTTGTTGAATACATATTCTGACTTTGACATGGGATAGAAATTCGAGTATAGATCTCCAGTGTGTATCGATTGGCATCATCATTCTAACATATAATTTACGGCCCCCTAGTTCACTTGCTGGTTGGATACCGGAACATATAGAAATTAAGAGGTAAGAAAATAACTGGATATCCTGCCATTTATTATTTGAAAATGCCAAATTTCAGATCGGATTTTGAAGGGGAAAAGTCCTGGGCACGGATCGAAACTGGCTTCTCGAGTGGTAAAGTTGCCAGCGACTCTATTAAGACTTGTTTAACGACATTTTCCAGGTCAGTGCGTCGTTACACTGGGTACCGGGACAAGCCATAATATTCAGTGGCGGGACGTGAATCTCTTGCCGTCACACAGTTATGCTGTGATTGGTGAGTGGTGTGTCATATGTCCTCCACAAATAAATTAATCATTGCAACAGACGTTCAGGAGACGAAAGGAGGCAGGGAATTGACTGTCCTTGACTCTTGGGTGCGTTCTACTGGTGACATTCAAGAACCATCAAGTTGGTCATATCTTCCCTTTGACCTCCCTCCAAACTGACATCTGTAGGGATACTTAAGATTCCTTGGATTGACGTACTGAATACATTTGATGGTATATACCTCAGTTGGGACCCTGCTCGATGGCAAAAGTCGCTGGTGTTTCACGGGTACGTAAATGAACTGACTGAGCATTTTTTGTCTCATTAAATCCTACGATTCAGAATGTGGAAACGTAATGGCTCAACAGAAGACGGTACGAACTTTTTTCTTCACTTAAAGTGTTCCATCATCGCTTACCAATTTCCGCTAGCCTCTCGCCATGTTAGACTGGATTTCAACACGACTAGCCTCGCAGAAGAAGAGATTTGGGTTCTCCTTACACGACACGTAGTTCAAACCTCTCGCAACTTGGACTTTATCGCTCTCAGAATAGAGATCGAAGACAATATTCTCCCGGCAGTTCTACCGATGAATCAATTAAATTCCCTTTCAACGGTTAGTTCCATCAATTTATAGAACCCTGTGGACTCTACTTATCTGTCCAGGGAACGTACACGAACAGTACGCACATCCTGGTGGGTCATGCAGAACCACATTTTTTTTCGGCTGTTCTAGATGAAGCTCCAAATAGAGACGGATTCGTATTCCAAGCTCACAACGCTCGGGCGCCTTATCGATACTGGGGTCTTACGACGGCGACGCAAGGGAGGTCGGTTTCTCGCTATCCGCTTACTCGCATTCGTCGATAGACATTTCATGGGACGAGAACGTCCCCGATCCTCCATATACGAAAAAAGTAAATCGATCCAAGTTGCCCAATTTGCCGCTGGACCTCCCCTGACTAAATACAACCAGGTTGATGGTAGATGGACGAGCAAAAATGCAGGGGGCAACTGCACCTTTCCTACCTTCATGGTTAATCCACAATATCATCTCCGTATTCATCCTCCGAAATCGCGTGTTGGATCGAATGCCTCGGGAAAGGCAAGGACCACACTGTCCCTCCAAGCAAGTAAGGATGTCCCGATAAACGTTGCGACTGTCTGGTCGCAGGGGCAGCGGATTGTCGAGTACGTTTCTCTTTTGAGATCTCACTGGCTCTTTTCTTAACCACGATCATCAGATTTTCCGAGAAAGACATAGCTGCAAGTTCTGGCGCCTACAGCTATGGTCTCGCGCGAATCGCTAAGGACATTGCCCGTAGGCTCTAACATTCTCATAAAACATATTTCAAAATGAATCGCTTCTGCTCACAGCTGGAGATTACACGGTCGTCGCATCAGCTTTTGAGTCACATCACATGGGGCCTTTTTCTCTGAAAGTGGACTGCTCGTTTCCTTTCGACCTTCAAGAGATTCCGCAAGAGGGTGCGGGGATGTATACTAAAGTTGTCCTTGGTGCCTGGTGCGTGGTTTCAAACTTTGACCTTGCACTTTTTCCAAGACTCTTTTCAGGGAGGAGCGTACGGCAGCCGGAGGACCGAGTTTTGACCGGTATTCCAATAATCCGAGATTCGAACTGGAGGTGCCGTCTTTGGCACAGGTCAAGTATGTTGTCACAGATTCGTATTGTTATTATTTCTTGATTGAACACCGCCAATCTTAGGATCCGACTGCAACTTTTGCAACCCTCTACGGCAACTTCGCTGAACGTGACAATTTACCCTGTTCCCTCTCCCTCTTCTTTTGTAGTATGTAATCTCACGAACTTACGGCACACGGCCACGTCAGGAGCGTACGACGACTGTATCGCGGGGGTAGCGACGCCTCAAATTGCGCTCGCGAAAGGCAAGTATTGGATTGTCCCGTCAACGTATAATCCGGGGATGGAGGCCAGATTTAAAATTATTGTGTATTCTAGTGTGAAGGAGTTTGAGGTAAAGGGATTGTTGAATTGAAGGAGGGAGGCTACCGATTTAGCGATGTACAAAAAACAATTATCTACATCTACAATATATCGAGACTACGAAAATATCGGTATATGGATTACAAAGTTAGATTTCCATCCAGCCCAGGATCCTATGCCTGCGCTTCTAATAAAAATGGCGAGAATAAGTCCTCCAGAGGGGGTAGTATACGCACTTTCTTTCCTTGCATCTCTATGCCAAAGAAATAAATATTTCCTGAAGCAAGGGGGAGGGCAAATAGAAAACTCACGTTTCCGCTGAACCCTCCTCCAAGCCCACCTCTTGAATCTTCTCACATCATCAAGGTAGCTCTCAAAAGTATTAGCGAGCCTTGAATCCTCGACTTTACACCTCCGGACAAGGCGTTCAGCCCACATTCTAAATCGATCCTCGTCTCCAAGTATAGCATAGCACAGGGCGATTTCCTCTAGGTATATACCCTGCAACCCGTGCATGCCTTCCTGCTCTATCAACTGCAGGGCGTCGAAATGGGAATTCAGAACGACGTCGTCCGCGCGGGCGAGGTCCGTGCTCCATTTTGGGTATGAGGGGTGGGTGAGGAGGCGGATGCGTAGGGCGGCGCGGGTAGCGTCTGAATCGAGTGATGAGGATGTAGTGGGTAGGTTGCACCATTGACAGTCGCAGGTGAAGCCGTAGTTCTCTTGGAGGTGGGCTATGCGTTGTGAGCGGGGGAGGGAGGGGTCGACGTATGTTTTTGTTATTTCCTCGCCGGCGAGGATGGGTCGGAGAGCGTACATTGACGCTGTTAGTGTTGGGAGGTTCCATTTTATGGCTGCGTTGGGACCGCAACTATATAAGACCTAGTGGTTAACTACTGCATGTTGCTCAACGTGGAACGAACACCTACCTGTGATTCGCGCGATTGAGGATGAGGAACGCAGCTCCGTACTTTTTCGCCGACTCTCCATACGCGTCCATTTCCGGAGGGAACTTCAACTCGATCGAAAGAGCATTAGTGCGCGCGATGCCCTCCACTGGGCTTGGACAGTCTTGTTTACTCCGGCAATTGGCCATCGTCATCATTTCTTGGAACGCGTGTCTTGGCAGTTGGCTTCCGACTTGATCATACCCCGCATGATCGCGTGGTAAAGGCTTGTTGGGAACGATGAAGACGGGGTGCTCGATGTGAATTAGGCCTCCCTCGGGAATGTCGCGGGTTGCGTACATCGCGAACCCTTTATGAGGGGCATCTTTTATTTCGAAGTTGGGGTTCGCGATGATGGGTGTGGCGAGTGGCAAGGGTGAGGGAAGGAGGGGTATCATGGACGGGTGGAAGAGGGCGCCTATGATCGTTGGTGGAAGGGAGGGTGTTGGAGAGCGAAGGTAGAATTTGTGAGGTGTATATGGTGACTCCATCGTTGGTAGAAAAATTGGAGGAGAGGTCGATCTAATCTAAGTAAACACGTGATTATGTAAATGCCTCTCTCTCCAGACACAAATGTTCTGGCATACCTACGCAAGGAGTCTCTTGACATCTACAATCGCCTGCACTCCATCGATGAGGATGTTGACTTTGTTCAGCTAGTACACGAAACATATCCTCAAATTCCCTTGTTGCGTACGTTTTGAATCACCGAATATCGAAAAATTCTGACAATTGCTATAGCAAATCTTCGTTGTGGAGCATGGTACACTGCCCCTAACATAGTCAGAATATTCGATTATCCAAGGAGAGCATCATCTATCTAACTTTTATCAAGGCCGCAAACACACCAGCGTACTTCAAATCTACCGATGGCCATTTCTCAAACTGGAGCTTCAACCTTCGCCGAGCAAACCTACACCTCCTTCCTCTCGTTATTCAACACAATGGGTCAGTCTCGTTCTCTGAGTCATTCCGTGAACTTTCAAGGTTAACAGATATAGCATTGGCGCGATAGCATGATCCTAGTCGACTCTACACGTTCAGGAAAACGTATCCCTGATGCCCTTTCGAAAACCGTACCAATATGGTGTGCGGTAATCAACAGAGCTATGGTCCTTCTCAATCCCGACTTGCCACAAGTAAACGAGGGATGGGATCCCTCATTATATACCGCTCCAGGAGCGGTCAGCGCACAGGAACATCATCAGATTGAGATCAAGCTCGATGGATTCGCTCGCGCACTTGTGGTATGAGCTGATCTTCACCCTGTGGAATCTTCGCGTTGAATTATCGTTGTAAAAGGCATCTTCATTTGAACTCCCAGTGCTACCACACCCACTTCGTCCATTCTGGATTACCCCATCAACGACCTCCTTCCCATTTTTCAGCTCTCCCGTATCCGACGGCTTCTTGCCCGTTATATGTGTATCCGCCTCCAAGCAGGTCGATCAAGGCACGGAAAGGCGGGCCAGTGGGTTCTCGTACATCCAGGGATCGGGAGACGATCATGAATTATGGGGCATGGTCGGTCTTCCCTACCTACCTTTTCTTCTCCGTATTGACGAAGATGAAAAGGGCCTCACACCGGAATTATTCTGGGCACACAATGATGCCCTCTTGAGCGCAGATCGTTCCGAGCTTTCTGAGCTTGTCGCGAAACTCGTTAAACAGCCCACGATCTCAAATTCATCTTCGCTGAGTAATAACCCGCCAATTTTAATATCAAAGGTTTCTGGAAAACTGGCGATGTGCTGGACCTCAGATATACCCATGCAAGATACTTTGAATGTTTGTGTGGAAATCGACTCTAAGGAGACCACACCCAACACCTCTAGAACGGCTTACATAGTTCTCACTTCCTCACATACCACTCCCCGTAACAACGTGAACTGTCTCTACATCCCCCTACACCACGAACGGAAAAAGAAAGGCGACACGCCGTATCTCTTTACCACCATCCTCCCTTCATCTCTGGCGTTCATCAAGTCCCGCCTCAGGCTCCTCACCGTCAAATCCGTCTGCATAGCAATCCCAAAAAACGACAGCGACGCTCGAGACGTGGCAGTGGGGATCATGTTGGTGGTGCTGCAGCTCCTTTTCGATGATCATGGGGAGCTGTTGGATGGGGCTTCGGTCCAGCTCCCGGGTACGTTACTGCTTTCTTCTCTTATCTGATTAGAGCTGATTTGGTTGATGGTGACAGCAACGAAACAGACGATCCGGACGCGGTTGGAGTGGGTCATTGCTAGTGTTCCTGATGTGAACCCTTCTCGGACGATGTTGAAGAGGGTTAATGAGTTTTTGCTGTCGAAGCCTGAGTTTTGGAGGGGTGGTTAGGTTTTTGATTGCTTTCAGATAAATTGCGATAGATGCGTAATTTTGCGGACGGTAACTGCGACCTTGATAAAGAGCCCTGCTATCAGTTCATTTGACATGGCGCAGCTCGAAACATGGGCTGGACTGTTCATTTTCAAGTACTGCGTATGCACGGTTGGTTGGTTGATGATCAAGCCGCCTCATGATAACCGGGATCCACCAGGGTAGCATAAACGATAATCGAATAAAAGTAGATATGGGTGCAGCCGTGACAGTGTAATGCACAAAGGAATACATATGTTGGAGACAAAATACTATGTGATGGGTGATGAAACATGCATGTGTATGAGCGTGTAAGAAAAGAAAGGGAAAAAAATGCAAGAATCGAACGCGGAGACGTCAATCAATCGTTAGAGGACGTTATGAATGGAACCGCTCGTGAAGTCATACAACGACCGCATCCCAAGGAATCCAACTCCAAAGCCACTCGATGAACCTGTCCAAGAATGGCTTCTCACCCTGCGCCGAGGAAGTTTTGGAGCTGCTGCTATTAGTTGCCTCTCCCGAACCCAATTTTGTGCCTGGGGGATACGCAGCAGACCCGTTAGCCTGCGTAGGAGGCAGAAGAGGGTCAGTTTCCGCTGCCACCGTAACCGCGGTTGTGGCGGTCGTAGTGGAGTTGGCAACTGAGATGGAGAGCGGGTGCGAGTGAGATGGGAACACTGGGGAGAGGGGGTGGATGATCTCGAGTTTGGGTTTCTCGATTTCGAGTGCGACTGGGGCTTTTGAGACCGGCTCGTGCAGTGAGGCGGACCCGTTGGTGCTGTGCTCAGGCTCGTCTGCGAGTGCCTCGGCTAGATCTATTTCAAAGTCGCTAAGAGCAGGTGGCTGGTGTGTGCTAGGGAGTTCGAGAGAAGAGCCCGTGGGCAGTAGGATGTTCTGCTCGTCATGAGAAGCGACTTGGGGTTCTTCAACCGCAATGAAGACGGGGACTTCTTCAAGAACCGTAGGCTCAACCTTCTCTGCTGTCAAAGTGGGTTCGTTTTGCTCCTCCTTCTCCTCTTCCTCGTGTACGTCGGGTTTCGCCTCCTCCTGCTTCGGCGCAGCTGGGGAAACCTCATTCTGAGATTCAGGTTGGACATCTACGTGATGTGTAGGCTGAACTTCTTCCTGGGACGACAACTGGACTTCTTCCTCCTGGGGGGCTGAAACAACCTCATAAGACGACGTTGAATTAGATCGCTCTATCTGCATCTGGGGCGCAGCTGGGATATCCTCAGGCTCGACCTGCTGGATTTTTTCAGTTTCGGGCTCTTGGACTTTCTCAGTTTCAGGAGCGATCACATCAGCCCGCACTGGGGGTGATAGATCGGATTCTGACATGGCCTCTGGCTCGTCAGTCACGGTGCTTGTTGCAGGGACGGAAGCGAGATCGTCAGTGGGAGGAAGGGGGAGATCGTCAGATGTTCCGGACACCGTGACAGCCTGAGCCTGCTCAGGGGGAGGGGAGGAGAAGGACGCAAAGGCCGGTTGGACAATAACAGGCGACTCTGCGATGGGGCTGACTAGCGGCGCTGTTGACACTGTTGGGGGTGGGGAGAGAACAGCCGGGCTGACGTCAATTTTAGTGTCCATCGAATCAATCGAACCGGACGAGCGGGGAGTGGCGGGTGTGAGCATTGAGGAGGTACGTTTGATGGCCTTACCCATGCGAGACCGGATGCTCCCCTTCTTCTCTTTCGAGGTGGCAATAGAGGCGGTGTCGGAGTCGCGGTCTGATGAGATCCTTGCCGCAGGGGGGGTAGTTGGGGGAGGAGTAGCTGGGGGTGGAGGAGAACCGGACTTGGACTTGATGCTAGCGTTCGAGGGAACTAACATCGAGGGGGTGCGCTTCATGGCGTTCCCCATGCGGGACCACCTGCCTTGCTTGGGAGGAGTGCTGCTCATGGTGGTCGTTTTCTATGTCAAATAGATAGAACGAAGAAACAAATGTGGCGTAGTAGAACAAAAGTAGGTCTGGGATGAGCACAGACGATGAGGAGGAGAACGATGGGGGGTGAGGCCATGTTGACCAAGGAAGTTTATCAATGAAGTGCCAGGAGGTTGCATCGAGGCAGGGAATGGAGCAATGTGAAAACGCGCGGATCGGTTATCGCAGAGATTGAGGAGAACACGTTCCATCTGTCCTCAACACGAGGACCCGCCAAATTTAAGCTGTCATCATGCTAGTCCCTGCTAGTCCTTTGGAAGACGCCGTTCTAGATGTCATGATGAGAACCTGTGCAATATAGTCAGCTATGAAATCAGGTTCCTTGTGGATTTCAGGTTCTGTGTAAGAAACACGTTGCAAGTTAGGCCCGAAATGCGGTCAATTTCAACACGCTTGACGTGAAAGGCTGCGGGATCATCATGGATGATATTGAAGCAATCTTCATCTTGGGGAGGCGAACAGGTGAATCCAAGGTGAGTCCAGCGGTGAAGGAGCCACAGTCAACGCGTATTTGGCTCAATCTGGGCTCAACGACGCGTCCTGCTCAACACCATCATGTCCGACACCGCCTCTCCCACCACGACCCTCACGTCCATTGTTTCAAATCTTGGCGGCCCACGCGTCAATCCATCTGACATCGAATGGGCAAATGATATCACTTCTGGCAAATTACTGATCAACTGGCTTGTGGCGCAATTAGACTTAGAAGCCGCCAACGGTAATGATGATCTTGAAATCCGACATCGAGCTGCTCTGCGCGATGTTGCGCTTGAGGACGAGGAGCTCAAAATGTGCGTTCATTATCGTTTTAGTGGAACGCAGCTTATGCATAAAGACTAGTCTCGCTCATGTCAAGGATGGAATATTGGACTCGGACGATGGTGACATTATGGCCCCGGCAGACTACTTGCCGCCCTCTCATCTCAAGTATGTTGAAAACTGTTTTGAATGACGCGTCGGTACTGACTTTCGCCTTCGATCCTTAGGAAGCGTGCAGAGTACATGAATAATGAAACCGAACTCCTTCAGCAAGAGTCTGATCATTTGAAAATCAGGCTCGTACAAGCCAAGTGAGGTTGCTCAACGCAACGCTTTTAGCGGTGTACTAAGAGTGGCCTTTTGAAAGAAAGGCCTCGCAGAAGATGAGCCAGACGCTCAAAACACTGCAGTCAAGCATCAAGGATATTAATTCTCAGATAGAGATAGAGACGGACGTGTTGGGTGAGCTTTCCTTGAAAGTGAAGTTCCCTCCTCTTCTCTCCCATCTTCGTGTTAACCGGATTGATGACAGGCAGACAATTCCATTGCATCTACCAAGGCTCGTGCACTTGCACTCTTGGATGCTTTGAATCACAATTCGTCTGAGGTTCAAAATACGAACGGTACGTATAACATTCTTTACAACATAGCCAATGCACCAATAATATGTTCCTTAGGGGACATAACTCCCACCGCGACACGTTTTGACACAACCACATCCCCAGCCTCGACTGCGACGTTAACCCTCAGCTCCCTAGCAGACACTCGCGCTACTATCATTGGAGACCTATCGCACTACCAAGAGACAGGTACACGGAAGAAACTCCCAGAAATTGGGGAACTTCAATCTGAAGCTCAACGTCTCGAAGCCTCGATTGAGAACATCAAAGCTAATCTCGACTGCGAAGATTCGGCTTTTCTGTATGAATTGGAGAAGTTGTGTGAACAAGTAGAGTCTGGGGTAGATGTGATGGTTGGTATTTCGGAGAGGGTAGAGAATGAAGAAGAGGTGGAGGTGGATGTTTACACAGAATTGGTGCATGCATGGGCTCTCGATCAAGCTGCTATGTTGCAAACCCGCAGCGATGCTTTGGATGAGGTATGTTATATATCAGATAAGAAAATCAGTTCGTCATTCTAATTGTGGATAGGCTCTGGCTTTGCTTGGCCCCCGCGTTCTAGCGCCCTTGGAAGATCTGCATGAGTCTCTCTCAATGAGTACCAGCCATGCGAGGGAGGCGGAAGTCCTTCTCCGTACTTTAGCGGAAGAGCTTGAAGACCTGCTGGAGGACGCCGACGTGAACACCCGGCGAGAAAGTATGATCCAGAAAGGAGTAGCTGAAGACGAAGACGATGTCATGGAGCGAGAGTTGGTGAAGCTCTTCAAAGAACTCAAGGGTACGAATTTATCGCAGTCTTGGAGGTAGCCTCTTTAACATATTCCTAATAGATCTACGAGCCCCGGACGCTCCGCTACTTGTAGTTCTGAACCGTGCAGATGTTCTAGCCGAACTGGAATACCTTGTTGATCGAGCACGTACCCTGCAAGGGGAGGGAGAGCTCTGGGTCCAAGAACGGCTCCTGCCTTCTCTCACTGCTTTGTATGTCTTCTTTCTTAGTCCAGCACAGATAACTGATCTACTGATTTCAGGCCTCGACGCCACCATCCCCTGCTATCAGCGATTTACGCTCACTCCCCCATGAACACATCCTTGCCATTTACATTTCCTCCACCCCTTGAAGCGTTGAGGCATAATGGTGGCGTCAAGGCGGAGGAGTTGCAAGCTGCGGTAGTGAGACTGCAGAAGGAATATGAAAAGAATTTGTTGAATCCAGATGGTAAGACGAAGAGGCGATTGGGTGGATTTGTAGATAAGTGGGCTCCGAGATGAGGTGACAGGTCGGTCGCGACTGACCGTAATACGTGTTACTCGCTGTTTCGTAGAACATGAACTGAAGTTTATGTGAAACGGGGTATAAAGAAGTATGATTTCGGGCATAAGTTTTCGGATTTCCAACACAATAAGTATCGACGTTTGTTTACAGACAGGGTACAATGTATTCCTGTTCAAACCGTTTCGTAGCACATCAACTCACTTAGTTCAAAACGGGGTATAAAGAAGTATGGTTCTGGGCATAACTTTTCCAACACAATTTCGACGTTTGTTTGCAGACAGGGTAAATGTGTTTCAATCGTCCCTGTCCAAACCTTGGCTCGAACGTCGTCTCGACCTTCGATGTTCATCTCCTGACAATGTGGAATGAACCACTAATCCCCGGCGGTCAAGGCGTCTCCTCCCTTTCTGCCACAGCTTCGTCCCAAAGAACCGCGAGGTCAAGACCCTCCTGCGTAAAAAGATTGTTCAGCCCCTGTGTGAGCGCTGCTTTGCCTTCCTCGTTTTCATTTGTGTATTGAGTCACGATAGCGTCCCATTTCGCAAGAAACTCCAATTTCCCTTGATCCTTCAGCCTCGTCTAAAAAAAGAGGTTCAATTTCGTCCACGATGTTCGAAAAAATGAACGGACCTTGATAACCTCAAATGTTTTTGCTTGTTCTGCTGAATCGCCAAGTTTCCAAGCCTCCCAAAGTGTCCACCGTTGATCCGAATTCTTGTGCCAAACACTTATTTCCCAGTTTTTGAGATCGTATACACCTTGAGCTTCCAGCTCGTATGCGTGTGCTGATGCGAGGTAGCAAAGATTCCAGGGTGGGGATCTAGTGTTGAATCCTGTGTTGCTCCTGAGGAAGTGCTTGTTCGTGGCTTGCATTAGGGCTTGGTCCCAAGCGTGCTTACATTGGTCTGGCGGAAGGGACATTATCTGCTCGTAACGCCTGCCTGTAGGAGCGCGGAATACTACTTCCGTCTCGCGGAAACCGTGGCGAAGACGAAGGTATAAGTGGGTGGTGGCAAACTTGGTAATAAGCGGCCACAAGACATATCTGATGAGGTGATAATCGATTCCGGCGACGGCAAACTTCCAGATCCACTTCATGGTGCCTTCCTCGGTCGCATACTTGGGTTGGGCTACGTAGAAGTCATTCAAAAGTATTGCGAGAATGACGGAGAAGCTTTTGCTTGCTCGCCAGACCATAATTGCAGTAAGCACGATGTACATAAGGAGCGGGCTTGTGAACGCTATTCTGCGTGAACACTGATGAGTAACAGGCTAGCATGATTGGCTTGAGGGATGTAGATCCTGGACACGTACATCTTCAGTTTGATTGGCGACGTGTCCAAGTGAGAAATGAGAATACCACGACCTGGATCGCAGGCGTCTAGGACACGTATCGCTGGATTATCTAGCGGTACGACTTTGGTGGTATAAGACATCTTCGAGACGAATGAATACTCGGTAAGATGCAAGGTCCAATGAGGCTTGAATTCTTGGTTGGATTTTGAACAAGAACGTGGCGGGATTTCCGAGGGTGATTGAGGCACCGACCGCTGTTGACCAAATTCGTCACGTCGTCGACCTTCTTGTGCACCTCGACGTAACTTGCTTGGATTTTATTCATTTCAACATTGCTGAGAGGAGCTGAGAAAGCGAAAGGAAAACCCAGGCGTTTGAGCGCCGACCAGCGCCAAAATTTGAAGAAACTTGACTCGAATACAGTGGAGTTGCTGTTACCATGATGATTTGTTCTTGTATTGTGACCACATGCTACCTACCACCTCCATTCGTTATAACTTTTTAAGAATCGCTTACAAGCGGAAAGGCATCGCATACCCAAGGGGGTATATCCTTGGACCTCGCCAGTACATCAAGAACATCCCTGAAAACCCTGGTTCAAGAATGCAGCTGCATATTCATCAACCAAATCTAGCCCCAGGTCGTATGAAACGATGAGCGAAACACATCCAAGATCCATATTTGCCCCTCCCAACCCCCGCGGATGCGGTGAAATGCTCTACAAGGTGTGACTAGCCCACCACCTTGAGCGGCGAGATCGACACATCTTTGGCGCTTATTGTACATGAGCAACAACTCGTAACAACGATTGGAAAAAAAATTCTGGCCGAACTGTGAACATTGTCCACGCACTGACGTCGGAAATGAAGACGGTATTTGCTTCAAGGGGGAGGCTCTAAACACAGCTCTCATCGTCGCACCTCGTTGACGCCTCGTGTTGATGTTTTTTACTTCCACTGCGGGACATTTGCGTCGCTCAAGCTGCTCAATTTTTTTTCATCATTTCACCCTTCAAGCTCTGATAATTTTCAACCCTGACATAATGACACCACCAACTCACACAAACCACGATATCGTTCGTTGTCGCACTGGTCATCACGATACTAACCACCGGCGCTAGATATGGCGAAGAAATGACAAGACTTTGCCGCGTCACCCGGCACGCACGGTGAACGCACTTGATCAACCTGTGCTCGATAGGCCTAACCTTGCGTCCAATCAAGCGATTAGTCTGTGCGCGCAGCCCCTCTGATATCAGAAAATACCACTTTCCAAGACACGTCGAGTCATGACGCCAGGGCGCTAATTTGGAATAACTCGATGTCTGATGCTCCAAACCTCCGACCTCCATCGGAGGCACCCTACTCCGATTTTCTGGAAGGTCCTTCGGTGAAAACTAGCTTTTGTCGCCACTTCAAGGTCACTGGGACTACCGACTGCTACCGAGTGCGTGACCAATATTTTTTCTCTGCGGAAGCTCCACCTGTAGATGTGACATCTCTCATACATCCCGCTACACACCGGTTCCCTGCCCAATCGAAGGTTCATGGCTGTGGAACCGAAAGCCGAGCCTAAAAACATAACTTTACCTGCATGTCATTTACTCTTTCTTGACAGATCAGGATACGAAGAATGGAACTCGACGCCACAGGGAGAATGTTCACCGCTGCTGTCGAGATCGCTCAATTGTACATTGCCATTGGCGGTTTATATTCACGTTCTTCATGGTGTCCAATGGGGCGGCCCACTTATCTAGGGAACGGAGCTCATCCGCTGTTATCAAGGTCCAGGAGGACGACCCAGACATAAGGTATCAAGTCAAGGAACCCGCATGCGCACAACCGTTAAACTGGAGCTATCATATGCGGGGAACCAAGCCCGGTAGTTCACGATGTTTGGAGCTCGCAATGGTCTACAATGGGATGGACAGGACAAGCGGACATATTACCTTGATGTTGGGACGTTGCGTCGAAACCATGACATCTTGACGGTTTGACGGGCGTGGGACATTGTCGACAACCATTTTGAAGGCACCGACCGTCCTGTACTTGCTATTGGAAACGCTACACGAATAGACAGCGCTTGCTTTGGTGCGCATGTGTAGATTTCTCGTTTCCGAAAGTACCCTAGAAGCATGCTAAAGCTGTTGAGGTGCAAGTTATATATATCTACATAAAACGCTAATCATGTGCGGTGACTTACATAAATGTCGTCTTGTATTATATTACGCTAAGAAAATTTCCTGGACATCTCCGAAAAGTCATGAAAAATCCAAACTACAGCTTCGCGGGTATCTTTGCGCAACTCAAGCTGGCTCGGTGCCGAACGCTCACTGTGCAGTTCGTTCATCCAGGTTTTAAAAAAGTCCAGTCTGAGTCATCGCGTCGTCTCCGAGCTTTGGTAAAATTATAAGTGACAACGTTGAACCTAAACCTCATCGTCCCAACTGCGCCGGAATAATTACAAGAACGGACTAAAGAGAATGTATTCAATGTAACAATACTCCGCGGTTGAAAAGCCACCAGAAGGGGATCTCGGTCAAACATCTGAGTTCACACCTAAAGAAGACGTGTCTGAATTTGTTTATGCCAATCAATGGGCGTCGGGCGACGCGTTTGAACTTTGGCGAAGGAGTTGGGTCTTTTTTCATTGACACTACGTACATTCGCAGGAAAGGTACACCGGTGATCGAGATAGTATTCCATGCACCCCTGGCCCCCTATTTTCTTGTTGTACAGTTGAACAAATGTGGACGTCCCAGTTTGAGTAGCGTAGTAATTGGTTCATAGTATCAATTAACATGGGTGTGACTCGGTTGTAAAATGGACGTCAGGTTGTTGAGTGTCTTTTACTGGCTGCAAAGCTCTATCCTTCCCGTTTGTGAGATAATTCCGTTTTAAAAAATTGAAAGTCCACTTCAATGTCAAAATTTCAATTCGCTGAATGCGGGATGTTGAAAGATGTAATTTTGGATCGGGCAGGATCGGGCAGTAATCATACTACTAATCAAGCTACGCACGTGGCGACCGGCGATCACAGTAACATTTAATTGATCTTTAATCGTGAATTTTGCTTCCGCGAAAGGTGCTACTTATGTAGGTTTTCCTGCTCAACGTATCAGGAAACGATAGCTTTCTTTATTCCACAGGGAATATCCTAGGCGAATCGATCAGTTCAAGGCCTGTAATCACTACGCTTCCACCCGGCTGACTCACGGCACCGCATCCCTCCTCATAAATCCGCCCCGATCATGATTAGATTGGCTTCTTCCGGAACACACCTCTCTCCTCCTAGTACGCCTCAGAATCCGTGTCATTCTGACTCGTTTCGTTTCTCCGAGAAGTAACCAATAGCGGCGCGTGGGGACGAAAAAAGATTTCTACATTCTCGGCGGCCCAATCATGACCGCCGTTCGAAAAGCTGTTGGGCTGTAAATCACGCATGAAAGTACACAAACGCAAGAGCCGCACCGTGAAACGCACTAGCAGGGCTGGCATTCCTTCTTGGGAGTTGTATGCGCAGTCACAATGCAGTCATGCATGGCTGATCGGTTACAAGATTTGCTGGTGTAAACAACTCATTCTTGGCATGCCATTCGCAATTGGACCGGAATGGCTTTACACCTATCCTGATATGTAGGAAAACTCAACACTGCAACCTTTCTAATTACCACCTTATGGCTTGCTTGTATATAAAACCCTCCATATCTCCACTTCTACCCCTTCAAAGCCTCCTGCTCCCAACACCAATCCTTTCTTCTTCTCTGCACACGCACCATGCCAGTCCCCTCCACGTTATCAGGTCCCGGAGTAGAGGTATTCACCAGGGCAAGCGAACTACCAAGCGAGGTTTGGGATACCCTCGAAGCCCACGCTGTCAACGCAAACGTCATCCTCCCTGCTCTCCTAACGTCCCTCGCAGCTGAGAGAAAGGGAGTTGTAATTCCAAACCAAAGGTGGCTTGTGTTCTACGAACAGGACAACCCCGCTTTGACTGTGGAGTTTGTCTTGTCGTGCACCAACAACGGGCGTATGGGCACCTACCCTATATTCATCTTCACTACCCACAAATATTCCGCCCTTAATGCAACATACCTTATCCCTCGCCTCCAGTTTCTCGCGGAAGTCTTGCACGAGGTCGTGCCCGTGGAGCGGGTGTACTCCGTGTTTGCGCCCGAAATTATAGCACATCTCTTCATCGACATTTGGACGAACCTCACGGGTGTCGAGCTTCATGCGCCAGACCCGTACTACTACGCGGCCAAGATCAGCTTTTGCAGCCGGCGTACGCTTTCTCGCCGCCAGGCAACACAGAACGCAGCCTATTCCATGCGCCCTGCGAGAATGGAAGATATCGAGCAAGTAGGAGATCTTTGTTTCGAGTTTGGACTGACCTCTGTGAGTGCCTTTCCTCCTCTGGATGGACATCAAATATTGACCGCTGTGTACCTAGCCACCCTTCATCTTGACAAGAGATAGAGCGTTCGAAGAGGCTGCTTACCTGATTAAACAAAACCTCATCTGGGTCCATGAAGTTACTCAGGGCAACAAACGCGGAATCGCCTGCATCGCCGCCTTTACCAGGAACAGCGCAACGGTGGCCACGATCACCAAGGTGTTCACGTCTGAGAAATATCGTCGAATGGGTTGCGCTGAACGCCTGGTGCGACGCGTCTGCGATCAGTGAGTCTGGTTTTCGTCCGCCCGTCGAGCCGAGACTGACATAATATTTGACAGACTCTTGAAGGAAAAAGAGTGGGTGGTGCTTTTCGTTGGTCATGACAACCCAGCTGCAAAAGTTTATGCTCGTGTTGGATTCGCCGGCCTCGGCGAAAATGATGGACCCGTTGACGGGGTTGACCCATGGTTAGAAATTGGTTTAGACCAGGACGCTGTCCAGAGGGGTCACTGGTAAACCACCAAGACGTTCTTGAACCTAAAAGCTTGTTGCGCAACGATTTCAGTATCTGCTGAACGATCTAAAAGATTTATCCGCTTTCTTGTTTAAATTCTCACCTCACATCTCCCCCATACGTACGTCGGTGATTCCGCATCTATACCCCATACCATTGTCTGCCCTATTAGTAGCATACTGTTCCATCATATTTTGCTTTCTTGTGCCTCCGCGATACCCGCTGTCGACTTACCTCTGTAAATTATACCAAAAGCTTTCGCAAAAGAGTGCAATGTTATCGCGAATTTCCGTCTTTGCGGCAAACAAAGATTATATCGATTGAATATGAGGAACTGAAGCTACATCTCGACAGATTGGAGGAGAGGGCCGCGAGACGCAAAACGAACTTCGTCCTGGGTCTAGGTCCCTAGGAGGTATGGAGCACGGACTACGCCGTGCGAAGCTAGAGGCACAGATGAGAGAGTTAATCTGACTTCAAAAGGCTCATGTGAAAGAGCGCACTGTCAAACTGTCGTTTGTGAACGTTTGTCTATATAAAGGGCTATTGGTTACGTCCGGGAACAGCCGCTTGTGCAAGTTCAGCAAGGGCCTTTTCCTTTTGTTCGACCACCTGGTGTGTTTGTCTCAAGTCAGCGTCTAACGAACTGAATGGAAGTTCGAAACAAGCTACCTCGTCGTTCATGACAGTCGTGGGAAGGCCCAGCGCTACCCTCTCCTCCAAAACCTGCATATTTGCTCCTAGTTAGGTGGCGATGTAAAACCTCGACCACGATGAAGGACGTACTTCTGCGATTTGAACCAACTGTGAGTAAACCATCATTAATTTTGGAGTTGCTTCACCCACCTCTTCCTCTCCGAAGTGTGTCGCGATGGACAACGACGCCCATTCCAATACCGTACACCGATATTCCGACGAGTGAGTACACCACTGTCCTGTGGAGGATGTCCAGGACTGATAACTTGGGTGGCATTGTTAGAGTGAGGAGACCGATCGGGGATCGGCGCGCACGGAAAGGTTTGTTTGGACGCATCGTTGATAACAAACAAGAGTGACTTCTTCAGCAGAGACCTTGAGACGACCCACAGTTAGGCTCAGATTTCACGAATCCAATGTCCTATGTTGGACTTGGATTCTATCTCCTTGCTGCTTGAATGGTGTGCCAACAACTCTGTTTCGATCGATCCACGGCTTCGAATCGATTTTGATGAGCATGGAGGACTTGGGGTGTTTTCGACCGAAGATGTCATTCCTCAAGATGCGACGCGTGTGTTTGAAGATTTTTTTCACAAAAGATTGTCTAACGCGTTAGAATTAGTGGTCAGAATAACCAAAGATTCTGTCCTTTCGACGAGGTCGTGTTCTCTCGCCGATCATATACCACCCGTTCCGTATGGCCTGGGTGCACAAATCGCCCTCTCAATGGCTTTATACGGTGAGATGTAAGCTTTCAGGTTACGTTATTATATTTATACTATATCTCACAGTTGACTGATCAGTCTGAAAGGGTCTTCATCAAGATGGTATGGATACCTGCAGGCCCTTCCGGCTGAAGTCGATATCCCTCTTTTTTGGAACCAGCAAATGGCTTCCACGCGCTCCCCAGAAGATGGATTACAAGCCTTGACGTGGCTGACGGGGACGGAGGTCGATAAAGTACTACAACAAAAGGCAGAAAATGAAATGACCATACTGGTGGGCCTTTCAACACCCACAGAGATATAAATGTTGACGAGTCTCACGCTGTCGATGAAACAGGAAGAATTAATCCAATATTACCATGATGTCGGGGAACCGCTTCTTTTACGGAATTCTGGAATTTGGAAGGGTTTCTCTTCAGGATCCGTGACACCCACGTTGGAAGGCTTTCTGCGTGCCTACTCCCTCGTGTCCTCGCGAGCTTTTCTGGTTGATGCTTACCACGGACTATCGATGGTTCCAATAGCAGATGCGTTAGTTTTCTTCCGAGTATCAGTGTCAGACAATTTCTTAGAGCGGTGTGCTTTCTGTAGGTTCAATCACGTTCATGAGAACCATGTGCACCTTGAGGTGACTGCTTCTCAGATTTCTTTTTGTATGGACGCGCTGATGATCATTTCTTTTAGAGCGATTTTAATGTCTGTCCCGAATGTGGGTCCTTGACCGAGTGCGCTCATGACCGTGATGGTGTTCTGGCTGATCTTGTCAACAACAATGCGTCAGAAAATGATTCATTCTACGAGATGGTTTCCAATATTCCCATACCTCCACACAGTGAGGTATTCAACACATACGGGGACAACTTAACGAATGCACAACTGCTGACGCGCTATGGGTTTACTTTGGACGCAAACGAGAACGACAACCTGACTTGGACTATAGATGAGGTCTCTCAAATTTGTAAACAGCTGGGAGAGCTGTTGCGAATAATCAACGACGATTTTACTGTAAATCAGCTTCAGGAGATCTTTTGCCAGTCGCAACTCATCTACAACACACCGCCTGGTTTATTCCTGGGTATCAATGGGGATGGCAGAGTCTCTGACAAGTTATGGATTCTACTTGGGCTACTTTCCTCGGATCGCGGGACATCTGCCGGACCAACCGCTCTCCTCCGACGCCTTATTGATCTACAGCTCCTTGTGGAGTCTCAGACGCAATTTTCGGACGATAGCGACTCCGAGAACAACCAAAGTATACCCCTTGGCGCTGACCCCGCTTTATTAGATATGCTGTTGAAGATGGCCTATTCGATTGTCAGTCTTTGTGGAGCGCGAAAGCGGAATGGGGGCGTACCAGCCTCAGAATATCAAAACCTTGGTGACGTCTTAGATGTAAGCGCTTTCGTACACGCTGATGAGCGTTTAACTCATGTTTTATTCAAAGGCTCTACCTCCAGCTCAGAGTCGGACAAGAACAGCGGTCGCCGTCGTTATGAGTGAGCGATCAATACTGGATAGTTGTGAGGCTGCGTGGATAGATGTGTTAACTGCTGTACGGCGGCGTGTTGGTTAATTTTCTGTGGGTGAAAATTCATGCGCGTGCGTGATGGTTTCAGCGACGGAGGCTGTTGATGTTGCTTATGAGAGCTCTTTTTTAGCCTGCCTGACTCGGCGTTTACGCGGGGAAATTGTCTTGATATTGGGACCGGGTACAGTGCAGACAGAGTAGTGGCGAGCCCTCTGGCGAGTCTAAATTTCCTGTAAACGAGTCCCATAGGAACGGATACTTAAAGTTACAACAGACGTGTTGTCGAGGAACTGCCTCTAGGCAGAGCCTTGTTCCAAGGATGGGCGTGCATTGTGCCCGGCTCGTCTTCCTTTGTACTTGATCCCGTGACCTGCCCTGGTCCCGATCTTCGATCTGTTTGCGTCCGACCTAATCAGAATGAACTTTATCGAACAATGCTTTCTGTCGATTTCCTTTCAACCAAACAGCCACCTCCTTTCTCTTTCTTCCTTGATTATCCCTTTGAACACTCCTCGCATACCCCTCCATGATAAAGCGAATGGCTGGCAAGTTTGCTCACAAAGGCTATCATCACAAAGGCCTTGATCAGAACGACACATACCCGTTCTCACAAACAGCTTCAGCACAACCAGAATCCTCCTCCGCATCTGCTGTATTGCAATACGACCACCGTGGCTCAATTTCTACGGCACGCACTTCAGCGAGCCTCGACGATGCCGACGCTGGGATGATGGCGATGGGGCTACAAAGGTTCTTGAAGCCCTCAAGACCGAAGGGCACCTATCGTCTACACGATTTCATCATCCAACGTACCCTTGGCACAGGAAGCTTTGGTCGTGTCCATCTGGGTATGTTGCTTTTATGCATTCACCGTACAAAACTGAGGGTGCCACTTAGTTCGCAGCAAACACAATCTGCGGTTTTACGCAATAAAGGTTCTGAACAAAGAACGCATCGTGAAAATGAAACAGGTTGAGCATACGAATAACGAGCAGCATATGCTCGAACATGTACAGCATCCTTTCATCATCAATCTTTGGGGCTCGTTTCAAGATGCTGGTAATCTGTATATGGTGATGGACTTCGTCCCCGGCGGCGAGCTCTTTACGCTTCTACGGAGGTCGAATGTGAGTGTTTCACAACTTTCTTTTGGGCGCCGCGTCTCTAATTTGTTGTCCGATACAGCGCTTCCCTGATCCGGTCGCAAAATTTTATGCCGCTGAAGTTGCCTTGGCGTTAAATTATCTGCATACGCTCGATATCGTATATCGCGACTTGAAGCCAGAGAATATTCTCCTCAATACCGATGGCCATATCAAGATCGCCGATTTTGGATTCGCAAAGTTGTGTATGACGACTACTTGGACACTTTGTGGTACCCCCGACTATCTTGCGCCCGAGGTAAGCTTCATTGTCGTCGTAGTTTGTCTTACGATCTCATTCAATTTTTTTTTTCAACACAGATCGTCAACCAACAGCGCTATAACAAGAGTGTAGACTGGTACGCGTTGGGGGTCCTGATCTTCGAGATGTTATCAGGTCTACCTCCGTATCATCAAGGCGATTCGCCCCCCAACCATTTGGTGCTCTATGAGAGAATTACTAGAGGCCCAGCCTACATCAAGTGGCCGGCGGCCTTCAGCGAGAATGCGACAGATATCATTCTCAAGCTAATGGAGAGCGATCCCTCACGGCGTTATGGCAATCTCCAACATGGGGCTGGAGATGTGTTTGCCCATCCTTGGTTTAGGGAGGTGGACTGGGAGAAGCTGGCTGCGAGGGAGATTACTGCACCCTTCCTTCCTAGAATCAACGGGGACGGTGACGCATCTGCGTAAGTCGAGGTTATACCTTCTGTTTTGTTCATGACTCATCTCTGTATAGATTTGACCAATATCCCGAAGACAACGCAGCCGCAGCATATGGCCTACCCGTCTCGGACGTGTATGGCACGGTCTTCCCCGACTTCGAATATACGAATCCTTTATGAGGGCCATCGCGAACGACATGACTTATGTCTATTAAAATTGTATGTATCACCAAGCTGTTGTGACACTACCACCATCTCGGCTCTTTGGATATTTGTTTTTTACTTTATTATTCCTCAGTCCCTTGTGTTAATTACATACCAGAAATCCCCCAACGAACTCTATCTATACCTACATCGCGCAACCTACGTTTTCCGCATTCACGCTATCACGATTCTGAATGAAAATCATTCGTGAAAACTGGGGAGTCGTGTTTTAAGTGAACGCATTCATGACGGAAAGCGTCGGTGTTTGTTAGCGCCAAACAAAGGGTATCAGACACCTCAAAAAATAATGGACCCAAATCAACTTTCTCGCCAACACAGGGCGCGTCCGCCTGAGCACCACCAGGACTGGCCCCTTTCCCGTTTTCACACTTCTCTTAGCTTCCTCCTTGTCCAAGAACTGCGCCAAACCATCCAGGATCTCGAAAGATCGGCCACCTGCCCTTTGTTTTCCGCGGTTTGAGCGCCAACAACATCCATACGCGTGATTCTGCTATTCATTTCTTCTTGGGTGTCCTCAGTGGGGGTGTTAGCGTCTTATTCTGATGGCTGGGAAAGCGGTGAATGGCACCTCGGATGATGGCGAGAGGACTGGGTCGGTGACGAGGAGTGTGCGTGGGCATGGGAAGAAGGGCAGCGCGGCTTCGGCTTCTGTGAATGGGAGTGGAAAATCGAGGTCTAGGTATGCAAAGAAGGCTGCTGCGCCGAGCCCTATCGTGACGCAAGAGATGATAGAGGCGGAGAGGGCGCTGTTGCTGGCGGAGAAACAGGCGCAGTTGGAGGAGGTGCTGGATAGACATGATGACCTCGTACGTTCCTTCACTTTTACTCCTAGGAAAGTGTAATGATTCCTTTTGTAGATCCGAGAATGCTTTCATATGGAGCATTTCAGATTAATGGCCTCGTTCAACCCAGTGGTTCGTGTCTGACTATCGGTATATCTTCATCTCAGACTCAAGCTCGTTTGTGTTCAGGAATCCAAACAGGATAATTCGCCTGTTTTCAGAGAGGTACGCTGCATACTAGCTGCGTCGATTCACCGTCCCTTACAATCGCTCACCAGTATAAATCCAAATATGACTTGGTCCAACATGCTGCTCCTATTGCGGGCCCATCACGTCAAACACGCAGGGCTCACAACGAACGTCAAAAGGCTCTCACCGCAACACCCTCGATATCTGCGCCTCCTGCTCTCAGTACGTCAAAGAAGCAGAAGAAGAAACTAAAGCCCAAGGCTCCTAATACAGCTGCAATATGGGATATTCTCAGCGCTGCTCGTGAACAAGCGAGAGGGAGAGGAAAGGGAAAGGGGAAGGAAAAAGAGCTTGAACCAGAACCAGAACCAAAATCCGAGTCTGAGTCAACACCAACACCAGAATCAACACGGCCACCCGAATCAGAACCACCACCTGAATCAGCGTCGGCACCTGAATCGACACAAGTGCCAAAAACATTACCAGAACTAGAACGAGGTTTAACACCAAAAACACCACCAGAACCAGAACAACCTCCAGCTCCAGAAATAACACCAGAATTCGCGCTAGAACCAGAATCAAAGTTATTAGAATCCCAGGCTGTGTCTGATGATCTTCCTACCACCGAATTAGATCACGCTGAAGAAGTGCTTGAAGAATCCATCTCTATCGTAGCTACGCCAAGGAACGGTAGACGCCCATCTCCCTTTACCACCGAATCAGGTGCCGAAGAAGTGCCCGAAGAATCTATCTCTATCTTAGCCACGCGAAGGAACGGCAAACGCCCAGCTTCCGCTTTAGAGAGTACAACTCAAGTTGCAAAACGGCATAAGGCTGATAGGAAGGTCGTGTTCGATGACAAGGAGCAGCCATGTCCTCCCGTTGAAGAATCTATAAGTGTGGGGTTGGCGCGAAGGAGCGGGAGATTGAAAGATATTGCCGTTGTGCAACCGCCACTTGCCAAGAAATCACGTTCTGCTCCAGCATTTCGCCCTTCTGAGGTACGTTTAGGCATACGCGTCTTTCTGAATTTCTGCTTGATGTTAATCTAGATACCGCCTCCTCAGACCCCGCAGGAGACAAAAGTCGCACCGACCTCATTAACTCCGACATATAATGTAAAACGAATAAAGCTCATAGTTCGACGACCGCCCTATCAAGTCACAAATCCTCTTCAGCGACCAATCCCTCCAAAATTCAACAACTCGCTATATGGCTTCCTTTCCTCGTATAACATTCTTGACGACAAAGAAGTCAGTGTACAAAAGATAAATAAACTAGCTTTGGCAGAGGCAGCAGTCCACGAACGTGTCGAGAAGTTTCGAAAAGACGGCCGCTTCATCCCAGGGACGGACGCACTCTTTGGCACCAGACCAGAGAAGTTGGTGTACATCACGCCAAAGCGTGTCTCGCGTGATGCATGGGATGATGTTGTGGAGGCTGTTATAGCGTATGGCAAGTCGAGGTCGAAGAAATCTTCTGGGCGAACGGTAGCAGGGCAGGTGGCCAATAAAATACAAGGTTATTGGGATGGGCAGGAGGCGAGGAAGGATAAGGCTCGGGTTCAGGAGGAACGTAGATTGAGGGCGTTGGCAAAGTCGACGATTAGGCAGGTGATTGGGGAGTGGAAAAAGGCTGTTTTCGTATGTTCTTTGTTGTCATTTTTCTAGAATGGGTGAGCTGATGATTACTTGCTCTCATAAAGCATATTCGAGAACAAGAGAGGATGAAGCTTGAAGCTGAGGAGCTGAAACGAGGGCATGCGCATCTAGATGCCATCCTACATCAGTCGGGACACATTTTGGAAACTCAGCAGGGTGATCTCGCACGAGGGGAGATGCTTGCCTCGCGAAGCCGCTCAAGCAGTGTTTCTGACCGTTTTCGAGATTGGGGGTCGGATGAGGAGGAAGAGGAGGAGGAAGCCGATGATGGTCAAGAGGAGCAAGGCGAGGAAGAGGAAGAGGAGGAGAAGGGCCCTGAACCGGTGCTGGAGGGGGAAGAAGACGTTGTAATGGGCGGATCGGATGATGAGGCTCAGTCCTCTATGCTGCTGCCAAGTCAAAAAGTCACTCGTACCTTGACGCCCTCCAGTACCACATCAGGTCCTCCAGAAGAAGAAGACGCATCGACTGGACAACTTTTGCCTGACGAACAACACCGTACAACACCGTCAGACGATGAGTCGTCGATTGCTTCACTGGACGATCTAATGATTCCAGACCCTGAGAGCTCTCCGCGTCAGATACACTCAAACCTTGTGCTCAACCTGACGGACTACCCAGACTCCGACTCATCGCCTTCAACTCCTCGACCCCTGCCCTCAGAAGAAGGAGGTGAAATGTTGGATGAGCCTGAGCTCCCGCGTGCTACTTCTGTCTCATCATCTCGTCGCACTCCTACCTCTTTTGTAGCGGAAACCCCCGCCGATGAGCCTGATGTGCCTATGAATAAGCCAGACGTTGAGATACCTTCACCCTCGAGTCCAGGCGTTGGTCCCAGTGTAGCGCTGGACAATCAGGATCAGGATGTCGAAACGCTTGACAGAAACGAGCCCTTACCCTTCGCGGGTGAAGAAATCCCAGATTTACAACCTGAGGCCAAGGCTGAAATATTTGAAGAGATTCAGGAGGATGAACTGGATGCAGAGGCGCCGGAGTTGCAGATTCCTGCGTACCTCAAGCCATACGCCGTCGCACCTGTGGATTGGGATCCGTCTGCCAAGATTTTGCCTCCCCTCCTGCTTCGTGGCACACTACGGCCGTACCAACAATCTGGATTGGAATGGCTTGTCAGCCTTCATACGAGGAATCACAATGGTATACTTGCGGACGAAATGGGTTTGGGGTTGGTTCAATGCAATACTCTATTACTTGCTTGACTGACTCAACGTGTAGGAAAACCATTCAAACAATTGCGCTTCTTGCACACCTTGCTTGTGACCGTGGTATTTGGGGACCTCATCTTATTGCAAGTCTATTCCAGCTCTTGCCCTCTATGACAATGGTTAACGTCTACCTCCATCTGATAGATTGTGCCCACCAGTGTTCTCCTGAATTGGGAAATGGAGTTTAAGAAATTTCTGCCAGGGTTTAGAATCCTAAGTTATCATGGATCTACCAAAAGAAGAAAAGAACTTCGCCAAGGGTGGAACGATAAAAGCCATTTCAATGTTTGCATCACATCATACACCCTTGCAAGCAAGGACGCCCATATCTTCAAACGCAAAGCTTGGTATTATATGATTCTTGACGAGGCGCACATGATCAAGAACTTCAAATCGCAGCGATGGAACATTCTGCTGATGTTCAGATCATTTCGACGTCTCCTCTTGACTGGTACACCCTTGCAAAACAACCTCACTGAGCTTTGGGCGCTGTTGCAGTTTCTAATGTCAGGGTCTAACTTTGCCAATGTTAAAGAGTTTGCGCTTTGGTTTTCTGGCAAGTGTGTTTGTATAGCAAAGGTCATAGGCTAACATGATCTCCCTCAGCGCCTTTGGAAGCTGCTATTGAAAGAGGGGGAGCCTTGGATGCGGACACAACGGAACGAATTTTAAAGCTGCACACTGTTTTGCGGCCGTATCTCCTTCGTCGGATGAAGCGAGACGTCGAGAAGGAGCTTCCAAGCAAATACGAGCATCTGCTCCTTTGCCCGCTATCGAAACGTCAGAGATTCTTGTACGACGAATTCATGTCTCGTGCACAAACTCGAGAATCGCTGCAATCAGGAGTATACCAAAAGATTGCAAATATTCTGATGCAGCTGCGCAAAGTTTGCAATCATCCAGACCTCTTCGAAGTTCGACCCATTGTGACCTCCTTTGCTATGCCACGGTCGGCCATAGCGGATTTCGAAATCAAAGAGTTGTTGATTCGTAAACGTCTGCTCGCTAATGATGATGATGAGAACATCAACCTGGATTCTCTCGGTTTTCGTTTCATCGATAGGCAAGACGAGCCCTTGTTGACTGCCCTAGAGACAAAACGCCTCGATGCAACATCCCATCTACCACACTTCCTTGATACTCCAGGAGAGCCACCCCCAAAGGACACTCGTACTATCGCCGGATTCCGCCGTTACTCGGAATATTTGCAACGGGCTAACACCATTGCCCGTTGGTCGCAGATTGGACATCTCAACCGCCTTCGCTGTAACCAATTCCCCATTTATGGTCAAGAGTGTATCACGACGGTGCAAAAGATGTGCAGACCAATCATTCCTCTATCCGACCTCGACGTTCGCTTCAATCATCTGGATACTGTCTATTCAGTAAACGCAGCCGTCAAGTCATATGTTTCGCGGGGACAAGAGATGGCTGGTTTGATCGAAAGGTTTGCCTTTGTTACTCCGCCTGTTGTGGCGTTGGATATGCCCCAGATCGTGCTCTCTGGTCACGAAGAGCTGCTTGTCAGCCAACCGCCATCATTCGATGATCTCCTTCATCACGCCAGCGTCAAACTCCAAATTGCCTTTCCACATCCAAGTTTGCTGCAGTATGATTGCGGAAAGCTTCAGGAGTTGGCGAATCTTTTACGTGATAAGAAGGCTGGCGGCCACCGTGTCCTAATCTTCACTCAAATGACCAAGATATTGGACATCCTGGAAATATTTCTGAATTTCCATGGGTATTTGTATCTTCGACTTGACGGTGCTACTAAGATTGAGGACAGGCAGTACATTACTGAGCGCTTCAACGCTGATCCAAGGGTATTTTGTTTCATCGCGTCTTCAAGATCAGGTGGCGTTGGCATCAAGTGCGTTCTTCATTTCTGTTTGGAACCACAGCTCCTGACCGCATTCACAGTTTAACGGGCGCTGATACCGTGGTCTTCTATGATAGTGACTTCAATCCTCAGATGGATAGGCAGTGCGAGGATAGGTGCGTCCAGATCTTATTTTGTGTGAAACCCTCTCACGCCACTCCAGAGCTCATCGTATTGGTCAAATCCGTGATGTTCACATTTACCGCTTTGTCTCACAGCACACCGTCGAGGAAGCGATGCTCCGTAAGGCTAACCAGAAACGATCATTAGACGATATCGTCATACAGAAGGGGGAGTTTGATTGGCGCTCTCTTTTCAATGATGAGGGCGCCTTGACCGCAGCGCTTGGTGATTTCGAAGACGCTGAAGATGCTCATGCTGCTGCTGTTGCTGCGAAGGAAGAAAATGCAATGGAAGGCGCTGATGAGGAGGATTTTGCCGATACTGCTGATGCCGCTCCACCAGTTCCTGCGCCTGACACTGCAACTGTTTCACCTCCAGAAAATGAACCTAATCAGGATGGCACTGTCAATGCTGAAGGAGAGGAGGATCAAGAGGAGGAGGAGGAGGGCGGTACCGTTGTCGATTATCTCCTCACGTTCGCCCAGCGCGATTGGGAATTTTTCAAAGAATGGCGACTGTAGGTATACCTTTACTAATGCTACATTTCGGGAGTATTACTTATGTATCTATAACATAATGATGATGTCTTTGTATAACGAGTTTCGCTGTTGTTTATGAGACGTAGCAATGAGCTCGTATCACGGAATCTTCAAAGTCGAACAGTCGAGAAGTTGGAAGGAAGCAGCGTCGAAAGCACTTATGCAGCAGTATTAACAAGAAAACAAACGAATCGAAGGGCGAAGTTGGACCAAGAACAGGGGGCTGGCAACCCAAAAGCTAAAATGTGTTAGAATCAGCACTGCAGATGTTTCCCCCAAAGAGGACATACCAAAGTCAATCTAAAGCAGCTATAGAGTAATCATGGAGCACTTAATATTTCCTGCATCGCGGTCATATGTTGTTCAAACGGAGCGAACATCGCCTTGAACTCTGCAGCACTTTTGGGAACATCGGTTGGTGGTGGTAGTGGCTTTTGTAAGCTTTCTGCCACACCTGCGAGGATGGCTTGCAGGGTTGGGTCTATCTTAGACTGCGAGTCCTGAACGTGCTATTGTAAGGTTTATGAACATAGAGGAGTTCATAAAGACTCACATGATACGGGGTATGCGGAGCATGAGGCTCGGAAATGCGAGATAACGATGGTAAGATTGGAGACTGAGAAGGATCGGATTTGAATGTATAGTCCGTTGGTGAGGCCAGTGGTTCGGGAGATGTGGTATCTGATGGTGTCAAAAGCCTCTGGCCATTCCCTTGGGCCATTTGAACTCGGTGGGTAACCCAGGCGATCACGTCCTGCCGAGTGGCACCAAACACGCCGAGAAGCTTCGCCCACACCTCTATCACATCCGGAGAGGGATTGTTTTGTGCTTGATAGAGGATGGCGAGGTTTGCGAGGGCTTGCTCATTTAAAGTTGGGAAGTCTCCCAAAAATGATAAGCTTTTTGCTGCAAGTTCTCGATAAACCAAGCTCACAATGATGTTGCCCGAGTGACGCCTCCCCGGATGAGACAGGTGTATTGACGCGGCGTTGGAACCACGCCTTCACATGATGAGATTTGTAGTAGTCGTAGCTGGGACTCAGCCCCTGTTGTGGATTGGTAGATCAGATAAGATCCACAAGTGGTTGCAGACAAACACGCACCCGGATTTTATCCAAGAGCACTTTTGTTTGGAAGCGATCTGGTACGACGTTTGGATGTTCCTGTTGAAACTCTGCATTCCAACAATGGGAGGGGAAATCAAAGTGTTATGAAATGTTTATTTACCTTCTAAAACATGGCTACCATCAGCTTTGAGCCGTTTTTGACTCTTAGATGGGGCAAGTACAGGCTTTGATGGTCCAGCGAGAGCTGTAATTGATTGTGGAACAAATTCCATGTAGTTGATGGTGGATGTTGGTTTCAACTGCAAGGTTCTTTTTAGGAAGTTGGGTCTATGTCTGGCACTGTGTTATTCCAGTGGCAAAAAATTGATTCCAGGTAAACTCTGGTCTCAGTTTTGGCCTTGTGATATTCCTAGAATCTTGGGCAACAGGCCCTCACACATCGAGAGGGATGAAGTGGGTGAACAGGGGGGTTAAAAGAGAAAAAGCATGGCAAAGGGTCTTTATATAGAAGCCCATAAAGATTAGCATGCCGAGGATGGCGAATTTGAAATGAGCGGCTGTTACCCCTGAGTAGATATGACATGTGAATGTGGTTTGAACAAAAACAGGGAAAAACATTCTCTCCTACATCCAGCAACATCGTGGCACTGATCGATGATCGATGGGAAGCGATTCTCCTTCCGAACAACTCTCAACAAACAAACTCATGGGTGGAGTCAGAGATAGCAACATTATTAAGGAACATGCAAATCCTCAGGTTCGGCGGACCCAATATTATCTAGAAGCATCGGCCCCTTGCAATGCAACTTAGCCTTGAGAGCCCAAATTTTTTCTGTGCAGAGTTTTTGACAAGATGCATGCATGGCAAATGTTTTTAAAACGGAACCGAAACTTTCAACTTTCAGGCTGTCAAGCCCCAACTGAACCCATTGAGGCCAATTGCAAGGTCAGAGAGTCAGCCTGAATTCATCTCCACGGTGGTTTGCAGGTTAATAGGATCGATTTTATAGAGCTCAAATCTCACGATGACATTTACACGGTCCTGACAAAATTCCAGTCCGAAGGCTTGGTCCATAGCAGATGCCTGATGCATGAAGGAGAAGATGTGCACATTGATAAAAATTGATGAAAATGTGGCATCTCAAACGGATGTACTCCAAATGATTCCGAGTCAAAAGCAAGCAGGCATATCCTACTTTAGCATGTGGAAGCCTTCCGGCAACGGGAGGTGCTCATCTTAATCCGGGAGCGGGTCATTGTTGAGTACTGCTATAGACCAAAGCAGGCAGGCATCCATGGGGGAATCGACAGTGTCGTTACCATAACTTGAAATTTTCAAAAGGAAATGTGGGAGCTTTTGTGAGCTTGCCGCGGTGACGGTCATTCTTCGGGGCAGCCCCAAGCTTTGAGTCCGAACTGAAATGTTCGTTCTCCTCATACACAAAGCTTGCCGCACACGATATGCACGGCTCATCTATCATCATTCCGGAGAATGAGCGAAGGTTCCGCAGTGGTGGCTGACCCGGTCGCGGTATGATATTCACATGCTATTTCGCGCATTTCATGTGTCTTACTATTTTATTAGCTCGCATTCTCGACGTTCACTTTTCTGAATATACGCTGGCCACGACCACCTTAGCTTGCCTACGACTTCGTTGAAGAATGTCTCGATCCGGTAACAAGAAGCCCGTCGGTTTCGCCACCCACATCACCGCTGGAGGGATCGCAGGCGCATGCGAGGCTGTAGGTTTTTCAAATTTTGCGTACGCAATAACTAACGCACATCCTTTCGCGGATAGTTGGTATGCCAGCCGCTCGATACCATCAAAGTTCGTATGCAGCTCTCGAAGTCGGGGCGCGCACCAGGGGTAAGTGAGACACAATTTGATCACGAAGTATCGCTCATCGTTATAGACGAAACCCAGAGGGTTTTTAGCGACTGGTTCCTACATCGTACGGCGTGAAACGCCCCTCGCGTTGTACAAGGGTCTCGGAGCAGTGTTGTCGGGAATCGTGCCGAAGATGGCCATTCGGTTCGCAAGTTTTGAAGCGTACAAAGGATGGTTAGCGGATAAAGAGACCGGGAAGACAAGCGTCGGGATGATCTTCATTGGTACGCCACTAGATCACATTTATTACTTTTTGTTTGACGAAGAATATTCAAGCTGGTTTGGGTGCTGGAACGACGGAAGCCGTCGCTATTGTGACGCCAATGGAGGTTGTCAAGATCCGATTGCAGGCTCAGCAACACTCTTTAGCTGACCCGCTGGAGGCTCCACGATACCGAAATGCAGGACATGCGGTCTATACCATTATTCGCGAAGAGGGGTTTTCAGCGTTATATCGTGGCGTTTCTCTTACTGCCCTAAGACAGGCCACCAATCAGGGTCAGTACGCCGCCTCGATCTTCTTCAATTCTGGACCCACATGAGTCTGTAGGCGCGAATTTCACGGCATACCAGGAGATCAAGAAGCTCGCGCACAAATGGCAACCTGAGCTCGTCGATTTACCTTCATATCAACATATGGTCATTGGTCTCATCTCTGGTGCTATGGGACCCTTTTCAAATGCTCCCATCGATACTATAAAGACGCGTACGTCTCTTTCCTTGTACCTCCTCGATTTCTCTTCATCGCAGTCTATTTCTCAGGTCTACAAAAGGCTCCTGCCATACCAGGGCAATCAGCATTCCAACGCATCTTTGCGATAGCATCGGACATGTGGAAAATCGAGGGTGTGAGTTCATTCTACAAAGGTATAACACCCCGCGTGTTGCGCGTCGCGCCTGGGCAGGCCATCGTATTCGCTGTGTACGAAAGGGTGAGCACCGTCATTGAGAATATCAAGCCTCGGGTACAGGAGGACGATGGGTACGCTGAGTAATGCGGCTTTACGACCAGTGGTTTACATATTTCATTTTCTTTCTATTCCATTATTTAGCATACCAATGTATCATGCATTCATGGAGTGAACAGGCGAGATCGGCTATCTAAATTTACCAATAGCCGCCCACCATTTTGCACACTTACATAAACTCCACACTTCTGGTTCGCACTTTCTAATCGTTCCTCTCACTCTCAGTGCCATCAAATACCTCTTAGACATTAGGTGCTATTAGTCGCCGTAATACCCATATTCATGGCTGCAAAAAGAACTGTCCTAGTATTGCATGGGTCAGTGCCAACATTTTACTACCAAGGTGAAACTGAACGACTTGCCATAGATACTCGCAGAATGGAAGCATATTCAGCAAACGAGTCAGTCTTTCAGTGCACTGGGCATCTTCAACAGTGACTGACTTCCACCGTAGCTTGGAGCGCTGCGCAAAGAATGCGCAAAGGACATTGACTTTGGTGAGTATGGGTGGTGTCCTTCTTGAGTCTTCCTTTCAACCCTCAATTGAATATAAATTGCAGTGTTTCTCGACGCCCCCCACATCCTCAAGCCAGCAGAGCTGGCCCACCAAGCGAATAGGATGCAATCCCTTGGTCTTCGAGCTGAAATACAGTCAAACGAAGCTACAATCGCCGAAACGGATCCAGAGTCGCCGCCCCGGGCATGGTGGAAGGCGTCGAAGGATAGAACGAAGGCGTTTGGGTTGGAGGAGTCGATTTTGGTGGTTAGGGCCGCGTTGAAGGAGAGGAAATTTGACGTGCGTTCTTTTTCTTCTTTTGCACAACGTTGCGCTGACATGGGTTGGTTAGGGCGTTCTTGGCTTTAGGTGGGTTCATGACAAAGTATCGTGAAGAGTGTTCTGATACTGCACTTTTTGCAGCCAAGGTGCTGCGTTCGCTGCTGTGATATCAGCTTTGGTGAGCATCATCTTTATTCTTTCCTTCCACGAGGACATCTAACAAGTTACGCGCTGTTCATAGTTAGAACGACCTGAGCTGTATCCGCCTTTTATGGTCAATGATCAACCTCCACATCCGCCTTTGTACGTTGAATTTTGATACGTATTTCCTTTCTCACTCACAATTAACCTTAGCGAATTTTGTGTTGCGGTATCTGGATTCAGACTCAACGACCCTTTTTGCCATCCGCTGTTCACGCCTTCCTACTCCACCCCCACGCTACATATTCTAGGAAAGACGGATGTAGTCGTTGTTGAAGAGCGGTCAAAGCAACTGATCGACGTTTCGAGTAATAAACGCGTCGAAGAACATGCTGGTGGTATGGCGCATACCATCTTTACGATTAACCTCAGTAATATGAACATGAGCAGGTCATTTTGTTCCGTCCAAGGGCAACTGGCGTAAATTTCTAGCTGCATATCTCAAGAACCCCTCCGCCCCTCACCCATCGCCAAGCCTGTCGGAGCCTGTCGAGGTCATCAGACCGGAGGGAGTGCCTCTATCGGGGTTAGGATTGGGACTACGTTTATGATCAAGATCAAACACTTTCATGCGTACTTCAATGGGTGACGATAGGAATTACTGGTTAGTCTGCCCGACTCGGCGAGGGCATTGCTAACGTTATTCATCAGGAACTGTGGAGGGTACTCAAAGCCGCAATCACGGCTTACATAGGTCTATGTAGGTCGCATATAGGTTCGGTTAGGTACCCCCCCAACTTTCTGATGTTGGGAAGTAATAGAATTACAAGACGGATCAAACCCACAGGCTGTTTTTAATTAATAAGGCATGTGTGCGGTACATTGCGGCTCATTCACTGGTAATAATTAGTTATCTCGGATCCAGTCGATGTCAATCCCTGAGCGCTGAGCTGCCATGAAAAGCCAGGACGTCATAGGTTCATCTCTGTTACTGTATTATGTTTGAGAGAACAGACTTTACTATTTAGCCTATTTAGCAGCTGGGTGCCTCTGAACTTTTGGTTCATCTTTGGACTCGTTCAGTCCAATAGCAGAGCGACGTGAGTGTTATCAATTCTTGATCCATCTAGGTCTGACAGCTAACACGAGACTGTTTAGTGTTCCTCACCTCGCACCCGCCGTGAAACGGAGGGGATAGCCGATTACAGGGAACACTAAGTTCCCCCATGAGATCAAGCTCGTTGGAGTGGAATCTGAGATCACGCCTCATGACTTGTGACACAAAAAAAAACCAAGGGCTCATGGTCTTTGAAGGGGCATTTGTGGCTTGACCGCCCTGTGGACTCCACTCCTGTGGATGGTTGTGGGCGTAGACTCGGACATGCAGTAGTCATAATGTTTCTAAGCAGGCCTGGAGCGGTGTTAGTTGCTACGTTATACGTACTTGTAGTAGCTGATGTTCTTACTCTAAGAATACTGTTGCACGGCCTCGGATAACAAGGCCTGATGCGTACCCACTTTCTTCGGGCTGACATTCACCTTTTTGATGATGAGGCTTATTTCCTACGACAAGTATACCTGCACATGGGTTGCTGTTGGGATGGGGATGCCACAGCTAATCGAAGCGTGACCCTTCGGGGAGAAAGCATGGTGATGGTCCCGCTTTCCATGATGATCTTACGGGATAAGTCCCGCGTCCGACTATCTTGCAGCGTTGAGTCGCAAATAGCGTCGGGCCCGAGCACCCCGGTACGACCGTTATAAGATATCGGCCTTGGGGATCACTCGAAGGTTCTCGGCAGGGAATATAAAGCTAGAACTGGTGATCGATGGCGTAGATCTTCACCATTGTGTTTACCTCTCGCTCTTCTGCGAGCCTAAGCTGTAATTAGAGTTCGATGTCTGGACTTGCAGGAGTTGACACTTTATTGTGTGGCTTCAGCAGAGCGCTTTGCTTCAACTTGGAGGTGGCTATGCGACAGCAGGGCATTTCCGCATTCATCTGTAATCATTGAATCAATCTTCTTGGACTTCTTGTTCGGACGGTTCCATTTGTAAAGCTTTCCTCGGGCGAAGTTCATTCAGGGGTCCACAGAGGGTGAGTTCAGGCAGGTGGTCGGGTGCTGGTGAATTGTTTCTGAAGGATAAAAATGTGGATTGCACAGTCGTCGGTATGATCTCGGCCTGAAGCCACAAAGAGAACAGGGTGTTCGGGCTAAAAGATCCAGCAGATGTGACTATGTGACAAGTTCAATGTCGAGAAACAGACGCACACAAAGGATATTTGATTTCTTTGGAATTATTAGTTCTTACTCTGTTCTTTGCCACTGTACTCCTCGTCTTCTACAACAAGTCGCGTCTCCTTCTCCTTGTTTCTGTACGCGCGCACCTTCAAAATGCCCCCTTGGACACCACAGCCCGCCGCCTTACAGGAAATCCTGCAGACCATCCATGAGTCCACCGCTACCAGTACCGCCGTCCAGCGTAATATCACTCAAGTACGCCACCGATCTTGTCTTCTCGTCTTTGCACGTCGAACACCGCTGACCTTGCACTATCTTTTCAGAAACTTAACCAGTTTACGCGCTCTCCCGAGTATATCGCCTATTTGGCGTACATCTTGAGTTCTATGCTGCAAGAAGAGGATCGTATACGAACCATTGCAGGTTTTTTGCTCAAGAACAACGCTCGCTACATCCTCCAAGCCCCGCCAGAAGTTGCCGAGTTTGTGAAGGTGGCGGTACTACAGGCGTTCAATGATTCCTCCATCATGATTCGAAACGCGGCAAGTCAAGATATCGTAACATTCCTTGGAGTCCTTGAGCCCAAGAATTGGCCAGAGTGTCTACAGCAGCTCGTAAACGCGCTTGATTCGGCCGATTTGGACAAACAAGAGGTAAGTGAGCTTATCCGTTTTTTACTGGTTGTCGTCGGTGGCGCAATTCCTGTGTGGATGGCTTAGCAAACAATGTGTTGTCTTCGAATTCACCGGCGCTACCATCGTGTCGCGTTTTCTCTTTCGATTTCAATGATTTCGTTTCTCAACTGTTGACATCGCGTTTTTCAGGCTGCCTTCAATGCGTTGGAGAAAGCTTGTGAAGACTACCCTCGCAAGATGGACGTTGAAATCTCAGGCACACGGCCCCTTGATTATATGGTTCCAAAGTTCCTAATGCTGTCAGAGCATCCCTCTGCAAAAATGAGGTCTCATGCAGTGGCATGTCTTTCGTACTTTGTCCCAGTAAATTGCCAATCCCTTTACGTCCACATCGATGCATTCATCGCATGCCTGTTCAAACGGGCCTCTGACGACGATCCTTCTGTCCGTCGTCACGTCTGCCAGGCACTGGTCCTCCTCCTGGCAGCTCGCCCAGAGAAATTGATGCCAGAAATGCCAAATGTCGCGGAATACATGCTCTATTCGACAAAGGACAAGAACGAGAACGTCGCGCTCGAAGCTTGCGAATTCTGGCTCACCTTTGCCGAGGATGCTGAACTCGTACCCTACCTGCATCCATTGCTAGAAAAGGTAGCCCCGGTGCTTTTGGATTGTATGATTTATGGAGAGGACGACCTTTTATGGTTGGAAGGAGACGCAGAGGATGCTGCTGTTCCCGACAAAGAGACAGATATTAAGCCCAGGCACTATGGAGGAGGCAAATCTCACGGACTTGAGCGTGACGCCAACGGAGGCGAGGGTGACGCAGCTGAGGCGCCGAAGCAGAAGCTTAGCGCTTATGGCGAGGAAACTTATGATTCGGACGAAGAGGATGACTATGATCTTGATGACGATGACTTCGCTGATGAAATGTCAACCGAATGGAATTTGCGGAAATGTGCCGCGGCTGCCCTTGACGTCCTCGCCGTTCGCTTTAGTGCCGACCTTCTCAACGTGCTTCTTGGTCCCCTAAAGGATAAGTTGTGGAGTACCGATTGGCTCCAGAGAGAGAGCGGTATTCTTGCTTTGGGCGCGATGGCGGAAGGTTGGTCATTTGCATACTCTTTCGGTCCATCGGACTCACAGTTGTCGACAACGTGCAGGTTGCATTGAAGCAATTGAGCCACACCTCCCGACTCTTATTCCATATCTTATCAACACTCTCAATGATCCCAAGGTACGCAGGCAATCGCCCTTCAGGATCAAGACTCTGATCCCTGTCTAGCCTCTTGTGCGGTCGATTACGTGCTGGACTCTTGGCCGCTACGCGAGCTGGACCACACAGCCGATCTCGGAAGAACACAAGAGCCAGTACTTCATTCCGACTATGGAGGGTGTATGTTTTTATCCCCGTCGACACCTGTTTACGACTTATTCTTCCTTAGTTGCTACGGATGGTCTTAGATGGCAACAAGCGAGTTCAAGAAGCAGGCTGCAGTGCCTTTGCAACTCTAGAGGAAGATGCTGGTCCTGAACTTGCGCCTTATTTGGAGCCTGTACTACGGAATCTTGTGGTCGCGTTTGACAGATACCAGCACAAGAATATGCTTATTCTGTATGACGCCGTTGGAACGCTTGCGGATGCTGTGGGCAGAGCGCTACAGAACCCTGCATATGTTGACATCCTTATGCCGCCATTGACCAATCGATGGGCGAAGTTGAAAGATGATGACGATGACTTGATTCCGTTGTTGGAGGTACTTCTCGCATTGTATATTTCTGACTGGCTGTGGTTATTGATTAACCTTTTCTTCGCAGTGTCTCGCATCAGTTACCATCGCCATGGGCCAAGCATTCCTGCCTTATGCGCCGCCCGTCTTTGAACGATGCACTAACATCATCCATACATCCCTCCTCCAATACCAACAATACCAGCAAAACCCGGAACTGGACGAACCTGACAAATCCTTCCTTGTCGTCGCACTAGACCTCCTCTCGGGCTTGACACAAGGACTCAGCATGGCCCTTGAGCCTTTGATCCGAGCAAGCCACCCGAACCTTTTGAGCTTGCTTACCGTATGCCTGAAACACCCCAACGCCCCTGTGAGGCAATCGGCGTATGCTCTTGTGGGCGATATGGCCATGGGATGCTTTGTGTTGTTGCGCCCGCACATGCCTGGTATCATGAGTGAACTGATCTTGCAATTGGATCCCGAGCCCAAGTTCGAGTTCATCAGTGCTTCAAACAATGCTGCGTGGTCTGTTGGTGAAGTTGCTCTGCGGTATGGCAGAGGTCGGTCGTTCAATCTGGCCATTGACATCAGTAGCTAACGAATTGCGGTCACAGATGATGCTGAATTCCAGCAGTGGGTAAACCCCTTGATCGCCAGATTGGTACCCATCTTGTTGCACCCCAAAGCACCGCGAAGTCTGCACGAGAATGCTGCGGTTTCGATAGGTCGCATTGGGCTGATGCATCCAGCGCTAGTAGCCCCCCACCTTCCCGAGTTCGCTCAGGCATGGTGCCAGGCTCTCTATGAGATTCGGGATAATGAAGAGAAGGATTCTGCTTTCCGTGGTCTCTGTGTTCTTGTGCAGACGAATCCTCAAGGGATCGCAAAGGCATGGGTCTTTCATTCTTTGTTATGTTCTTTCGTGCTTACCGCCCTTGTGTAGAGTTTGCTCTGGTTCTGCAACTCGATCGTCCGCTGGAATCAGCCGTCGCCGGAGCTGAACAATATGTTCCAAACTCTGCTCCAAGGGTTTAAGGCACACGATGCTGCTGGATGGGCAGCCCAAGTGGCCTCATTCCCGCCCGCAATTCAGGAACGTCTGGCGACGCGATACGGTGTATAAATCGGTTGCATACAAAGATGAAATCGATCACCTCACGAATTCACGAGTCCACCTGCTCTTTCCTGCTCATTCTTCCGAGCGCAATGTTCTATCGTGCTTGTATGGTCCTGTCTCCAATCTCAGTTTCACACACTCTCTATTGTCTCTTGCATCTGGATCTTTTAGTAGTGTAGTCTTTTCCCGCATTTTCTCTGGTTCATCCCAAACGTATAACTGTGTCCATTAGCTCCTTCCGATCCGATTCCATTCCCCCCCTCCCCTCTTCGCGTACATGCATACAATCTCATATCATTTTTACGTAGCATTAGTCAGTAGTTACAATTGTAGTGTAGTCTTTCTCATCACAATCCTGCAAGTAGATACAATTCACTCTCTCTTTCTCCTCGATCGCTCTACTTCTTGTACAGAACAGTCACTTTTGGGCATTTGAGAAAGAGATTGTTGTATAGCCATTCTCTCTATCGCTGTAGCACAAACCAATGACGAATCAATCTCTTGAATCTAAGCTCCTGCGCTGGAAACCGAATAATATATCTATATCAAACTATACAATAATACGCACAGCGCCTATGCTAGTTACTTGCATTTTAGAATCGCTTGCTGTTGGAGTAAATATTCCCAAAGCTGTCTCCGCCTCCCATTCCCAGCCCACCAAAGCCACCACGACCACCATATCGCTGTCTTCGCTGGTACTCCTTGTACCCATAGAATCCACCAGCGCACACGCCTCCGAACAAGACAAGCTTGAACAGGAAGCCCAGCCATGAACCTTCTTCGTCTTCGTCTTCCGAGGCGGACTTTCTAAAGGGGTTTTTCCTTGGTTTGCTGTGTTTATCGCGAGGAGAGTCGGGTGAAGTGAGGATGGCGGAGTAGGTGGTTACTGATATGATGCTGGAGACAGGGTTACAGATAGATGGCAGGAGGAAAACTCGTCAACATACTCATGTGCATCGGACACGTCGCCAGTCATAGCGGAGAAGCCAAGGAAGGGGTTTGCGGGGAGGGAGATGTCTTTGATGTAGAAGCAATCGGACCAGTCGTCCCCTGTTGAGAACTTGTGTTAGATGACGAAGAAATTAAAAAAGAATATGAGCTAACAAGCTTTGTGTTGGATCTTGACCTAGAAGCGGAGCAATCAACAATAACGATAAAATGAGTGTGTATGTATGTGAGAGACTAACATCAAGGAATGTGTCTTTAACATATGTGACTTTCAGCTTTGTGGCGACGTTTGTTCTGCGGAAGTTTGCCTGGTAGCACTTCAATATAATTCTTTTGTCAGAGGGAGGGGTGACGTACAGAGCATGCGCCGATAGCTTGAGAGTCTCCGTCGTTGGCCAGGTCGTACTTTGTCTTGCCGTCACCCAGTATACCAACGATTCTGGGGAAAGAATATGTGTGGCGTCCATTTGCGTATGTGTCGAGGAAAATTCCAAGACCATTGAATTGGTCTGGGAAATTGTGGGTATGGAAATGATTCTGAGAAGGGGAAGAGGTACGAACCTATGCTCCCAAAGACTGGGCCAGGTTGAGCCCTGTCGGTCGTTAGCCACAGGGCCACACCATCGCCGTAAAGATGTGAGGAGTCTCCAGAAATCTTGAACTCCGCCTCGATGACAAAGTTTGCTGCGGTCAGAGCGAGGCGAGACCATAACCAGCCCTTTGAATTTGTGTGAGTGGTGGAGAGGTGGAGAGGCGTTTGTTGCATACCATTTGAGATGGGACATTTCTCGTTAGACGAATGTGCTTGTACGTGTTCTGGCGCAATCACATTAACGACTCCAAAGGGCATCTCAGTTGTTCATCTTAGACGTACCACGTATGCATCCGCGCCAAAGTCCCACCAACTTAAATGCTCGTCAATAGAGAATCTGGATTGGTGGAGTCACAAGACTTACCGATTTTGCAAATCCTGGTCAATGTATGGGGCATATAGCGAGTGTGTCCGTAGCTGGACAGTCTGCATATGACGAAATAATTAACATCCGTTCATAAGCCGACCAAGTAAAATTCGGAGCGTTTTGCCCGTCTCCTCCTTGTCGAATTTCCGAACAAAGTCTCACCCTATCAATTGTACTATTCCCTAAACGTGTTTTATCGTCCGTCGCAGCTTCAACGAATCCGACGAGGAGGTTTGAAATGAGAAGGAGTAGCGAAAGCACGCTGGTCCAGCGCGAGGACATTTTCGGCTTGCAACGTAAAGTATTTGTGCGCAGAGGTCGTCCTACGAGTTTTCTAAGCCGCCAAGTATTGCTCAAGGAAAGAACGGGGATGAAAGGATGGTGGTCGTCGCCGAGTCGTTTGTAACTTTTGGCCACGAATTGAGGGGATCACATGATGTGGGCGCTGAATACAAGATTTCCATGATACAACAATTCCTGGCATCCTCTATCGCGCTCTCTGTCCGCCTTTTACACAGAACAATGTTGATAATAGGTCTTGGTGCGCTCACAACTTGGTCGCGAACTAGAAAAACTACATCGCTGGGTCTATGGACATCGGCGCATTCGGAAAATCCTGACGGATAGTTGTTGCACTTGGTCACTCCCCTATCGAATCCAAAGCGTCGACGGCACATGTCCCTGCATTCAGCTCTTCGCATACGATTGAGGGATCCACTCGCTTGCGAGTCAACGTGAACACCCACTTGGAGCGATTTACACTGTCGTTGAGGTTTACCTGGAGGCGACGATGCATGAGGTGCATATGAGACTTTTTGCAGAGGACAGTGCGCCGTTCGGATGAGTGAGTTATAGGCCCTTCAGAATTGGATTTACTAACCACTTCCGCTCCCATTCCTCCTCTAAGCTACGAACGCACCTGCTTCATCCTCTACTTCACTTAATCCTCGCAATCTTCTCTCTGTGCTGCGAAGTTTGCTAGACGCCCGCCTTGACCCATCCCCTGCTCCATGGCACGGACCGTAGGTCGCATATACACCTCTTCCAATTTTGGTCAAGCATGCTGCACGACCGTAAACCCAACTCTTCACTGGCACCTGCCGCTGTAACCCGCATTCCCGCCTTTTGGCATCATCAATGCCAGAACCGTTATTCTTTGGTGTGAATGCCTCAGGCAAATGAAGCAATGTATATATTGCCATGAGTCGTCGCGTAATTCCTACATCTATAGATGCCTAGCGCAGTGTGACGCGTTTGTCAAATGCCTACCCAGTTCATCTTCATTTATACCAGTCCTCGTCATCGTAAATCGTCGTCAAAAAGCAATTATGGCAAGCGGCACTGTGTAAAATATTGTGGGAGATAACGAAGTTACGATTAACATTGTGCAAGTTCTGGTTGTAATTTGAGTATCACAACATAAATCGGTCAATCTACAGGCTCTACAATGCGCTCAATCGAAAGAAACATCCTGGCTTTGCCGACGTTGAACCTAGAGAGTCGCGCGCATATTGATGCCGTTCCAGTTCTTCGACTAAAACCCGAACAGAGACTGACGCTTGAAGCTGAAAAACTCCACACCATCAACTACTGCTACTAAGATTTAGACTTAAAGATGTTACGCTTACCTTGCTCGTAGTACGGGCATAGATTGGAGCCATTGGGTGATATACCATATAGCATCAGGAATAAGGTAACCGAGAAGCTCTGAGTACTGGGCGAGCTTTGGCAGAGGAGAATGACCAAATAGCCATATAGCTGGGCGCAACCGATCAGACGATCGATGTATGTGAGAGGTCTGCCTGCGGCCACTGGCAGAGAGTTGATGTTGGTCAACGAGCTCGGTGTGGAGGCGAGTTCGTTAAACGGATTAGACCATGGCGACGTTTCTTTCGTGAGTCGATGCACCAAGGAATGCAAGTGGCCGCGTCGTGCGGGGTGGACGTAGGGAAGATGGTACGATCATCGAAGTGGGGCTTGCGTGGGTGCTGTGGAAGGAAGACCTGAGTAACGGATGGGGACAGTCAGCGAGGCAAAAGATCGAATATATGCGAGATGATAAGGAGTTCAAAGCCTGAGAAAGGGGAATGAATAAGCAACGCAAGGTTGATAACTTACCAAAGGAAAGATGGCCGTCATCCCCACTCTCCAGCTTCTGACCGAAGCTTGCACTTATGATCGGGAGGACGGCGGTGACCTAGCATGGTGTGCGGATCTTTTGGAGACCGTATTAGCGTCGTTGGGCTGGGCATCGTTGGTAACGCCAGCCAGGTCCGCAATTGAAAGGCCAGACGTTGTCGACTTGTAGGAAAAAAATATTGACGATCAACGAAGTCTCCTCCGTCACATGATAAGTGGCTTCGAGCGGTTTGCTGGGTGGGAGTCCAAAGATGGAGTTGGAGCAAAAGAAATTCTTATCCAATCCTGTTTGTACCTTTGTCGTACCCGAAGAAATATCTAGTTTGCGGTCTTGTACGCTTTAGAAGCATGGCGCTCGTAAACGAGGTTAAGAGGACCGTAACTGTCGTAAAATCATCTAGACTGGGGGCATCGGAGGGATGGGGAGGGGGGGAATGAAGTTTGGTTGTGGCACAAAAGGGAAAACGAGGTAAAGTGGAAAGGGGACCAGATTTAATGGAAGGAGGAACTCACTCTGAACTGATGCACTCAAACATCTTTGCATTGAAGCCCGTGTACTAACTCTTTGCGCATCGTTCGAATCTCAACATCTTCCGGCTCTCTTTACATCAGTACATGTGGACGAAAGTGGCCATCGGGTTTCCTTTTGATCGCAGCGGGAGGTCGGGTAAGGATTTCCAGACGATGTCGGCAGTGGCTGAACGACCCAGAGAGGAAACATTGGATGACTAGACGAGGGGGGTTCGCGGGGGAGTGCTTCGAGACTGAACAAAGACATCATTGACTTGACAACAACGAATTTGTAGGTAGGAGGGCCCATAGGTGGGTCGCAGGGCATCTTTCCTGGTGAACGTCAGGCGCTTTGGGAAAGCGGAGTTGTTTCTTCCAAACAAACAGTCACACCACGCCAGCGCCTGACCACGCATCTTCCTCTTAACTTCCATCTTGTCGTCTAACAATGTGTATCCCAACCAATTACCCTTTCCTCAAACCGTTTTCTATTGTGAAGAAAGCGATCACGAGATCACGCCCACCAATTCGTCAATCCACGGACATCGCTAGCAATGATTTAGTTCGTCCGAGCTCTGACCCTTCTATCTTGATAACTCCATCTTCGACAATCCGTGCGGCGGACATAGCCACGCCAGTCACCAGTAAGATAAATTCTAATATTCCAGCCTCAAAGTAAACATTGATCACTAATTGAATCAAATTTGCAGGTGAAGTCCCAGGGGAAGGAGTGGTTGAGTGCTCACAACAAGTTTTCCCTATCTCCGCAGGTCTGCATTAATCCTAAACCTCTAACATTCAACATTGGTAACACTGATCAGATTCCATGACTTCTCACCTGTCTACCTGTCCACCAATTGCTGCTGTTCTGAACATAGGCCTGGCGTCAGTGGGTACTGGTATGACTGTTGCCTGTAAGATACCCCTTGATTTGTTTTCTATGAAGTTGATGTTGACCTTCATCAATTCTAATCTCATAGTGGATCAGGATGAAGGCCATGTAGAAGGGGCTGTTGATTTCTTGCAACACCCTTCTCTTATCTTGACTGGTTCATCCTTGCTCCAAATCTATATTCTATTTCTGATAACTCTGCATAGATCCTCCAAGTTCTGACTTGCCTACCTCTCTAACCATTCCCTCTGCTCTGAATGCAGAAGTAATGCCTACCAGTCAGTACTTTTCTAATTTTTTAGTTCAGGCTTGCTCAAATATGACAGACTATGGAGGGTTTTCAACAAACCTTCAAGCTGACATAATAAACATCATTTCAGCTCAAAATGTGAACACAGCTGCTATTAGTGGTTTGTTGCATTTGGATCATCACATTTTCTTGCTTTCACTTATATTTTCAATAGGTACTATGAATCAAGGTAAGTAAGAAAAGTATCATACTCATCTTAATGTTAAATTGTGGTTGGTAGGTGTGGACTCAAATATTCAAATCACACTTGAGATGATTAGGGATGAACAACTGGGTATTATTATTGCAGGTTCTTGTTGCAAATGTGTAGTTGACTTTATTTTTTTGTTACAGTGGAGAAGATCTACAAGTGGCTTTCTCCACCTAAGGAGTCTCTTAACTACAATGCTGCAAGTGCAATTTTGGAGGGTCAACCAGACACCTGTCAATGGTTTCTCAATGGAAATGCATTTCATGGGTGGGTCAAACAGCCTGGTTTTCTCTGGATCAAAGGAAAATGTAGGTTTTCTGTCAATTTTGTAGATATCTGTGTTATTGACATTCTATCCAGCTGGCTCTGGGAAGACCATTCTAAGGTTGATAATTCTGATATTTTCATGAAATTGACTGATTTTCCTGTTGCAGCTCAGCAATAATTTACAAAGTTCTTCAGACATTCAGTTCTGCTACTGCATATTTCTTTTTTGATGGGAGAGACTCACAGAAAGATTTCCAGCTGCATGATAAACTGATCCGATCACTCATCTGGCAATTCTCTCTCAAATGTGAGGGTGGAGTGCCCAAAGTCCTAGTTAATCTGTATGCATACTGTGGCAATGGCCATCAAGAGCCAACTCTGGGTGATCTGCAGAGTACTCTTCAAAAAATTCTTGGTGGATTTAGCTCAACATTTATCATTCTGGATGCTCTTGATGAGTGTATTGAAAGAGAAAAGCTTCTTAACTGGATTCATATTTTTGTTCTGGGGAAAGATATAAATCTTGGGCTTCATATGATAGTTACTAGTCGCCCAGAACAGGAGATTGAGGACAAGCTGAAGTTTTATCATCATCTTGACTTGGTTGAGGAGTCTGAGAATCATGATCTTGTAGCCTATCTTGACTATCAGCTTCAGAATGACTCTGACTTGCAAAAATGGAAGTCTGACACTCAAGAGCAAATAAAGTTAACATTGATGGAGAAAGCAGATGGAATGTATGTTCATTATCAACATTTGAATACAGGATACTAGGATACTTACTAAATGCAATTTTAGGTTTCGTTGGGTTGCTTTACAGTTAAATGAGCTCAAAAAGTGCCGGACCAAGACTGATTTAAGAAAGCAGCTTGCTGATCTACCTCAGGGTTTGGATAAAACCTATGATCAAATCTTGTTGGGCATCACAGAAAAAGATCATGGTTATGCCAAAGTCTTTCTGCAGTGGCTATCTTTTGCTGTTCGTCCACTGACACTGGAAGAGCTGGCTACAACTGCTGCTGTTGATCTTTGTACTGAGAATGGTCCTGAGTATAAATCTGATAATGAACTTCAAGATATTAGGGATGTCTTGAAAATATGTTCTAGTTTGATTACAAAATCAGAAGGTATGGTCCACAGTAATACTAGATTGAAATGAGCACTAACAATTGAACAGATGTTATCAAGCTTTCCCACTTTTCTGTCAAAGAATATCTCATATCTCAGTATATTCACAACCATGCTATTAAGCAAATCAGAGACTTCAGCTTCAGTGAGGGGCTATCACACTCTGTCATATCTCAGATCTGTCTTGCCTATCTTCTGCAATTTCATACATCTGAACCACTTGCTACAAATGTGGATGTATCCTTCCCTCTTGCACAGTATGCTGCACGACATTGGATTACACATGTCCATTCTGGTAGCAAAGATGAATCTCAGTCATCTTTAGTATTTGCAATGATGATGAAGCTTCTAACAGATGAAAATGCTGCTTTTCTTAACTGGGTTCGACTTTGTGATATAGATCACTATTATTTTAGAGATCTAAAGAAACGAAGGGATAAGATTGTTAAAGCACTTTATTATGCATCAAAAGCTGGATTAACTGAAGCGTCATGTGCTTTGTTAGAGACGGGAGCAGATGTAAATGCAAAAGGAGGGATATGTGGAAATGCACTCCAGGCAGCATCAAATGGAGGCTATAATGCCATTGTAAAGGTGTTGATAGAGAAGGGGGCAGATATAAATATACAGGGAGGATTTTATGGAAATGCACTCCAGGCAGCATCAAGTAGAGGTCATGAGGCCATTGCAAATCTGTTGATAGAGAAGGGGGCAGATATAAATGCACAGGGAGGAGAGTATGGAAATGCACTCCAGGCAGCATCAGAAGGAGGTCATGAGGCCATTGCAAATCTGTTGATAGAGAAGGGGGCAGATATAAATGCACAGGGAGGATTTTATGGAAATGCACTCCAGGCAGCATCAAAAGGAGGTCATGAGGCCATTGCAAATCTGTTGATAGAGAAGGGGGCAGATATAAATATACAGGGAGGATTTTATGGAAATGCACTCCAGGCAGCATCAAGTAGAGGTCATGAGGCCATTGCAAAGTGTTGATAGAGAAGGGGGCAGATATAAATGCACAGGGAGGAGAGTATGGAAATGCACTCCAGGCAGCATCAGAAGGAGGTCATGAGGCCATTGCAAATCTGTTGATAGAGAAGGGGGCAGATATAAATGCACAGGGAGGATTTTATGGAAATGCACTCCAGGCAGCATCAAAAGGAGGTCATGAGGCCATTGCAAATCTGTTGATAGAGAAGGGGGCAGATATACATGCACAGGGAGGAAAGTATGGAAATGCACTCCAGGCAGCATCAGAAGGAGGTCATGAGGCCATTGCAAATCTGTTGATAGAGAAGGGAGCAGATATACATGCACAGGGAGGAAAGTATGGAAATGCACTCCAGGCAGCATCAGAAGGAGGTCATGAGGCCATTGCAAATCTGTTGATAGAGAAGGGGGCAGATATACATGCACAGGGAGGAAAGTATGGAAATGCACTCCAGGCAGCATCAGAAGGAGGTCATGAGGCCATTGCAAATCTGTTGATAGAGAAGGGGGCAGATATAAATGCACAGGGAGGAAAGTATGGAAATGCACTCCAGGCAGCATCAGAAGGAGGTCATGAGGCCATTGCAAATCTGTTGATAGAGAAGGGGGCAGATATACATGCACAGGGAGGATTTTATGGAAATGCACTCCAGGCAGCATCAGAAGGAGGTCATGAGGCCATTGCAAATCTGTTGATAGAGAAGGGGGCAGATGTAAATGCACAGGGAGGAAAGTATGGAAATGCACTCCAGGCAGCATCAGAAGGAGGTCATGAGGCCATTGCAAATCTGTTGATAGAGAAGGGGGCAGATATAAATGCACAGGGAGGATTTTATGGAAATGCACTCCAGGCAGCATCAGAAGGAGGTCATGAGGCCATCGCAAATCTGCTGATAGAGAAGGGGAGGGAGGAAAGTATGGAAATGCACTCCAGGCATCACATGAAGGGCATGGGGCCATTGTAAAGCTGCTGATAGAGAAGGGGGTAAATATAAATGCACAGGGAGGAGAGTATGGAAATGGACTTCAGGCAGCATCACATGAAGGCCATGAAGCCACTGTGAAGCTATTGATGGAGAAGGGGGCAGATGTAAATGCACAGGGAGGAGAGTATGGAGCACTCCAGGCAGCATCATATGCAGGCCATGAGGCCATTGTAAAGATGTTGATAGAGAAGGAGGCAGATGTAAATGCACAGAAAGGGGAGTGTGAAAATGCATTCTAAACACTATCAAATGAAGGCCATCACATGATTGTAAAGTGTTACAATTTCGCAATTGACATTAGATGTTTGGACATACTTTTCTTATCATTCCAACTTCTCTTTTCTTCTCAGACTTCATTTAAATGCATGTCATATCTATGTTAGTGTACAAAAAGCCCAGTCAAACATGGATGTGGTGATGACTCTAATGGTTAGCTACATTTTATCATATGGAAGGTAAAATTAGTCTTCAGTAAGTGAATATACATACATAGGTAGCAATAAACTCAGCTCAGTCAGAAACAAATGTGCCAGGAAAACAAAGTTTCTGTATATGAAGAAAAAGAGATGTAAAGACTGGTAAATAACAGAGGTATTTTGGCACTACCAGCCACTGAAATCCTTGGTTTTAACATTTATCAAGTGAACACAGTCTCTGAGATGCTAAATAATATTCCCAGAAGTATTTCAGCACTACCAGCTGCCAAAAACTACAGTTTTAACATGTATTGAGTGCACATATTCCCAAGAGGCAAAGCAGCATTTTGGCACTACCTACTGTTAAAATCCTCAGTTTCAATATGTATTTTAGTAGTTTAAAAATTTGTATTTCCAGAGGCATTTCAGCCAGAAGGTGCTTTGGGAGTGATGGTCAGATGACCTTCAATAAGTGCAATCAGGCCACTGGCCCCAAGGCCCAACTACCCTTCCAAAGCCTTTTGTTATTTTTGTCTTATTGGGCCCAGCAATTCCCCACTATATTTATAGCTAATGGGCCAAATTGCACTCAAATAGGATCCAATAATATTGGGCCCATTGGACAATTGACCATGTGGACTTCTTACCTTCTATTGTATATCTAGTGAATGCTCTGATTATATGTAGTGAAGTAATGTCAAAAGTTTGTGGGTGTTGGAGGAGCACCTCAAGCTTGACAAAGACCCTTTTCTCACCAATTTTGCTTTTTACTCTGCCTTGGTAACCTCTAAAACTCTCCTGGATGATCATTATACATTTTCCTACCATGTGACTATTGGAGTCCCCCTTTATGACACACTTTTATGCATCTGTGAAGAAAGCTTTCAAATCTGGAGACTCTGCTGCAAAGACAAACGGGGAGGTGAAGAACTGGGCAATTCCAGAGGATGCCTCTCCCTGAAAGATGACAAAATGTTAGAAGAAGTATGATATGATATAAAGCAAGACATTCACCTCTGTGCTAGTCCTGTCATTAAAGATGCACAAATAGTTGTCATTTTGATTCACTAACTAATGTTTTACAAGGATGTCTGACAAAATCCATGTTGTTACAGTGTGCACAAGATGTCCCTGAATCCTGACTGATCCCCATGCTACAACAAAGAACTCCACAAAAACTCAATTTTGTCAAAGTATTCTGCCTTTGAAAATCTCTTGCAGCCTCAAGACAACAAGGATCATTTGCAATCCATAAACAATCATTAACATCAACAAATTGGGGAGAACAATATAAGGGCATGGAAGGGTATATAATCAATATAGCCTGGTATAAACATTACAATTTGACACCCACCTTGCAGACTTCATCAGGGCAGTTAGTAGGAATCACCCAGCAACACTGAGAGCTCTGACAATACAAACAGGCCATAGTTGATGGTACCTGCTAATGGGCTGATGAGGGCCAATAACCCTATGTTGATGAATTGGCTGAAGTAATCCCAGTATCAAGGTAAAGAA